TCACTAACTACCGTTTCTGCAGCAAATGCAAGTCCCAGATACATTGCAATAATCCAATACTGAAGCTGCCAATTAAAATAACTTTTAAAAAATCATAATTTATCAATTTATAAAGTGATGAAATTCTACCCCCTGTGCTTTATTTTTTCACAGCCAATTTTCCGTTTCATAAGTTCATTAGAAACAATGAATGCAAATACAAATATTATGCAAACTTGGCAGTTTCAATGTTTTTAGCTGTGCTTAGTAGATACATGTAAAATAAACATGCTAAATTATATCCAGTACAAACTGAACATTTTCAAGTGCTTATTTCCAGTTCAAAATTTTCCAGAAAACTCACATCCCTGCAGCTCAACACAGTAACAACACTGTACATCTTACTAGAAAAGTTAGAAGTATTTTAACCTTTTTTTTTTAACCTTATGAGCTGCCATTTCTTTTTAAAGCTTTTCTAAACTCTGAATAACCAGATAGTCAGGCGTGATAACCCCAAATGCATAACAGTTCTAGAACATTATCGAGTGGGTTTAAGGGCAGCTAGATGGACCCATCAGCCCAAGAGAATGGGGGTACCTTGCTTTATGTTTAAAATATGCTATCCTCAAACTCTCCTGCAAGGATGCCTTTTCCTGGAGATGGGAGGAAGAGACTAGAAGTCTGAAAAATGCTGGTGACAGCTTATGAAGTCCTAGGGCACAGGCTGTGTATTCCTTACTGACTTAAAATGCAGGCAGTTTATTCTTTTTCTCAATTCAAATTGAAACTGGTTTGGGGGAAAACACATCAAAACACAATATTTAATTTTTTAAAAAAACAAACACTATAGGGCAGATACGGATTGTGGCTAATGTGTGTATACCACTTCCCAAACCAGCAGTGAGAATATACTGGATGCAAAGTTAATGGGAAGGTACACACAGCCACTGCCCAGGGGAGCCGGTTTGCAAGAAAACACAACAGCCTGTTGTACCATGAGGTCTCTGAGCTGTAGGATCCTCTGCCTAGGGACACCTGACTGGCACCAACTTTGTTATCAGATGAAAGAAGTTTTATTCTTCTGTAATTTTATTATAGGGGTATTTAACTTTTTTTTTAATGGATAGCTGCATTCACCCTTGGCCAACTCTCAGGGGACCAAATGCCAGCAGTGAAGGTGGGCCAAAGTCAGTGTGGTCATCTGACACTCTCATGTGTGTGCACACGCACACACACAGGACGGGGACACACACACACACACAGGACACACATAGGCAAGCACACAGCCTCCCTTCTTAACTAATCAGTGAAGAACAGCTAAGGGGGTAACTGCATCCTCTACTAATCAAATGATCACTTGATGACCAGGGAGGGAATAATTTGTATCCCAATCAAGGTGCCAGCCCCATTATTCTATCCACTTTTTCTTTTGTCACCACTGCCATAATCTGTGGACTTGGTGGTGGCGGGGGGGGGGGGGAGGGAGGTTGTTCTGGGAGCTGGATCAGGCTCCTCAAATTTAATGGACAATTTTCCTGATTATTTTTGCTATGTGTCTTGTTTAGTCTTGATTTGTGGCTATCTGATTTTAATATTTTATTAATCTCTTGTTGATTCAGTGTTAAGCGACTGTTGTTTTTTTAAAAAAAGGTTTGTTGCTTTGGAAAATCCTGCCCACCAATCCCACACAAAGGACCAGTTATGAGGTGATAACTATGCTAAGTTTTGCATATGTACTGTATAAAAAAGTTATTCCTGAGTAATATATTCAGAGTTGAATTAAACACATTGCAGACTATAAAGGCACTTGGTTGTGGTGTGTGTGTTTTTACAGAATTTCTTCAGTTCTTCATTTTATTTTAAAACTTTTCTGAGTCGTGGACATATGATTCAGCATAGATGCAAGGCACAAGAGTGAATGATTTCATCTTTTGCCATATCGTATGCAACCACAGTGAAAATGCAAAAGTTCTAGTGAATCTTCATTTTAAATGAAAACATCAAGGTATTCAAACTTTTTAAAAAAAAACTTCAAAGGGGGCAATCCTACACTGGAATTATGTTGGCTGAGGAGCTTTAGGATTTGGCAGAAGAACCAGGGCACCAGTGCAATACCAGGTGCATTGCTGGCAAGACAACTACACTGGTGGGACACTTGGCCAGTAGAGCTGTTCTACCAGTAATGATCTTAATTATCATAGTAAATTTATTACCCACCCTAAGTTCACTGGGTTACAGGAATTAAAACACAATGTTAAAGAAAATTTAGAAAATTCACAGAAATAGGGTACGTCCAAATATACATATATTTGTCAAAAGCCAGGGTAAAAAAGCTTGTCATCAGTATTCACCAAAAATGCAAAATCAAGGTACCAGGTGCACCTCTGTGGCAAGGGAATTCCACAGCTTAGGGGCTGCCTCAGAGAATACCCTGTCCTGGGCTGCTGCCACCTGCATTTCTGAGGGTGGTAGAACAACCAAGAGGATCCCTTCTGCTGATATTAACACTTGAGAGAGTACACAGGAGAGGAGGAGGCCTTTTAGGTAGTTGGGGCCTGAGTTCTTTAGAGCTTTAAAGACTAACATTAGCACCTTGAATTGGGCCCATAAATGAACCAGCAACCAGTGCAGCTATTTTAAAAATGGGGATTAGGTAAGATCTGTCTTTTCAGGATTCAGCTTCAGTTTACTGGCCAAATGCAGCCCACCACTGCCTTCAGATTCAGATGGAACAGAGAGAGAGAACTGGATGGCTCCGCCTATTGATGACACTTCATTCCAATCACCTGATGACAGCTCCCAGAGGCTTCATATAAATGTGAATTGGCATAGGGTCGCGGGTGGTACTGTGGGTTAAACCACAGAGCCTAGGGCTTGCCGATCAGAAGGTCGGCAGTTCGAATCCCCGTGATGTGGTGAGCTCCCATTACTCTGTCCCAGCTCCTGCCAACCTAGCAGTTCGAAAGCACATCAAAGTGCAAATAGATAAATAGGTACCGCTCCGGCAGGAAGGTAAACGGCATTTCCGTGCGCTGCTCTGGTTCGCCAGAAGCGGCTTAGTCATGCTGGCCACGTGACCTGGAAGCTGTACGCCGGCTCCCTCGGCCAATAAAGCGAGATGTGGAACCCCAGAGTCGTCCGCGACTGGACCTAATGGTCAGGGGTCCCTTTACCTTTACCTTTACAGTAGTCTTCCATGACTTTCCGGAAATGGCCCTGGAGGTAGGAGTGGAACCACTGAAACACAGTGCCCCCAACCTCCATCTTCCTAAAAGGCTCCAGAAAAATACTATAATCAGCAGTACTGACAGCTGTCAAGAGATCAAGGAGAAAGAGGAGGGTCACATTTGCTCCCCCCCAATCTCTTTCCTAACAAATCTAATCAACTAGAATGACCAAGGCAGTTTTGGTGCCATGACCAAGCCTGAAGCCAAACTGGAACGGATCCAAGTACAGTCATACCTCGAGTTACAGATGCTTCAGGTTGCACGTTTTCAGGTTGCGCACCACGCCGAACCCGGAAGTACCGGAATGGGTTACTTCCGGGTTTCAGCGCTCGTGCATGCACAGAAGCACTAAATTGTGCTTTGTGCATGCACAGAAGTGCCAAATCGCGACCTGTGTGTGCGCAGACACGGCTCTGCAGGTTGTGAGCACTGCGGGTTACGAACGTGCCTCCCGCACGGATCACGTTCGCAACCCGAGCGTCCACTGTAATCAGTGAGGCAAGAACCTTGATGGGACCACCAGTCATGTCAGCTGGAAAATCTTCCAGAGCATTTAGGACTCCATCAGTCTCCAAGGGTAGACTAACTCAGTGGGTCCCTCACCCTTGCAGAATAGCTGCATTCAGCCCAAAACTCACCATAGAATGGTCTGTCCATGACAAGAGACTCACAGTGGGCCCTCCAATCAGCAAAATATTACTAATCCACTATATGACAATGACAAGGCTGAGGGCATGTCCAGCCACATAGGTTGCTCCCTCATTCACAATCAAATTGCAGATCATCAGTGTTTAATTCCGGGAAGCCCTGGCATTGAGCAACACTAAACAGGGTTAAGATGTGGATGGGATATAGGAGAAGTGCACACTGATGGCAAATCCTATGCCCCACCCCCCAAGCAAGGCCACACCCCAGCCCCTGATCAGGCACAGGAACTTTTCCTCCCACTGACTTGCATTAGGTGTGGAAAATATATTGGAAAAAGTTGTCCCATGTTGACAGCAGCCACACCCCTATCACCCTGATAGAACATAAGATGGATGTAACTCAGCACCCTATCGCACCACACCAACATCAACAAGTAAATTGTTACTCAGATGATATAGCATGGGGCTACATTGCCTTAGGTTGTGCATGCACAGAGCTCAGGAGGGAAAAGCTTAGTGATGGGAAACAAGGGGAAAGGGCATTTTGCATGGAAAAAGGAGCACTTTACATAGTAATCTAATAATTTACTTTCCTCCACCTGAGCCCTTTGTGAGGTAAACAGTTGATCCTTTCAGGCAATTCAAATTAGGAAAACAGCAGAGAGGAAAAAGCTGAAAAGCCCTCTCCCAGGACTGCTGCTTCAATCTGTCTTTGAGTGCCTCCCTCCCCAGATGTGACTGCTGTTATGAAAAAAAAAATGGGGGGGGGGAGATCTGATTATGAAACTTCCACATCACACACAGTCCATTTGGGAGGGCTTTAGTTATGAAGGAAACTGGGTTGCTTTGCGTCACTGCATCTCTTACCTCAAAGGGCTGCTGTGAAGATAAAGTTAAAGAATTCCAGTTCCGTTACCTATGAGCAACTGGTTAGGGGAAAATGGGATCAAATAAATAAAGATTTTAAAAAAAACCCTGCTGTAATAGGACTTTAAAGGTATGTAGTTTTGGCAATATCATGCCCTATGGTTGTTGTTTTTAAAAAAAGGTGTATTGCTAATCTACCGTACAATAAATTAACATGTGGTATTTACAGTGCAATCCTATGGGTTTTTATACCCTAGAATGTGTGGATAGGACTGCATCCTTATTTGTTTAAGCCATTGAAAGTATTTTTATTTACAAAGGGCCTGTTGGTAATATATTATCATTATTCCAAAAAAAATAAGATTTAATGAGATTTAAAGTAACATTATCCCCTCTCCTACTACACTGTATTAGGAAGGAGATTACAATTGATAGTTGACAGTTTTGCTGCTGCCACTAGATGGCCTTGTTTCCATGTAGCATTCAATATTTTCATATTTTCAAAGAAGTGTTTCTTTCTTATTCTCTTCCCACTGCATCTTTATGAATATCTACATAAAAAGAAATGAGAATTTATTTGTCAACATTTATGGAGTACTGAAAACATTTATCTTGGTTTGTTTGCTTATAATATCTTTACATAATTTGCAGTTGTTTCCTCCAAATCTCTCAGAAAGATAATCTGTAGGTAGAAAAATGTCAAATTTTACAGACTAATCAGTATTAACAATTCTGTCTGAAGATGTTGCCAAAAACAAAACAAAACACCAGAATAATTAACAGTAAAGTCAAAGCTTTGGAAGTGATTTGCTTTTCTTTTCTTCATAGCAGTTTTTTCATTTGCTAAATTCACCCCAATGGTTTTGATTGGTGCGGGGGGGGGGAGTAGGAACTATGCTCAGTTAGGAAGAGATGGCTGCATGGGCATAGCCAGGATTTGGGGGGAAGGCCTTTTGTTAGAGCCTCAGTTTGCTATGTATTTTTATTGATTTAGGGGGGTAAGCTGCCTCTCCATGCCCCTCCGTGGCTATGCCCATGGATGGCTGCTGTGATGGCTTCAGACTCTTTCAGTTACTGTCAATGGGCTGCCCAGTGCAGCTGCTTGCTGAATAGCTGGGTTTTCAAAGCCTTTTGCAGGTAGGGTGATGCAGCTTACCTGCAGGGTCCCAGCCACTCCTCCCCTCTATGTACCCAGCGACAGGGACTTTAATTTTGTCTCTTCAATCCCTGCTCGATATGAGCAGTTCAAAGAAACCTATGCCACCTCCATGTTTGCACAGTTAATGGGTGCAATCCTGGGTTTCTTGGGGGGAATTGAGGGTCTTTGGATCCAGTGGTGGAGAGCCAATGTGGTGTAGTGGTTAAGAGTGGTAGTCTCGAAATCTGGGGAACCGGGTTCGCGTCTCCACTCCTCCGCATGCAGCTGCTGGGGGACCTTGGGCTAGTCACACTTCTCTGAAGTCTCTCAGCCCCACTCACCTCACAGAGTGTTTGTTGTGGGGGAGGAAGGGAAAGGAGAATGTTAGCCGCTTTGAGACTCCTTAAAGGGAGTGAAAGGCGGGATATCAAATCCAAACTCTTCTTCTTCTCTTCTTCATGATCCCTAAGCTGCTTCTGACACGACACTGTCCCTAGAATGCCCCATTTCAGAGCCTACCAACTGTGGAAACACCACTGACAGTAAATTATAACTGCTGAATTATCCGTAGTTGTACTGAGGGTTTGCAGGCACGGCTGCCTCGTCATCAGAGCTCCTCTCCCCTGGCAGAGGGGTATTTCTGCTCCATCTTAACCCCTTCCAACCAACAGATCTGAGGTTAGGAGTGCTCTGTTAATTATCTTTTGACTAGTTCTTTTGTCCTACATGCTTACCTCACTCAGCAACAACCACGTAGCAGAACTAGAATGGATAGATAAACGAAGAGCTTTTATATTTCCTAAGTTTGGGTTGACGATGCCATCTGCTATTCCATTTTTGAATGTGCCTATATGTGAATGAAAACATTGTTTTTGGTATACGCTGTAATAAACTTATTTTCCCAGAATAGTAAAAAATAATTTTAAAAAATCTTATTTTATATTACATCAAATACGGTACAAAGTTAAATAAATAAATATTGCATTTTTTTTAAACATCTTAATGAGACATCACTGAAGTGGGCATGCTATCATATTAAAGTAGAACCTTGGTGCATATCTTTGTGATGTTAAAACTGTTAAATGAAAACCTGTGACTTTTGTTTCCAATTCATAATCCTGCATAGCAGTTTGTAAAAAGGTGTTATTTCCTTGCTGTAGGTTGTAGCCAATGGTGGCTTTGCCTTTGTGGAAAGTGCTTTGGCGCATGCAATTTTCAACAATTGGGATATCCAAGTTTCAACAATCCCCTCAACCCAAATAGGCTCTTTGCATCCCTGCTCCTCAGCAAACCTACTATTGAGGGTGGAGGGACCTTCCAGAACAGAATATTAAACACAGAACAGAAGGTTACAGGGTGGAGCAGGTATCAGAGAAAATCAGATGCCCCTAATTGATGCTGTCACAATTTCTTTCGACTAAGGCAAAGTCACGACTAGATGCAATTTTCAGTCCCCCAGTGATAGCCTTTTACAGGCTGGGATGAGGCCACACCCTTTCTTTGATAAGACAATGTTCTTTACCATAGCCAAACATGCTAAGGACACTGATAGGAGAACAGACCATTAAGGTTAGAAGTCAGACTGAAGCGATGTGCACGCTTGCACAGTAATGCACACTTGACATGACTTTGCCATGCAGACCAGAGTTGGCTATGCAATAAGTGAGCTGAAATTCTGTCTCTGCCATGCAGTCACTGGGTGGCAGGGCAGTAGCATTCACACATCAAGCCCCTCTAATGTTCCAACACTAAACACAATCTTGCTACCCCTTTCTTCTCTCTTGTGTTGTGTTGCTTTCTTGAGACATCAACCTTTTATATCCCCTGTCCCTCCCTCTCTCCCTCCCTCCCTTCTCTCCTTCCTTATCTCCATGTCTTTCCCCCATTTCTTCTTCCTGTCTTCCTGCTCTGATGGGCTGTTTTTGTTGTCCACCCTTAGCCCTACCCCCCAGCTGCTAATACCTCTTTATTGAATGGGGTAATGTAGTTTTGGCTACATAAGCACAATCACATTCTAATCGGTATTAAAATAAATGATTTCGACTTTCTCATGCAACATTGTCATGAAAGGAGTACAACTTTTGGATCCCACCCCCTAAATTATTGCAAAACTTTAAGCTGTGCTGCAGTTTAGAAGAATATAAAAACCAAGCTGAAATCATCTTAGAATATATTTTTTTTACCTATTTGAAAATATCCATCCTGAGTTTTTACGATTTTAAAATTCCCTGAATTGCCTCCTGCAGACTGTATGTCTATCTCCTGTAACAAATAAAAAGAAAGAAAATCCTAACTAGTTTTCCAAGAGGAAAGCCGACCCTTTTGCAAATCTCTCCAGCCAATAGCGCTAACCATGTGATAACCCATGATACCCAACTAATCAATTCCAGTTTTAAATTAGTTTGTAACAACTATGTACGCAGTTAACATATTTTAACTTTCCCTGGGCGAAGTTATTCACTATATACTGTCACATACTCTTTTCAGTGTTTTCCTTCTCTCGGTTTTTACATGTTTAAGGACAATTTTCAAATCAGAGAAATTGGTGGAATTCCAATAATTAATCAAGGGATTCTTAGTTGCATAAAAGTTTTGGCTGACAGCTTACCTTCCCATATTCATTTATACTATACCAGTATGTTCACTATTGTTTCAAAGCACAATGTACTAAACCCAGATATTTGCTTTTCTTCCAAGCTCTGGTGAGTACATTTCTGGCAACCATCTGTAAACTGCCTATCAATTTGCAATATGTTGCATAAGCTGGGTTCTCAGTTGTGTACAACGCAACAGAACCACTGAACACTTCCTGGGCCAATTACCTCACTTGACTACAACAGTATAGGCAACATGTGGTCTTCCAAACATTTCTGGGCCTCCACTCCCATCATCCCCGAGTATTGGTCATGCCACTTGAGGCTGACAGGAGGAATGTAGGAAGCAGCAATTGGTCCATCTAGCTCAATAGTGTCTACACTGACTGTAATTGCCTCTCCAGGATTTCAGGCAGGAGTATCTCCCAACCTTGCCTGGAGATGCCATCAGGGATTGAACCGGGAACCTTCTGCTTGCAAGTGCTTTATCACTGAGCTATGGCTTTTCCCCAAGTTGGAGTCCAACAGCACCTGCAGGGTCACAGGTCGCCCATCCCTGGGTTACAACAAATACAGTGGTATTTGGTTTGGGATTTTGGGGTACATACGCATCAGGTTACAGACTCCGCTAACCCAGAAATAGTGCCTCGGGTTAAGAACTTTGCTTCAGGATGAGAACAGAAATCATGCTCCGGCAGCGCGGCGGCAGCGGGAGGCCGCATTAGCTAAAGTGGTGCTTCAGGTTAAGAACAGTTTCAGGTTAAGAACGGACCTCCGGAACAAATTAAGTACTTAACCCGAGGTACCACTGTAAAAGATTGCTAGTCAAAAGATCTGCAGGAGGAAATTTTACAAGGCAGGCCCAACTTCTGTTTCTCCCCCTCTTTTTTAGCTGATCAAACACACAAGGTGCTATCAGAGCAATAGACCAATATATAGAAGAGAATTTATTAAAATGTAAGTGCCTGCGCCTTGTAAGACTGGTCCTCAAAGACTGCTCTCTGCTCCAATAACTGATTGTCTTTTTTAATTATTATTTTGCACTATGGCAGCCATGGTTTTCAGTCAAAGTTGACTTCTGCAGTGCTGCCAAAGGCCATGGCAATGAGACACATTCTGCCACGACATGCTGAAGGCAGATCAGAAGCAGTGCCGGGATGAGATAAAATGGAAGAGTTGCTTATCTCTGAGTAGAATTTTGACAAAACTGTCCCGTATGAGGTTGAGATGGTAACATCCTGACAGGTTATGACTGCTGGCCAGGAATATTAAGAAAAGAGCAAGACTTCTCCCTAATATTAATAATAAGATTTGAAATGCTTTATATTTATGTGAGAGCTGAGATACTTACAGCATTGGGTAAAACTTCTACAGTAGCATCAACTATTATATCTCCTGGATGTTCGACATTTCCGCTTTTAAAAAGGTACCTGCAAAACACATTATTGGGGCAAATTTAATAATGCATTAAATATTTAACTTATAGTTATTTTATGCCAGGTCTTCCATTTAATGTTCTCTGGGAATATTTTTCAGATGGAAGAAAGAGTATAAACAGACTGAGGGTGGAAGTTACATGGCAGATAACACTCTGCCAATGCATTGTATTCTTCTTTAAAAATACAAATAAGGTACAGAGAACTGTAAATTCAATCAGAGGACTGATGGGCTACAGTGCTTACTTCTTTCTCCATCAAAGATGTTTTTCTCAAATAGGGATAGTTGAATGAGTCAATTTCAGGTTCTCAGACTTAAGTTAAATTCTCCACATTTCCACATCAGCTTGTTTTTAAAAATTTGTTTTAATCCTCATGAAAGTGTATCAAAACTGGAGTGCAAATTTCTCCTAACAAGCACGTTTCAATGCAATTTTTGCATAATATACACATTTTGCAAGCAACTCCAACTAATACAATGATTTTTTGTATATTCTTTTCTTTTTTATTATTATTTATACCCCACCCATTTGGCTTTTACTATCTGGTTTTCACTAGTATATGCATCATTAAGCACACTTTGCCTACAATATGTATTTTTTTTACTCATTATTTGGTTCGATAAATTAATTGCAAAATTCAGAAAAATGCAAATTTCAAAGGATGAGTGTGTCTTGGTTTGCATATTGTTTCAGGAAATGCAAAATAGGTAGATTAGACTGCAAATGCAAATTGAGCCGAATTTCTCCCCCATCCCAATGTCCAGCTTTTTCACCCATGGGAGAGATTAAAGAGCTTGGGGAGAGCAATTTGGATGAGAAACAAATTAGAGGAAATGTTCCTGCATCATAATACCTACCTTTCTATTTTTATTGGCTGCCAAAAGCTGAACAGAATATAATCTCCAGCCACAGGAGCAAAAGCCCAGAAAAATTCTATTCCTTTATAAGCTTTTTCTAGGGTAAAGTGCTGGAATACTTTTAGACTTGTAGTCACTTCTGCAGCTGGGTTGACATGTGCTGTAAGTAATGGATTTTTGCCAAAATCTCTATCCTGTAAGACATAAATGTATATTTTTATATAAAGAGAGTGAAATACAAAGTTATCAACAAAATGAACGGCAAAGACAAACCATAATCTTTATACTTTAAATGTGCTGTAAATTATAGTCATGGATGCATCACTGAACATTTTGCAAATAAAATCAGTGGCAGTCATTGATGAGGTGTAAACTATAACTCTTTTCAAACAACCAGTGCAATAACAGGGTATTCATGTAGGAGAGGAGTAAGATCCAGGTATCAACATACAGTGGTACCCGGGTTAAGTACTTAATTCATTCCGGAGGTCCGTTCTTAACCTGAAACTGTTCTTAACCTGAAGCACCACTTTAGCTAATGGGGCCTCCTGCCACCGCTGTGCTGCAATTTCTATTCTCATCCTGAAGCAAAGTTCTGAACCTGAGGTACTATTTCTGGGTTAGTGGAGTCTGTAACCTGAAGCATATGTAACCCAAGGTACCACTATACATGCATTTACTAGACTGCGATGGTGAACCTCAGGCGCAGAAAGAAAGCCACATGTCCTATTTCGTATGGGACAGTCCTTTATTTAAAAGGCTGTCTGGATAGTTTTCTATCTGAATGAACACCTGGTGCAAATCTGTTATAAAAATATAGAACCATAAGAAGACAGAGCAGAAGCCTTAGAGCTGCCCATCAACAGTTAGCAGACTGGGCAGGTGTACAAGCATGCAGCTCTGGATGGCTCTCACAGTGGAATGGAATGTGCTACCACAGCCTAACTGAAAAAAAGTTACACTGAGTGTTGCAGAGCCAGCCCTACCATCTGGCAGAGTGAGATGGCTACCTCGGGCAGCTGATTTGGGGAGTATGAAAGAGCAGCTAATTCCAAGTTACTTAATATATTGTTGTAATTTTGTTCCAAAAGAGGAGGTGCATGTGAGATTTTTTTGCCTCCAGTTCCAAAATAACATAGCCACTCTTGATTATTGTGCACCTTGACTTTGGACAAATGTGTTGCTCCAACTCAAGAAGCAAAATGTTTTGGGCCAGCCCTGAGAACGAAACCTGATGCTATGATCTCACTCCCATTCCATGCATGTCACACATATATAGATCATCTAAACAAATATTTACATTTTATGCACTATTTTTGGAAAGAAACTTTGCCTGTGTGCAGACGAGCCCAAAATTTCAGCCACTTTGCAGGGTGGGGTATAAAAACAAGAGGTATTCATTCATCTCTAAAAAAGAAACAGTGACCCATAAGTCTATGACCATTAGGGATGGGCAAACTGCACTCAGCTGCTTAGCCCTAAAATTAATTGAGCTTCTCAGGTTGAACAATCAACCATTCAATTATATATATTTTTAAAATTTCCAAACCACCTTTCATCTAGATGGATTCCTGGGCAGTGTTCAACACCCTTTAGGGAGGGTGTTCCATGGTGGTGGTGCTACCATAGAAAAGTCAAAATCTTGAACACTTGAGTAGCAAAATTCCTCCCTACCAATTTCATCTACCTCACTTCCTCCGGAAAATAATTCTTACTTTGGGCAAGACAGGACAATGGGTGGGAGACTTCCGGGGAGGCGCCTCCGGCAATGGCTGAATTCCTCTGATCGGGAGGAAGCCGCTCCGTGGAAATTAGGGTCTGGCCGCCACGGCGAAGGCGGAGACCCACTAAAAACCAAAGGCGAGAGAAGCTTGTGGACGTGGGATTCGGCTGGCACCTTTCGCGCCTCCCCTACTCGCGGGGAAACCCGGTTTCGGGGATCCGGAGCGACATGGGGTGAGTGGCGCGGTGCTTTGAATCGACTGCTTCTTTCACGGAGTGAAGCCGCATTGCTGTTGCCGGAGAGCGCTGACTTTTTCCTGTGGAAAATTTGATCTTAAAACAACTACCCGTGAGTAGAACGGAAAATTGGATTTTTAAACGTCTTAATTTGGCACCGAAACGGGGAAGTTTCAAACAGGAAGTCCGCCTCCCCCTTTTGTAAATAGATTGAAGCAAAGAGGCTGCAAGCTAAAGTCTTGGAAAGTCTCTTATAAAGGATTAAACTTCCATCAGTTAAACCATCAAACCCCCCTTGGAAGCAGGAGAAGAGGGGGAAAATTTAAGATCGCGTAAGCCTGCAGGAGAGAGTGAAGAAAGTTAAATTACCACCGCTCTGAACCTGGAAACGGGCTGCTAGTAAGATTGAAGTTTCGGATATGCTCATTGACTGTGAATGGATCATCTGCTGACAGTAAGTTAAAGAAGAGAAATACATTGTTTCCACTGTCTCCTTCTGCGTTTAAAAAGGAGTAAAAGCAACTGAAAATTGAAACTAATTTTATTGCTTGAACTGTGCTTAAAAGGATTGATACAGATAGAAATTGTTTCCCCCTAGAGGAAGCCTTTGAAATTGTTACAAGAGCTGAGCTGGGGGAATTTTCCATCTGCAAGATAAGACTGTGAGAATCTGGGATTGACCTTTAATTGTTGGGAATGTTGACAGAAGAAGCCTTAGTGGTTGCATTTTGTAAGATTAATGATGCACTGGAACAGCTTTGTAGGAAGACGGATGCGAGGACTATAAAAATTGATAACTTGGAACAAAAAGTGACTAATTTGGCACAAAAAGTCAACATTAATACAGAAATTATTCAGGAATCGATACAGGGATCTATTTTGACATGGCAAATTGAGGAGAAGGCGGGGGAGAAAGTTTTTGCTGTGGAATCTAAAGTGGCACAAGTGGTGACGGAGAGAGCTCCAGCTTTACAGTTGCAATTTGATGATTATATGTTGATGACTTCCAAGACTGAATCTAGAGAAAGTCAGACTTTTAGGATTGGAGCCCCGCTTGGACTGGAGAAAGAAAGTTGGATAGATCCCCTCAGGTTTATTGACCTTTGGGACCTGGACTTGGGTCAGGAGGAGACTGGAGGTGTGGGGACTGCCAGACTTGGAGGAACTTTGAAACACGACTGGAAATATCTTTTGAATTTCAGTTCTAATTATGGAGATTTGGCTGACTTGTCGAGAAGGAATAAAAACATTGCTAGATGGGAATTTCCCGGAGATTTACTTTTCAGCCTCAAAGGAAGGAAAATAAGAACAAGATCAGGAAAAGACAAAATAAAGTGCATGTATAAACATGAAGAAGACTTGCAGAAGGGACCTGGAAGAGAGTTAAGAGCCTCGGACAGAAGATCTCCAGGTTGATGGGCTATATGGAATTGACAGAAATGACTGGCAGAACCCGAGACCAGGGAGTAGAGACGGTGGAAGAATATTGGAAAAAGTTTAAAATCTATATATGGAAATAATGTAAAATGAATGAGTGTTAGAAAAATGTTGGAAGGGAATTATACGGCTTTAGTAGAAATATTTTAAGGAATTAAGTGTAAATAAGTATTATAGTATTAATAGAAAATAAGGTTAAAATATGTTAAGATAATTACATAACAGAAAACAGAGAAAGATGGAAAGGATTTGCTGAAACAATTAATAGAAATGGAATACAAAAAGGGAGGTGAGAGGAGGTCAATGAAACAAGGGAATGAAAGAGAGGATATTGGGACGGTATGATGTGTGTGTGTTTTTGAATTGTTTTTGCTTTTGTTTTGTTTAATGTGTTATATATTGTATTGTATTGTTTTCTTTTTTGCTTTTATTCTTCTTTTCTTTTTTCTTTTCTTTTCTGCTTTTTGTAAGGTTTAAAAGTAATAAATATTATTAAAAAAAAAAAAAAAACAGACAATGGGTGGGAGAGACAGAAGGCTAGGGCAGCCAGTTCAGAGAAAACTCTCAAACTATAAAACACATGCAGCTATTGATTGTTGGGCCAGACCCATAATCCCCTGCTGGAAATGTCAGCTCTGTGTAGCTCTGAAAATACCCTGTAAGGCTACTTCTTGGCTGCGTGGAGCTGTCACTTGCAGCTGTGGGGCATGGAGGTGGCAAGCCCCACATTCTTCAACTGTAAGCTAAAGAGGGGTGAGGTAACATCCAAGCAGGTGTACTTGCATTCTTGAGCACTTCCACCATGAATAATCACCCAATCACTAACGGCAACTGGAGACTGTGATTTGTTTTGCTAGCAGACACCGTGCAGGGCAGGGGACTAGTCTTGGCATCTTTGCATTGCTTCCACAAAGTCTCTAGCACTTTATTTGTCTTCTCTTTGAACTTGGTGACGGTTGTATTTCTACACTATTGACACCGTGATGTTGAGAAAGAAGCAAATGACTAATAGAACTTACCTTCAATTTCTGTATTTTCCCAGCCAAAGAAGAATGAATTCCCACATGCTGAAAGAGAGATGGCCTATAACGGATGCGCAGATAGGTCTTTTGGCGTTCACAGTGTCTCTGAAAACGAAACCATTTCATGTAAAACAACAACAGAAGGAGGCAACCACGTTCAGCTGCATTTCAATTTCTCTACATATTTATAACTTACTATTCCAAACTATATTCCGTCACAGGTGAACAAACCACCTATACTTTGTTATGTTCGTGGTGCTGAACTGACTGTGGACACTGCTTATCTGGGGGGGGGGGGTCTCACATTACCAGCTCAGCAAGGTCATTGTCCCTCTGCTTGTGTTGCTTGCTGCACTTGCACAGTGTTCACACTTAAGAAGGGGACAGAGATGTCTTCACTCAACATGTAGATGAGACAAGGAACTGAAGCAAGTAGAGACTAGTGAGAGAGGGCTCTAAAGAAATGTCACAGTGCCTAAAGCCTGTTTTACTGGAAGTGCTGCAACCCTAAGGAAGCAATGAGAGCTAAGACACAGTAGCTGGGGGTGGGATGGGATAAACATTAAAGAAATATCATACATATATCAATTTAAACTAACCACCCAATTCCTTGGTTGTAGGCTTCTAGTTAACTTTAAAGATATTTGTTGAAAAAGACTACACACAAACTCAATTCAAGTTTAGTATTTATGTGCCAACAATGAATAAGGGAAAGAGTAAGATGTTTTAAAATGTAGGATTAACTGTTTAATTACAGATCAACTCAACTGATCAACTTCAAAATTAGGTCCAATATTCCAGCAGATATGGTTTTAGTAGGATTCAGTGTGGCATAGTGCTTTAAGTGTTGGATTAAGACCTGGGAAACCAGAGTTCAGATTCCCACTCAGCTATGAAGCTCTCTGGGCAATATTGGGCCAGTCACTACCTCTCAATCTAACCTGCTTCAGAGGGTTGTTGTGGGGATTAAATGAGGGGGAAAATAGAGTATTATACCTTGATTTTAATGAAGGAAAAGCCTAGATCTACATGTAAGCAATAAATAAATAAACAAACAAACAAACCACATCTTATTAAAATATATAAAGCAATACCGGTTTTGAAAATGACAGAATAATATATAAACTCAGATGTATAATTCTAATGGAATATCACATGCAAATACTTGTGCACAAATCTAGCTTGTATCAACTTACTGTGTTACTTATAAATTGGTTTTAAAATAAAATACCCATAACATATCTAAGGTGACTAACCATAATTGAAAACCAATTAAAAAACCACAATAATATCAATAGATAAAATGCAAATGATCAACTGCTTAAATTGGATTTATTAAATTATTTTGTACATAACAGCATTTTTTTGTATTTTAATTGTGTTCATCATTTCTGTTTCTGTCATGTTACAGTATATTACATTCAAACTTACAGAATAATGGAATATGCATTTTTTCATAGTGGGGTGACATGATTGACACTGAAATTTATGGAATTTGATTGAGTTAATTATTGTGAACTCATGCTGTCCATTTGCCCAATGGTTGTTTGGAAATTCCAGTTGTGTAAGCAATCAGCAACAATTTCCTTCTCTTTTTGTTCTAAAATGTAATTGTATTGTCAGTGTTTGCCCATCTGCCCCACCCCCATGCAACTTATTTTTGTTAATAATTGTAGTACTTACTGCATCTTTCTCTGGATTGCAAACTTTAACCCAAAGTAAGTGGTCTAGAAGCCAGTCAATTGGCTTATCCTTGTAGAACATTAACAAAAATTCAACTATCAGCGGCAAGTCTCTGCATCGGAATAATTTTCCTGAAAATGATGTTTTCAAAAAGGGAGAGGTAAATCACAACTTTCCATACTGCACAGTAAAGCACAAAAGAATGCATTTGTGCATGTTGTTTCCATGATTATATGCAGTTTTATGCACACTTTATGCTAGTGTATGCATTTTTGTACATATCATTTGACCAGAGAACTGCACTGCAAAATTTAGAGATGTACAAATTTTGAAGGATGGTTTTGTTTCAGTTTGTATCTTGTATGAATTGGGCACGTTCGCCTTTAAATGCTAACTGAATTGAATTTATCACCCATCCCTAGGTGGTAGTACTTCATGGTCCAGTGATGACCTCTTCAGGAGGGGTGGCACCACCTGCTTTCTCAAGGTAGTGAGCATCTTTCCCTCTCACAGCAAGGCATGTACCACTTGCTGGACCCATCCAGTCAATCCTTTTCTGCCAGATTTTAACAAGGCAGGCAAGGTTGAGAGGACAAACAATTGGTCTAATCCATGTAAACATTCTATCTACTTCCATGGGCTTCAAAAACTGCAAATGATCCTATAAATCTAACCAGGACCTGCAACAACTGGCCTCAAGTTCAGAGTTGATACAAGTAGGAATGGAAAGATCTGTTCATTTTAGTTCTCTCAGTTTCTCATTTTTCCAATCTTAAATTCTGTTCTTTATATATCTGCTGCAATCTGTGTGGGTTTTTTTTAAAGAATCCTCATGAAAATCCATCAGAATTTTGGTGCAAATTTCTTCTAATGTACACATTTTTGCATACAGCTGTGGCTAATGTACACATTTTACAAGCACTTTCTCCTAACATAATGCATATTTGTATGTTATATTTTCTAATGTATGGAATTTTATGCACACTTCCACCTAATATATGCTTTTTTGTAAATGTTGGCTGGTTGAAGAACAGCATTGCAAAATTCAGATGAGTACAAATTTTGAAGGTGGTTGTATTTCAGTTATCATATTGTTTTATGAAGCGCAGCCAGATTTAGGGCACAATCCAGCCCAAGTCAAGCTCTTCTGAGTCCCATTGAGTTCAATGCTTAGCATTCAAACAAAATCAAAGCGGGCATGAAAGATTTAGGGCACAATCCAGCCCAAGTCAAGCTCTTCTGAGTCCCATTGAATCCAATGCTTAGCATTCGAACAAAATCAAAGTGGGGCATGAAAGTCTTCAACTATGAATGAACAGCATACGCAGTTAAAAAACAATGCCCCTTACAACCTGTAATACTGCCTTAACCAGAGAGGATGAACCCTGAAGGAAGAGCAAAACATGCAGAACTAGTTGATGTTGTTCCAACAGTTGCTTACGCAGTATTTTGCATTGTTTCTAAGTGCACGTTCTGGAGATTATACGTAATCTAAGTACCTGCTAATTTACTTGGGCCATGTTTTGCTTTCTTTGTTTGATCAAAATGGTCAAAGGCCTGGAAACGATGCCTTATGAGGAACGGCTAAGAGAGCTGGGCATGTTTAGCCTGGAGAAGAGGAGGTTAAGGGGTGATATGATAGCCATGTTCCAATATATAAAAGGATGTCACATAGAGGAGGGAGAAAGGTTGTTTTCTGCTGCTCCAGAGAAGCGGACACGGAGCAATGGATCCAAACTACAAGAAAGAAGATTCCACCTAAACATTAGGAAGAACTTCCTGACAGTAAGAGCTGTTCGACAGTGGAATTTGCTGCCAAGGAGTGTGGTGGAGTCTCCTTCTTTGGAGGTCTTTAAGCAGAGGCTTGACAATCATATGTCAGGAGTGCTCTGATGGTGTTTCCTGCTTGGCAGGGGGTTGGACTCGATGGCCCTTGTGGTCTCTTCCAACTCTATGATTCTATGATTCTATGATTCTAAGATTATTTATTAATGGAAGAACTTAACAACCTGCACAGACCTACAGATACTCTATTTTGGTTCCATTGTAGGTTAATTCCACTCATTGTCCTTGGATCTGCCTCATAGGTTTATAAATCATTATGCTGTCATAATGTTGAGTTCAACATTTCCTTGTTCCAACCTGTCAACTATTTCCCATAAATTAATAAGAAAAGAAACTGCATCCAATGATTGTCCAAGCGGAGGAGAAGTTTGGTTAAATTCTCAAGTGATGTTTTTGTTCCACCTATATTACTTTAGAAGTAGCTGAAGGGTTTTGTGAGCATCTTTTCCAGCACACCCCTCCTTCAGTTCAGCCTACTAACATGAATGAATGAAAAATTCATTCTTAATTCAGGAGCAAAGTTGTTGCTGATAATAGGCACACACTTCCTCTCTTGCTTAGGCTGCTCCTTTGCAGTCTTGGATAATGTTGCTTTGTTGTTGTTGTTTAGTCGTTTAGTCATGTCCGACTCTTCGTGACCCCATGGACCAGAGCACACCAGGCACTTCTGTCCTCCACTGCCTCCCGCAGTTTGGTGAAACTCATGCTGGTAGCTTCGAGAACACTGTCCAACCATCTCGTCCTCCTTCATCCCCTTCTCCTTGTGCCCTCCTTCTTTCTCAACATCAGGGTCTTTTCCAGGGAGTCTTCTCTTCTCATGAGGTGGCCAAAGTATTGGAGCCTCAGCTTCATGATCTGTCCTTCCAGTGAGCACTCAGGGCTAATTTCTTTAAGAATTGAGAGGTCTGATCTTCTTGCAGTCCATGGGACTCTCAAGAGTCTCCTCCAGCACCATAATTCAAAAGCATCAATTCTTCAGCGATCAGCCTTCTTTATGGTCCAGCTCTCACTACCATACATCACTACTGGGAAAACCATAGCTTTAACTATATGGACCTTTGTTGGCAAGGTGATGTCTCTACTTTTTAAGATGCTGTCTAGGTTTACTTTACTTTACTTACCAATAAACCCAAGCTGAGAAAATTCAAGAAACATCCACTCCTTTGAGTCCTGTAGCACAACAAACTCACTGATTGTTTGTATGTATGATGGTTTGGCTATAATATCATCTTCTAGCTGAAAAAGAAATCAACTTTTTTTCAATTGCAGCCATAGATCTAGAGACCCTTTACAGATACTGTAATTTTGTTGCTTCCAGAGAAATAAATGAAATAAACAAAGGGAAAAGAATGGCAACAAGGTATCAATATAAATATAAATCACTTCTGTACTCCATAGTAGATTAGGAGAAATGGAGGCATAGATGAGGCATTGCTATATCCTAGGAAATGGGTTTGCAGGATGAACACAAAATTGGATAATCCTTTGAGTGGCACAGTGATTTTTTCTTGGGGGATGCAGGGGTACGCATACCCTTAAACAGTTAGTGAATCTAAGTTTGAGGGGCAGTATTTCAATATGAGTAGGAAAATGAGAGTACCGCTAAACATTTTTTTTAGAAAAAAAGCACTGCATATAAGCACCACAATGGTAGAGTGAGAAGGTAGAGAGTCAGAATCACTAGTAGGCTGATTAAAAAGTAGCAAAGATTGCAAAAACATATTAACTACATATGAACAGTGCTGTTTAATGACTTGAATTAATAAGTTTAAATTTGGCGCAGTAGAAATAATAAGATGTCTTCCGAGGAGATTCAAATGTGGAAACTAGATAATCGAAGCCAAAGGTTGTTTAAACTTTAGCATTTTCCCTCATCAAACAGTAGGTAAATTGATATGCCTTATTGCATAGTTTTCTCACTGGAACTGCTTCTTTTTTACTTTAACAATTTGATATGTCTCTTCAATGAATAACCTGCTTGCTTTCTACACACACACACACACACACACACACACATGTTTAATTGCTACAAATAAGAACATCTTCTTGTGAAAAGCTGTGGGTGCCAAGAGTGCTGCTGAAGTGAAACAGTACTCCCAATAAATGTTCCTGACTTTTTTTTCCTGGCGTGAGTTCTGAATCAAGCTGCTAAAAGCTGCTGTAGTTTTTAATGTTTTCATTTCATCTCCCTTGAGTGTTAATAAAAAGCACTTTCTAACAACTCCTGAAACAGAGCTTCTCAAAGATGCTTTCAGCTTTGGAAATGCCTAATTATCTCAGGATGAAGCGGACCTAAATGGACACAGAGAATAATTACAATTCACCCCAGGTGAAGAGGGATTTGGCTGCCTGTTCTTATGGCTCCTGTACAGCCATTATCTGTTCCCAGGCATGACTAAAAGTCTCTCAAGGGACCCTCGTGGACTTCAGAAATTGTGAACGATTGCACTGAAAATATTGACACAATTTTATCTAAACCTCCCTCAACCTTTTATTGATTTACAGAGACACTGGCCTTAAAAAAAGAAAAGAAATTTATAGCTTACATAAAGAAAAAAAGGAAGCTGTAGATAAGAGGGTTTATTTCCTTAAACTGCCCTGAAAATGTTGCTAATGGTAGCAGAACTACAAAGGATAGAAGAAAAACTAATTTAATCAGTGCAGCAATTTATGTAGCATGTGAACTTACCTGTAAATAGAATGTTCCCCTTGGTTGGGCATACATCATTAAGAAGCTATAATCCAAATTCTGTTTTGTTCTCCATCTAAACGGAGGCAACAAATTATGTTTTTTTAAAGAGGAGCTTACTTTTATACTATACTTTCATTTTAGACAGACACAAGCAAACTCTTATCTATAACTACAGTATTTCAATCTAGTTTTCTGGATGGTAGTGAGGATGGAAACTGCCTTGGTGACCCTGGCTAATAATCTACACTGGGAGAGTGACAACAGGGACTGTAACTTTGTTGTTTCCCTGGGACTTATCAGCAGCTTTCAGTACATCAACCAGAGTTTCTTCTGCACTATCTACATAGGCTGCAAGTTGGAAGCCCTGAGTTACTCTGCTCCTACTTTACTGGGAAGTTTTGGAAGGTGGTGTTAGAAGACTTCTGTTTGTTTGTTTGTTTGTTTGTTTGTTTGTTTGTTTATAAGAAATCCAAACTAACTGCTTTACATTTTTAAACAAACAGAATAATAACCATAAGTAATTATCCTGTGTGGGGTTCTGCATAAATTTATTGTTTCTACCATGATTTTAAACTTCTGCGTGAAACTTTAGGAGAGATTGTCTGGAGGTTTGGAGAGAGTTGCCAACAATACACAAGTGACATCCAGCTCTTATTTCTCCTTTCCATTTCAACAAGGTGTGAAGATGTCAGCTTAAAATACTTGCCTGAAATCAGCAATGGACTGAATAACAACAAATAAACACTCAGTTTATATGAGTAAACTTCAGACAAGAAGTTTATGGATATACAGTACTTTGCCTGGGTGGGGTCATATTGCCCAGAAAGAAACTATTGCGCTCCTGGATCCAGGCCTTATTGATCAGTTCTTCCCAGGACTACCTCTTACTAAAAGTAGTAATCGCTCATAGGTATTTTAAATTTATTTATTTAAGTAATTGATATACCCCTTTTCAGATGGACCTCAAAAACAGTTTGCATAAGATTTTTGTGAGTATAACTATCATAATAATAATAATGATGATGATGATGATGATGTTACATTAAAATGAAAAAAAAAATGCAAATTCTTTGCTTGGAAGAATATGTTCTCAATTCCCTCAGGGCAAGAAGCCTCTGTGGTTACAGTTGAGGGGGGCAGGGGTTACAATGGGGGCTGGATGTTGATAGTTCCTCAAACTTCTGTCTTCTCTACTCCCCCCAGGGCAAGATGGTCCTGTGGCAGCAGCTGGGGGAGGGAGGGGTCACCATGGGAGCTGGATGCTGCCAACATTGACAGATATTGGGGAGGGGGGAGCATCTGAGTGTGCTCAATGATGCTGACAGAAGCACCCCTGCCAGTCTACACTCCACCACAGGTAGGGAGGCTGCACTGATTCCCCAGCAAGAGCAGTGAGGGTGTCCTTCTGTGAGTCTCCGCTGGAAACGGAGTAAACCTGGGTGCCCTCAGGTTTACTTGGGAGTCAGTTGGCTGCTGCCATTGGGCCCAAGACTAGGGCTGCTGGTGGGGAAGGGTGCTGTCCCCGTGCTCCAGAGACCAAGCAGAGCTTAGAGGCCAAGCAGGTCTCTGGGGCCTCCTCTAAGCTGCAGCTGCCGACTCTGCTCCACCCTGGGGTGAATGATTTACCTTATCTTTGCAGTTGTGGCACTTGTTGACTGAACCATGCCTTATAGTTTCAAGATACTGAGAGCTGCTTTGGGAACGAAGCTTTAAAACCAAGATATTCACTTTAAAATAAATAAAACAACCCTCTTTTTAAAACGCTTAATAACGTGCTGTCTGAAATCCTCACATGCCACCTTTCATACCTTACTCTCTCACTTGAATCCCCTAATGATGCCTTGAGATTGGAGAGCTTGGGATAATAGGAAGCAGGGGGAGAGACAACCTCCAGGACTCCAGATAGTGCCTCCTTTGGGAAGCTAAGAAAAGAAAAAAAGAAAAACAGTATTCTCTTCCGGTGAACTTCTGTTCAGAGGTACAAACTGCATACAGGATCAAGGGCTTATTCATCTTTGTTTATGTTTGAGAGAGGACATTTGTACATTTTATTATAAAAAAACCATTTATTTTTCCTGTGTATGTGTATTGCAGACTTGGGTAAAGCGATCCTCTGTTGCAATTGCTCTGTGGCTTGAGATATGCAACCGCTTCGTTCAGGGGTGGCCTGTCCTGTTTTGCCACCTGAGCTGAAATGGGCATTTGTGCCTCCTGCCCCTCTTTGACTCTCGCCTCTCAACTTGGTGGGAGATGGGGCACTCTTCAAAGCGTTGCTGCTTGGCTTCTCCGCCTGGGACTAGGGAAGACAAACAGCAGGGCCATATGCCAGAAGGCCTCCTTCTTGCTGGTGGAAGCAATGGGGCAGGCAGAGTGCCGCCTCTTGCACTTGCACCGCCTGAGGCAGACACTGCAAGGAAACCAACCCATTCCAGCAAGTCTGGAGGCAAGACCTCCCTCCCCAACCCACAGCACAGCACAGTACCCCTAGCATGAGAGCCCTATTAGCACAGGAAGCAAACATATAGTTCGCCAGACTATAGGCAGCCCTGGAGGAAGGGTTGTGACACCTCAAATACGCATCTGCACACAAACGCTTCAGCCTCAGGAACCAACCAGTCTCTCCTTGGAAACCTATGGGACCAACTTCTAAAAGCCATATTTCCCATACCTTTGACATCACAAAGGCACTCTTTACATTTTATTACATTAAAGTAGGATATTATTTTGAAAGCAAAAACAACAACAACCTAGAACAGGGTAGAAGAATTGCTACTCCAAATGTCTAGATACTAGTAAAGATTTCTGATTACTTCCTAGAATGTAAGTAATTGAATTCAGTATTATATACACACAAGGGGGCTTTGGGCTGGCATAGTTAAATTATGTGGAAAGTAGTCTCAAATTCACTTATTTAAAGATTATAAATGCAAAGTAGTGTCATAGAGAAAGAGAGAACTAAAGGATTTAGCTAAACTTTGCAATACTATTCTTTTACTGTCTTCCTTAGTGCTGTAAGTGTTAATACAGTGGTGCCTCGCAAGACGAAAAGAATCCGTTCTGGGAGTCTCTTCGTCTAGCGGTTTTTTCGTCTTGCGAAGCAAGCCCATTGACGGGATTAGCGGATTAGCGCTATTAGCGCTACTAGCGGCTTTTAGCGGCTTTTAGCGGCTTTTAGCGGCTTTTAGCAGCTTATCAGCTTATCGGATACGCAGATAAGCGGCTTAGCGACTTAGAAAAGGGGGGAAAAGGAAAAAAAAAAACCCAGGAACTCGCAAGACATTTTCGTCTTGCGAAGCAAGCCCATAGCAGATTCATTTTGCGAGGCACCTCCAAAACGGAAAACTCTTTTGTCTAGCGAGTTTTCCGTCTTGCGAGGCATTCGTCTTGCGGGGCACCACTGTATTTAGTTTAGTACATGCTACAGTAATCCATGTTACTGATAAGTAAACTTTTATTGATGCGGTATTTTTAATGGCATAATATTACTTATTTTTAGTAGCCATAAGCTGACATATTATTAAAAACTTACCGGCTTCTGATGCTTTCTGCAATGCTGTTAACATATTTTAAATCCACCTAAAAATTTAAAAAATAAATAAATCAACATTTCTGCTATTTTCTGAAAACAGAAATTGTGCTAATCATACAGGAAATCATATGTGCATTCATTTTATTCTATTTTACAGTCACCATCCCTTACCAATGGACACAGCAGAATTAATTTTATTATATGAATATTAAAAATTAAATAGAAAGAAGTTGCTGCACACTTGTTTACATTATATAGAAGGATTAAGATGTATGTACTTTTCCTCATATTTATATGCAGAAGTAATACTTTTAGAAAAATCTATCACTCTTACCTTGCAGCAATGAACTATACCCTCCTGATTTGTTCTCAATGATGGAAATGCAGCTGAGTTAATCACAAACTCTCACACACCCCAAACCTTTGGTGAGAAAATTCACCCAAGCAGTTTCCTTGCCTCAGGACATCTATTACAGAGAACTTCCAACAGTTTATTCCAAGTGTTTCCAAACTGTTGCATTTATATGTGAAATTGTAGCAACCAAGTTACAGCACATTCCCACAACATAACCAGACAGGGGTTTTTTTTATGGCATTGCTCTAGGAGTTCTAAAGCTTGCTATGAACACATTCTACATATCTGGTACATTTATGCATTAATGCATGGATAGGCAAACTAAGGCCCAGGGGCCAGATCCGGCCCAATCGCCTTCTAAATCCGGCCCGCAGATGGTCCAGGAATCAGTGTGTTTTTACATGAGTAGAATGTGTGCTTTTATTTAAAATGCACCTCTGGGTTATTTGTGGGGCATAGGAATTCGTTCATTTCCCCCCCAAAATATAGTCTAGCCCCCTACAAGGTCTGAGGGACAGTGGACTGGCCCCCTGCTGAAAAAGTTTGCTGACCCTTGTTAATGCCATCAGGAATACCCATAAAATATTCAAATATTAAAGTCATGATAATGCACTATTGTGAGAAATATTGAACTCTTGTATGCAGTATTTGAACTTTTAGGGCAATCACACAATATGTCCACAGTATAAAGGTAAAGGACCCCTGGATGGTTAAGTCCAGTCAAACGTGACTATGGGGTTGCGGCGCTCATCTTGCTTTCAGGCTGAGGGAGCCGCCATTTGTCCACATCATGTGGCCAGCATGACTAAACTGCTTCTGGCTCATGGAAGACCGTGACGCGTGCCAGAGCGCACAAAAATGCCGCTTACCTTCCCACCACAGTAGTACCTATTTATCTGTTTGCACTGGCATGCTTTCGAACTGCTAGGTTGGCAGGAGCTGGGACAGAGCAACGATAGCTCACCCCATCTTGGGGATTCGAACCGCCAACCTTCCGATCAACAAGTCCACAGTATCTTGTGCTGTATATGCAGTAAGACTACTTATGTAGTTTTGGAAAGATTACCACCATAGGTTTGCAACATTAATATATGTGAGAACGTGTCCTTTGTTTGCAGGTGCTGCCTAAGAAAACCATCCTTTCGGCAGACTCGGCCTGGGCTTTATCACCATCTACATTATACACTGATTAAAGACTATTAGCATAATGTTGTTCCAGAAACTACAAGGTTTCTTCCCTCTTCAAGCTCCTACCTATTGCATTGTCCATTTAAAGCCACTGAGCTTTTGCTACTTTAGAACTCTGCATTCTAAACCAGAACTGCAGGATTAGCAAGTCAGAGCTCTAGCACTGAAACCTGCATTATTTGGGTGTTTTTGTTTTTGGTTTTTTTGCTATTTTTAAAAAGGGATATCCACAGGCCAGTTATTGCATAGTAGCTCACAGTAGATGACCCTCAGTATGAAACATGGCAGGAAACAGCAATGCAATGGGAAATAAGAGACGGGAGATAAATCTATTGTAAAAGAACTAAATGTAAGGATGAGAACCTGTGGCCCTCCATGGTTTGTGGCCTCCAGCTCTCAGGCACTATGACCAATGGACAAGGATGAGGAGGACTGTGGTCTGTAATATCTGGAGAACCACAGATTCTACATCTTTGGTCTACCACAAATGACTTCTGACGTGACCTCTCTAAACAACAAGTTTAGATGGTAAATGTGGAGCAGGCAGGATTTGAACTCTCTCACTCCAGAAAGCAGCACCCAAACCACACAGCTCCTTGAATACAGGCTCATGATGGGTCATTTAATATTGCCTAGACCATGACACATGCCTTTACCCATGCAGCATATCCAGAAATCCCTCCCAATGTGGAGCCTCATCTCGGTGCAACAGTCCAGGTTCAGCAGACCCAAGTGTTGAAGTTTTTTAATGTTACATAAAATGGCGTATAATTGTAATGCTGTTGCATTTTAAGTTGCTGTGAAAAGCGTGTGAACACTTTGTGAAGGCTTGCATTGTTTCCATTGCAAAGATGGGGTGGACTAGGTTTTATGACTGAGTCATGGGTCTCTGGAGAGAATTTTTGAATGTTTACTTATGTTAATGAACAGGGGCGCCGAGTACAGGGGGTGCAAGGGGCTTCAACTTCCCTCAATATTTTGAAGCAGGGGCCCCAGTCCCCCTCAGTATTGAGGGGGCTGACATCCCTCACCGCTGGGTGCCTTCTGCATGCCCCAGCCCCTGCCCCTGACTCGTCCCAGCCCCCTCCCAGCTCCTCGGATCCCAGGCAGCGGCAGGGGCATGCAGAGGGCACCTAGCGGCAGTGGCGGATGTCAACCCACTCAATACTTGGGGGGCTGGGGCGCTTCTTCAAAGTATTAATGGGGCTGAAGCCCCCTTGCACCCCCTATACCCAGCACCCCTGTTCTGAGAGAGTGCAAGGGTCACAGGCACTTCCAACTAAATTTATCCTTGGTTCTTTATTGTTTTCCACTGCGAAGTGCTCCTTTGCATCAACTTGCTCATCAACAGAATCTCATTCAGGGCTAGTGCAAGGCATTTTCCCACCTGAGCCAAGGTGGATGAGCTGTCACTGCTTCCCCATGCACTGATCTCCTATTGCTGCTTCTTTACTTATTTGCTGTCACAATAGCAGCAAGGGTGGTCCTTTGGCCTTCTATGTAGTAAACTGTGAAACTTTAAACAAGTGCGTGTGTTCACAACATCTTTATTAGGAGCACCTATGTGGCTTCTAGCTTCCTAGGGAACAGCTGCTGAGCCAGAGGTGATGGCTGGTTAGTAGGTGGTGGTGGTGGCAGCAGCAGTAACCAGCCAAACATTGGTGGGGGGTAGAGACCAGAAGTCTCAGAAGGCAGGTCAGAGGACCCTGATCCACCACAATGCCACCTGAGACAAGGGACTCACGTTGACTAATGGGTGGATTCACCCTGATTGCTTCTAACGTGCCCACAGATCTCCACATGAAGAAGAGTGTTGCAGCCCCATGACTGGCTCCTGAATTAATCAAAACAGTGGCTTTGTTTCCTCTTTGGGTCAAGACCTAGCTGTTTTCTCTGGTCTTTATGGGTAATGCTCAATATAGTGATCTGCTTGCTGACTTTAGTTTGCCATTGCTTAGAATGATAGAATCTTGACATGAGGTCTCCCATCCAATTTGAAACCATACCAGTCCCTGCTTAGCTTTCCAAATTTGCTAGTAGTTTTATTGCTGCTATTCATTGTAGTTCAATACATATCTGACAAGTCGTCATTTTAGATTGAATGTATCCACCCCTTGAGATCAGCTGGCAGAGTGTGAGTTGGAAAATATTTAAATAACTAAATAAATAAATAAATAACATTCTCTAATGTAGCAAAGGGGTAGAAGGGATTCTGGACCGTGGATCCCAACATACATGGGCCAGGACTGATGAGAGTTGGTGCTCCACGACATCTGTAGGACCACAGATTCCCCACCTCTGTATTATAGACAAACACAGACTGCTGCATTTTCTTTCTGTAAACACAAATCATTTCAAGCTAACTTACCTCTGCTACAAAGATAATTATCATGCAATGCTTCTTCTGATCTTCAGACATTCCACTTAAAAGGGATTGCAGTGTGTCCATCAAATAGCTTTCCTTTTCTCTTCGCACTGTTGGAACACCTATTACCATGGCCACTAACGTAAAAAAAAGGGGACTTAGCTGGACAATTTTTTAAATCAGTACAATAAAAAATCATTTTCATTTTCATAATGACACAACTACAGATATTACTAAGGTGATACTATTAGTGTCCTTAGGTGCAGAAATCAGCAGTGAGTTTAAACCAGTAAGAATAGAAATGCATATTCTACGTTGGTCATAATCCAACACTAAATTAGATTTTCTAACTGTGTGTTAGAGTGTGGTTTTAAGTTTTGAATCCAGGTCCTCCTTTCTGGGGGAATGTTTTGCATTCTCCACTAGCTGTCCATTTTATTAAGCTAGTTCCCTTAATTTTTGACTTCCCTTTAATTCGGACAAATTAACCCCCTTGATAAGAAGGATCTGTCATATTTGATAGATAGCAGCGATAACTCATATGCTGGCAGTTGAAGTGTCACAGCAAAAACATAAGGACAGCCTGCTATATCAGGCCAATGGCCCACCTAGTCCAGCTTCCAGTTCTCACAGTGACCACCCAAATACCTGTGGGAAACCCACAAGCAGAAACTGAGCACAAGAATACTGTGTCCTCCTGTGGTTCCCTGCAAGTGGTATTTAGAAGCATACAGCCTCTGACTAATGTTAGGAACATAGGAAGCTGCCTTATGCTGAGTCAGACCATTCACCCATCTAGCTCAGTATTTCTATACTGAGCGGCAGTGGCACTGCAGGGTTTCAGGCAGAAATCTCTCCCAGTCCTACCTGGAGAAGCTGGGGATTGACCCTGGGTTCTTCTGCATGCAAGACAGATGTTCTACCACTGGGATACGGCCCTTCACCTACTACTCCACTAACATCTGGGCAGAATTCTAAAGCAGTTTGTGCAGAGCCTTTTACAAAGAATAGCACAGAGCAGTAGAACGATTGTGAGGGCAAAATGAGATAACAGTGCACAAAAGGTGTGTGTGAGAGACAGACTTGAAGCCTGAGAAGATAGACCAAAAGAGGGACCTATCTTCTGTATACTAAACAGAAGCAGCAAGAGAAAAAGGCAATAGTCAAAAAGTTGCCTATTGTGCTTTCCTCCTCCTGCCAAGGTTTTACAAAGCTCTTCATCTGGGAAATTCTGCAACTACCCCTTGGACAAACCTTGGATAACTTGTAAAAAGTGGCACTTTTACATTGTCTTTCTTCTCATTCTCTTTCCACCCCAATCTCCAAGCAGTGTGATGGTCTAGGGGTCCAAGCACTTACCCAGGGTTCCTGTTTCCTTTAGAAATGGGGCCCAGCAGAGAATGTGTGTGTGTAGTTTTGCTGAGGGTTGCAGCCCAGTAGATCACTACAGTTTCAGCGCAACACCATGGAAAGCAGTAGTGGAGGAATTTGCTATGGTGGGGCAGAGCCCCATTTGCCCATATGGACCAGTCTCCACTGGCAGAGGGAGGCAGATAGGCACACCCACCATATCCTAACTCTTTCCAGAAGGTAGTTCTAATCTGAAGTTTAGGGTTGCTCTCTAAATACAAACAAACAAACAAACAAACAAACAAACAAACAAACAAACATATTCTCACCCCCAGTCCTTCCTTGTCCAATTACAACATTTGGATAAATACCATCTTCATGCTCCTGGAGATGAGGCAGATAGTAATGGATATTTGAAAGATGTATAGGGAGCTTGTTGGCGAGACTCAACATGTTCAACTTCGTAGAGTCTTAAAACGAAGGGAAAAAAGAGCTTTGGAACTCAACATCGAAACACTTAAATAACTGCCTAAAATGCCAGCATGCTCAGGGTACTGAGATAACATCATGGCTGATAGCATACCAATAGGTCCAAACTGCATGCTTTAAAAGCATGCAGCTTTATGGTGTAACATTATGGCATAAGGCCACTATTCTGAAGCAGGCCTCTCCCACCCACCCCCTCCAATGTTAAGCTTAAGAATGTCATGTACCTTCTGCTCACATCTCATGCATTGGCTATGGGTCTGCCTGGAACACTTAATATTTTTTAAGATAAGGGTTAGGTCAGAAGAGGACTAATTGAGTCAGAAGTACTGCCAGACACTCCCCTAATATAGCTGATGGCAAAGTTAACAGGTACATCCCTTAGGAAGGGAGCTGGATCTTCTGAATGGGGCAAAAGTAGAGTTTCCACACTCTCAACTCAGGGTGATGTATAATCTGGTTCTGTCTGTGTGGTTGAAATGGGAAAGTGAGACAGATTGGCGAGACACAGAGAAACACTGAGAGCAGATCTGGGGCAGTGGATCTGGCTGTCTTCTGGAGACTTCACTTATTCTCAACCTGTATATTTGTAAATAAATTCCTAGTTTTAAAACGCCGTAAGCCTCTAGAAACTTCTTTCCAAAGTAAACTGGTAAGCGCTGCACTCTAGAATGTCTCGTGGCTCTGAAAAATTCAGGCAAGCATTACAGTATATACAACCTTTGTATAAACCCTTGTATAAAATTTTGTGAACGCAACAAATATTTTTTCAGACTTTGAGGGGGAAAAGACACTTTGCTGGGTGGGGTGGGGGTAGATCACCGCATTCTCTTTCCCAATCATACCCAAATAATTTATAAGAGGCTATCATTAAATTGAAAATTAGAGAGCTGGTTTTGAGCTATAAAGCCTTAAGCAGCTCAAGACCACAGTACCTCAAAGACCACTTCTCTCCATAGGAACCTACCCTGACCCTGAGATCACCCTCTGAGGCCCTTCTTTGTGTGCCTCCTACACAAGAGTGTGGCAACACGAGAGTGGGCCTTTTCTGCAGTGGCTCCCTGTTTGTGGAATGCTCTCTCCGGAGAGGTTCAGCTGGCGCCTTCATTACGCACGTTTGGGCACCAGGCGAAACCAGGTTAACATCCAACAACCTTTTAAATGCGCTATGGGAGGGGGTGAGGTGGGATTATTAGTTTGTTTTTATTATATATTTTGTGTTCGTTTAATCTTGTATTTTTATGAGTTCTATGGATGAAGGGTGGCATACAAATTTCATAAATAATATCTATCTTGTAGTTTCTTAGAAAATACTGCATTTTGATGTGTCTCCTCCACAAACCAGTTTTGATCAGAAATGAGAAAAAGAATTATTGAGCTGTGTTTTCAGCTGGTGTGTACACAGCCTTATTCTCTGCTTTCTTGGATTTCCCTTATGCCTTCTGTTCCCCACCTCTGGGTCTTTCTGACTTCCCACTGCCCCGCATCGCATCACATGCTCCCATTAAAATCCACAGACCTCCATTCAGATCCATGTTTCCTTTCTGAGAAAGTAATGACTTCACAAGTTGTTTTAAAAAACAAACAAACAAAAAAAACAACTCAACACAAACCTGTAAAATTTCCAGAAGTGCTGGCTAGCTCACCAATGAATTGCTTGATTTCATTTAGGACACTGTTCAGCTCTTGGGATCTTTTTTTGTTTTCCTTTTCAGCAAAGAAGAGTCTTTGGCGAAGTTCCAAAAGCTGTCTTTGGTTCAAATCTAAAACACTTCCTGCAATTGTAAAGGCAAATTATCTTCTTCGGAAGGAAGTAATTCATTTCCTTAAGTAAAAGAAGGGTTAAACCTTTTCAGACCGAACATTCATTCACAGAAGGAAGAGTGGAAAATACACACCCTTTTTTTTAATCCTTTGTGTATTTATGGATTTATACATAAATGCACTTATTATTTTAAGCAATGTGTAAACATAAACTAATCTTCACAAAGCTCACTCCTCCTCTCCAACCTCCCATAAATCTGGATTATTGACCATGCCTTTCCTCACCAACACATAGTCAGACTATAGATTAATGAGTCTATTGTGATTTATGCCTCCCACAAGTGCCTTACAATGAACCTGTTAAACACTGCTATTACAAAAGCCTGCTGATCATTGAACAACATGTAGATGAATTCCATGCAGGTTTTGACCTGAGGAAACTTAACTAACTGGTAGTGGAATTTCTAATTTACAGCAGTAGAATGAGGTCGAATTCAGAGCCTGCTTTTCAGTAGCGCTAACGGAACAGTATACACTCATCCAAAACAGCCTGTCTTCCAGGGGTAGCTTTTAAATATTGTATAGCACTTATTGAATTAATGTATAATTAATGCTCTGTATAAGTGTTTACTAATCGAAGAAAGTCCCTGATCTGCCCATGTCCCCATGGTTACCAGAGCCATCAAGCAAGTAGAAAATAGTGACAGGGCGCTACTTTTAGGATGCCCATTGCTGCTTCTTCAGCCCCAGTGACCGAACACCTTCAGTCAACAATATATTTTACATAGTTCTTTGGCAATAATGACACTTCCTGTTTCTTTCCCACTTCTGACGCCCCCATATCAACAAGAGGGATAAGAAGCAGCTGTTGCACTTGCCACAGGTGAGAAAGAGTTATAATAATAATAATAATAATTTATTATTTGTACCCCGCCCATCTGGCTGGGCCTCCCCAGCTACTCTGGGCGGCTTCCATAGAAACAAAAAATACAGTAAAATATCACAGATTAAAAGCTTCCCTGAACAGGGCTGCCTTAAGATGTCTTCTAAATGTCAGGTAGTTATTTATCGCTTTGACATCTGATGGGAGGGCGTTCCACAGGGCGGGGGCCACTACCGAGAAGGCCCTCTGCCTGGTTCCCTGTAGCTTTGCTTCTCGCAATGAGGGAACCGCCAGAAGGCCCTCGGCACTGGACCTCAGCTTCCGGGCAGAACGATGGGGGTGGAGACGCTCCTTCAGGTATACTGGGCCGAGGCCGTTTAGGGCTTTAAAGGTCAACACCAACACTTTGAATTGTGCTCGGAAACGTATTATCCAAATGAGAAAGGAACTCAGGAGAACTGGATTTTTTAAGGGGTGTGTGTGTGGATATCCAACATAGCGTCTTGTTCCAACTCAAACAGTGTCAACAAAAGTACTTCCTTCTACCGAGCTAGCATTGAACTGACTATGTAAAACAGGTGAGCTACCCAGTGGCACCTGATTTCTGCTTACGCAACCATTTTACAATCTTGTGTGCATTTACAATGAGTGATAGGTCCACTTCCATTTATTACTGCTCATGTGTGCAAAGTTACTGTCTGCCATCACCTTATATAATAAAAGCTTGTTAAGGACTATGCCTCCAGTTGTTTCCCTGTTCAGATGGAAATTTGACATATGCAAAGTGTACAGACGTCTGGCCTTTGATTTTATTATCAAATCTGAAGGTGGAGGCTGTACATAAAAATACTAGGTGAGGCCTTTGGGCAACAACATCATTATGTGAAGCTCCTGCAGCTGTGGGAATATTGTTGTTGTCTTAATAGTTCTTGTATATACCTGGAGAGAAAAAAAATATGCACCTATGTTCTATATATAGATCTACTAATGGCTAACAGCAATTCTCTGTTGGAGGAATGCAATTTTAAGGAAGAATATAACCAGACATATTTCAAAAGAAAAACCTTAGAATGTTTTGGACAATCTTCCTGAGCATTTATGTCAAAAAGATGTTTTATCACACACACACAATATAATAAAACCACTCAGTGTAAAAAAAATCACCCGTGCACACATGGAAGTATGAGAAGTGCTGCAGAACAGTCAGCATGGATAACCTTCTACAGCTGTGTTCTACACAGTGCTTTTCTCCTCAGGAGCTGAGGAAGTCCCTATTCAAAACAAATCTCCCGGCCATGATGAAAAAAATTATGATAGTTTAAGTGTGAGAGGTGTACAACTAGGCAGGGGCACCAGACAACAGTTGAGAAAGGCCAGAACATCACAGTCGAAAATGCAAGTGTAAAAGACAGAGACAGAGTATTTATACACTAATACTAGAAGCCTCTGAGTCAAGATGGTTGAACTGGAGTGCTTGGCCTTAGAGAACAAGATTAATATAACAGAAACCTGGTAGAATGGAGAGAGCCTGCAGGACTCTGCTTATAGATTTTAATGTTACCTATGTTCGTTGATTCCACTGAGGGGATCAGACCCTGTGTGAGCAGAATGCTGTCCAGTCTGGACACTGTACCATGGCGTCCGGATTGGAATGTATGGCTGATGTCTCCCGGGTTTTGCTCACCCCAAATGTCGTAGAGACCCCTGTTTTTTAGCATTTTTAGTAACTTGTAAGAGTCCCTAGTTGTTAGGGGTTTCCTTCGGAGGAAGGTTGCCCATGGGATTGTAGGGTGAATGTCTTTCAGGGATATACCTTTCATATTTAGGTTGAGGTCCCCTCCTAGGATTGCTTCCCCTTCAGAGAAGGAGAGGAACTTGTTTAGTGTCTTCTGGAAGAATTCTAGTTGTTTCGAGTTTGGGGCATATATGGAGCCGATTGTCAGTTTAATTTTGCCATCTAGTGTCCCTTTAGCGAAAATGAATCTGCCTTTTTTGTCCTTTAGGACTGTTGTGGCAGTGAAGTTCAGGTCTCTACTGAGTATTATAGCTCGTGCAGCCCATTGTTGACTGAAGCGGGGGTCACTCAGGAGTTTTCTCCCTTTGGGTGGGTTGTGTATTTCTTGTAAGAAGGTGATGTGTGGTTTCATGGTGTTTATGTATGAGGTGATGCGTTTTCTTTTTATGGGGTTTCCCAGCCCCCTCAGATTTAATGTAATTGCTTTTAGACTAGCCATCTTGCTTATCTATTATGTAGGGTGATTCCTTGCCAACTCGTCCAGGTTGTTCTGTGTCTCTCACTTTGTGTTGTTTAACGAACCAGTGGGGTTGCGCTGACCTAGCGCGTGGTGGGTGGGGGATTATTAGGAATAGGATCAGTTTTGGGTTAAAGAGTGGGGGATAGATTATAGAGAGTATCCTATATGTAGTCATATAGGTGTTTGTTAGGGGTATTTTGGGCCATCTGGCATTTAGCCGGTTGGTCCTAGGTCTCAGCTGGTGTGGATGGCCTTGTTCAGGGGCAGGCCATCCTCCCTGTCGTTTGCAATAGGGGGTGATCAGTGAGATGGTGTTAAGCGTCTTTGTGACGCCAATGTCGGGTATAGGGTTCATAAGCAGTGTTGCCAACATTATTAGCAACATGTTGGAGTGGGGATGTGGGTGTTGGTATGCTCTGGTGCCACCATTGTGCTGATTGGGTGTCAGATTTTAGCCTGTTTGTGAGTTATTTTATCAAGGTTGAAGAAGTTGTTTTTCCTTAGTATGGAGTAGGGGGGTGCTGAAAGTGTGGGTTATGGGTTGTTGGGTGGTGGGGGATATGGTTTGAAGTCATCTGGACTGGCATTGGGGTGGGGATCTCTGTGGAGATGCAGGGCTGGGGGGGTGTTGATGGTGTTGGCTATATTTATAGCCTAGGGGGAGGGGGGAGAAAGGGGGGAATCACCAGTCCTTCAGTTTGAGGTGTTTTCTGGGTGCTTCATTCAGCTGTGGTTGTTGTTGTAGGGTCGTCCATCTGTGATGTGTTGGTTTGGTTGATCCTGGTCTGTTGTCTTGTGCTGTATGTTCAGTGGGATGCTTCTGTGCTTGGTGGTGGTTGGCTGTACTGGTTTGCATTGTTGTGTCGCTTCTGTTGCTTCTTTTTCCTCTTTACTGTCATCCAATTGTTTGATGTTGTTGTTGTTTCATCATGGTGGTCATGACTGTCACTCGGTGGATCTGTCGGTTGCCATTCCAGTGGAGGGTTGAGTTCAAGGTTCTTCAGTACTTGCAGGGCTTCAGGTATTTTGGCAGCCGTGTGTTGTGTTGTGTTGTGTTGGTTGTTACTATAAGGCGGAAGGGGAAGCCCCATCGGTACTTGATCCCTGTTTGTTGGAGACGCTGGGTGCATGAGCGTAGGTTTTCCTCTGATTTAGGGTGTCCTGAGATAAATCCTTTAAGGCCAATATGGGGTTTTCTCCGTATCAAAGGCTTGTTGTTGAGTTTCTGAGGTTGTTCCATACCTCTTCTTTCTTTTTGTAGCGTGTGAATCATACAGTGATGTCTCGTGGGGAGGCATTGGGTTTTGGCATAGGTTTTAGGGCTCTGTGAGCCCTCTCCAGGTCGTCTACCTTGAGTGTCAGATTTGGGATTGTATTTTTCAGCCAGCGTACAATTAGGTCTGCTGGGCTGTTCTCCTCCACTTTTTCAGGAAAGTTGCGGGAGCGGATGTTGCAGCGTCTACTATGGTCTTCAAGGTCTGCCTGTTTGATTTTCATGGCTGTATTTTCCATTTCTATTATTTCCAGGTGGCTTTCCAGTTTAGCCAATTTATTATTGACACGTGTGTTCTCCTCTCGGTACTTCTCTATTATTCTTTCTTGTATTTGGTTCTTGTTTTCTAGAGTTTCCACTTTGGAAGTCATGTCACCGAATGCTTTCAATAGTTCTGTTAGTCTCATTTTCACTTCCTTCAGTTCTTGTTTTGTTGCTGGGTCGTTGTCATCTTGGGGGGGGGTGTTGTGTTCTTCGTGCTGTTTGCCATCTCCCTGGTTGTTGTCATCGCAGTCTTGTTGGTGTTTTTGGTTTCAAATCTGCTTGGCATCCTCTTGGAGCCGGGCGTGTTGTGGTTAGGAGTTGTTGTGGTGGTGGTGATGTTCCTGGGTGTGGCTGAGCAGTTAAGCTGAACAAGCGTTGTTGACTGGTGGCTTTTACAGAGTGTCTGGATTAGGCGGTGATTAGTGTCCCGTCTGGGCTGTGCTTTAAGGGCTTCTCTGGGGTTCCCGCAGTCTCCTCAGCAGTGTTGCCAGGGTGAGGTGGGGCAGTCGAGCAGTCAGATGAGTAAGCCAACAGACAGACGGTTCACGTAAAGGGGTTGGTAGGCAGCGGTATGAGAGATTGGTGGAGTGGGGTCAGAGGGAGAGTGTATGTTTGGGGGGTTATTTGTGGGTGCACCTGTGCGTACACGTCTGTGCACAGGTACTCATGAAAGGAGTATTGGGGTCCAGTCGAGGGTGGAGGGAGGGGTCAGGGGTTCGTAGTAAAGAATTAGGAATTTAAGGTTGGCAAGGATGTGTTCAGGAGCAGAACCCAACAAAGCAATGTAGATGTTGAAGGTGAAAAAGGAGGGGAGGGAAAGGGGGAGAAGCAGGGGAGGGGAGGGATGGAAGTCAGAGTAAAGTAAAGAAGGGAGAGAGGAAAGGAGGGAGGGAGATGAAAGAAAGGAAGAAAGAAAAAGAAAGAAAGAAAGAAAGAAAGAAAGAAAGAAAGAAGTAAAAGGGGGGAAGAGACAAAGAAAGATGAAAATGCTTGGTTGCAGTGGTGGTTCTAGTTATAGTATGAGGTAAAAGACCCCTGGGGAGGGGGGATTGCTAATGAAAGTGTGTGGGGAGGTATGTGTATGTAGATTTTAGGGTTAGGAGGGTAAGAGGGACTAGAAAAGCAGACTAAATCAAAGAGGGAAAGCAGGGGGGTGGGGAGGGGAGATGAGAGATCTGAAGATGTCGAAGTTGTGATGCCTGGCAGTAGTATTTGTATATCAAATGCCAAAGGTAAAAATAATGTAGAAATGAAAATATATAGAAAGCCCTCTTGAGAGGGGCAAATATAATAATGTGTGTGTGTGTGTGTTCGTGTATGTATGTGTTATTTTAAAGAGAAGGAGGGGGGAAAGGGGGAAGGAGGAAAGGAAAAGAAAGAAAAAGAAAAAGGGAGGGGGGAAGGGTACTAGTGGCAATAGCACTGATATGGGGGGAATATTTTTATTTTATTTTATTTTAATTTTTAGAGGGGATGGTAATAGTTGCAGGACAATGGGGGGAAGGTAAGGCTCCCCCCTCAAAAACAGACGAACGAAGAAACTAAAGGGGGACTAAAAGGAAAGAGGAATAATAATGATAGTAATAATAATAATAATAAAAAGGAATTTTGTTTGGGGAAAAAAGGTAATAATAATGATAAAAAATAGTAATTGAAAAAAATGTTTCCTCCTTTTTTCAAAAAATAGAAATGAGGGTAGAGAATGGGATAAAAATAAAACAAATACAGAAAATAGGGAAAATATGTTAGAGAGGGGTAGATTGTCTGGTAAAAATAAGGTAAAAAATATTGGGAAGGAAGGAAAGGGGACAGCAGCAGCAGCAACAACAACAACAAAAGCCCCCCCCCCCTTTTTGGGAGGGGATGGAAAATGTGTTTTTAAGTAATATAGGGTTGTATTTTTAAAATGGTAGTAATAATAGTTTAGTGAAAAGGCTGAAGACTTGGGGAAGGGGGAAAGGGAAAAAGGGGGGTTTAAAAGAGGGTTAAAATATATGAAAGGGTGGGAAGTTTTATGTTTTTTTAAAAAAAAATAGAGGATAGAGTTAATGATAATAATATAATATAAAAAGTTGATATATATGTTTAAAAAAATAGTAAAACACGCACACACACAAAAAGGAAATAAAAAATTGAAAATTGAAAAAGGCAAGGTCTTTTCCCAGAGGGTTTCCCCCTGGGCTTCAGCCTGCTTCTGGTGCGCTAGCTGTCCGGATGGATGGCTGGGCGTCCCTCTCCTCCTTTTCCTCGGCTCAGCAGCAGCGACAGAGGTTTGCACAGCCTTCCTCTTGCTTCCTCTGCCTGCTTTTTAGTCAATCCTTTTCTAACTAAATATCCTGTAATGATACCATATTAGAAGACTGCCTTTCTAGATAATCAGCTCTTCAACATGCAATTTCATTTTGTTTCCCCACTCTCAAATCACCCTATTCAGTTTCACATAAGACTCTTAAGAGTAGCTCAAGATTATGTTTGTAGAAGATCTACTTTCACAAGGAGAAAAGCCGTAATAAAACATGTATTGTGTTTTGTGAATGCCTCATGTAGCACTTGTCAATTATTACGGATTTATTTGGGAGACTCGTGAATTAGTTTAGTTTCCACACTGGCTCACTGCCATTCTATGGGGACAGATTCACCACTTGGAACATCAACCTAAACTTGACGTGAGGGAGGCTAGATAAGAGACTGCTACCCAACGCTTTAGCTGTCTGTCTTGTTAGGCATTCTTCTGAGCCACTTTTCAATACTACCCCAATTCTAAGGACATTTATGTGGAAGAAAAGCTAGTATGTTTGAATCTTATCAGTCCGATTTGCTTGTACGTCTACTTGGGACACACTGCAAACTGTGGTTTGAGTGGTATGTACAGATGGGGATTATATTTATTAAGAAGTCAGGAAGGCAAGCAGGAACAAAAAGCAACACACAAAGAAAGAACATGCAGTCTTTTTGTCTCGTATTTGTTTAAAATGCCTATGTCAACTTGACCCAAAACGTCACATGTAAGCTAGTTGGCTAGTGTTCCACAGTTAAGTATTTGTATTTATATCTCCATTTGTTCTGCCTTCTATCTGCCTGGCACCCTCCTACTTTTCAACTGAATTTCTGCTAGTTGTGTATGACAGAACTGCCTCTTGTTCATTATCTAAGGATTGGATGCCCCAATTTCTAAGAAATCCTACAATAATGGAACAGCTTTGCATTACACTGGGACCAGAGAGACGTCACCATTCTGTCACTGGAACAGCCACTATCTCCAACACATCCTTGGACTGGAAGGAAAGGGGAGGGGAACACACAACCAGAAAAACAAAATAAAAATGGTGCTGCAAGCCCTGCCAATGACAATCAAGGAGTGACTATGTCCACATACAGAGCATACTGCCCACATACAGAGGTACCCAATGAACACACAATGAAAACCAAGTACTGCTAGCACGTGCATCCCTGCATTACCGCATAAATAACACACATGATAATGCCACAGTGCCTCTGCTCTACTAGTGCCATTGGCACAACCAGCCAAGACCTCACTACTGCAAGTCCCAGGAATCCCTACAGGCAACCTCCCTTAGGCTCCTGATAACCACTGTTTTATAAGCTCAAGGCGAGGAGAGCCTATACAGCATAATACACACATAGCTCCCTGGGCAGAGAGCCTGGAGAGATTGCATACAGAGCTCCTGAGATAAGGGTTCAAGACCCACCCTGGAAGAAAATACTCTTTTCAGAAGCAGTCAAGGGGAGCGACCAGGGCATGCAAGTGCAGCCACAGACACACTGAGAGCAGCAGCCATCAGTGCCCCACTTACAGGGCATAGGATTGGCAGGCAGGAGATATCCTTAGTCAACCCTGTGAAGGAACAGCAAGGAGCATCCTGGACCCTGCTTGTCATGGGATTAACACAGAACATGGTGTGGGATGGATCCTGTACTTGTGGGAGAGTGACCGGGAAACACAGGGAAAGAATAATGAGCAATTGTCAGCAGCTGGAACACACAGCCCTTGAACCTAGATGCACAGTGGATGTTTGTGAGGCAGTGAGAGAGATGGTGGATTGGTGCCACCTGGGTGCTCTGCCAGTGTCTCCTTCCTTGTGGAGGGAGACACTGTAGTGATTATTTATGTACTTCCTTTTTTATGGTTGTAGTGAAACACTGTTTGTAACAGCTCTTTAATTTGCTCCATGCATCCAAGCTGTGATATTGCAAGGCGGAAGCACTCATGTTTAGCCAGCAGTGGCAATGGGTGCAATGGAGAGCCTGGCTTTTGGCAGCAGAGAACTTACCTACATGAGCCTACATGGGCAAAGAGTGCTTCCCCTGTGTGATGAAGACAAAGCTCCCCACTTCTGGGTTGGAAAGAGTATTAAAGCAAAATAGTTTAGTCTAGACACAGATTCCCAGCTTTCACTGTTAAAACAACTGGGATGGGGGTAGTTTTTAGCATTTGTAGAACCTAAGATACAAGGCAAAATGTACAGGCACTATTTTCCTCGTGTGAAAGTAACTAGCCCGATGCCACCTTTCAGTGATTTAGTCCCCCCCCCCAAAAAAATTAAAAAGTCTGCAGGTTGGTATGGAATTTTGTATTGGATGTTTGTGTCTTGATTCCCAAGGTGAAGTATCAATTAAGGTTATAGCAGAGAAATGTTAGCAATATGCTTGAATATATATATATATATATATATATGAATGACTGAATGTCCTAGAGTCACAAGTACAGTACCACAAGATTAGTCAATTTAAACCTCAGGGGCAAGAAATATATCGACTTTCACTTTGCAGTTAAGCCAAGAATGTTAAAATCAAATAGAACTCTTTATTTCTCATTTACATAGAGTAGTTTCTACGCAAATGCAATTCTGGTTCTAAACGCAGCATAAGGGGTCTTTATAGTATAGTGTATTTTAAAATGGGGTTTCAGGGTTTTTAGGGGTTTTTGAATGTTTTGTGTAGTTTTTCAATTTCATTGTTCTGCATGGGACAATGACAATAAAGATATCGTATATCGTATAGGACATAACATATTAGAACCTAACAATGATCTCATGAATCATGCTCACATGCTTGGTCACTACTGATATTCTCCAAATTTATCTATTTAACTAAATTAAAAGCAGCATAACATAAGAAAACATGCATACAATGGCTTGGATCCTAAGATAAGTTAACTTTAGGAAGTTCATGAAAATAACGTTTCCCACCCCTTCCCTCCCCAGCGGCCACCTATGCCTCTGAAAAGCCTCTCCAGACAGTGGGGGCCCTCCTGAGCAATGTGGAATGGAGGCAGGGGAAGCTTCCTTCCATGAACTAACTTAACTTACTTATCATTGAATCCAAGCCATACTATATATATCATTTTCTTTCCTCCTTCCTTCCTTCCTTCCACACCCTCAACTTTCACCTGGTAGCGACCATTCCAGGAGGCTTCCTCAGTGGGAGAGATGGGAAACCTGGCTCATTCCATCAGCTCCGGTGAAGGACCAGCTCTATCAGGTATCTCCTGTCCCTGAACCATTTTCATTCCAGCTGATCATTATAAGAACTATTTAACTTTAAGAACTGGCCCCCCAAGTTTGCTTTTCTGCCTCTTTCCTCCCCGTCCTCTTTTCCGTTTGTGTTCTGTCTCCTAGATTGTAAGCCTGCAGACACCATCTTGTTTTAATTGATAACATGCAAGCTGCTCTGAGAGCCTTTTTGGCTGAAGAGTGGGGTACAAGTGCTTGTTGTTGGCATCCATCTGTCTCAAGGGACAATGGAGTGCACATCTGGGGTGAAGGCAAACTGCTGTGTTAGCAGCACCCAAGTGACCTCCTTGGGGCACAAGCCTGGGCAGTGTGTATGGAGATCCTGAGCTGCCCAGATGACAAGACAGCAATATCAAAAGCAATTACAATGTGAAAAACTGAAGTCTCTGAAAGTCTTTGGAAGTCCTTCAGTTTGTTAGTTTTGATGTTTTGAATTAGTCCATAAAGTTTTTCACATTGTAATTGTTTCTGGCCATCGTGTTGCTTTTGATATTGCTGACTCATATTTTGCATCACGGGGGTTTGTTTGTTTACCCATGGTCCATAAGGAGGCATAAAAGGCACCATCCAACTGTGTGAGGGACTCCACTGCAGATTTGTGTAGGGCTTACTTCTTAGGCTTTTTTCTTCTCCCAAAGATATCCCACAAGACAGCAGAGGTTTAGGATAAGAGATGGGCTCCCTCCCCAGAATGATGAGCCCCATCTGCCCCTCACTTCCCTCTACAGCATGTGCAAAAACTGCCTTCTTCTACTTAACCATTGGACCCACTATTGGTCTTGTGCTCTCAATCCTTTACAGTCTGTCTTCACATGCAGGAGAAGTCTTTAAGTCACCAAGGATTTGAGACCCATCAGCTACCCTCACCTGGTTTAGCCCACCAGTCAAAGCCATTTCCTGGTGTGCGGATACTGTTGCATTTTGACAGCTTCTAGGAGCCACAGGTGAGAGCTGAGTGCAGGGTGGGGATCAAAGGTGGACAAAGTACCCCAGAAGGAGCATGACATGTCCCTCACCAGAGGTACTACCTCTTCCCTAACACCCCATACACCCCAAGGTACAAGTGCAATAACTAAATAATTCCACTGAAGTTCATCTGGTCTATGGGGTCACGAAGAGTCGGACACGACTAAACGACTAAACAACAAAATTACTATTATTTTACCACCAAGTGGCAGTGGCACAGATACGAGAAGTAAATATCCTCAAATCCCACAAGCACTCTAATTTTAAAATATTTCTATAGAAGAGCCAATTTGAGTGATTATTCTGGGCATCAACCATCACTGTGCATGTAGCCAATGCAATGTCTCAACAATTAGTAATTAGCAGGAAAAGCTATTTGGCACATCACTGTTCAGCCCCATTAGGGTGGCTTCAGTGGCATGCTAGTCATTTTTGTGTCTGCGATACATTTATCATTCTGGGCCACTACAACTTTCTGAATTTGGGTAAGGAGTAAAAAACACACCCACACATTCATAGCTGTCAACGTTTCCCCTTTTTTAAAGGGAAACACCCTTATTCCGAATAGGTTTCCTCGCAAGAGAAGGGAAAAGTTGACAGCTATGCACATTGCATCAAGTGTGATTAGTGACTGACACGCATTTAAACAGCTGCGTTGTTGTCACAGCATTCAACGAGCGGGTTGTCCGCACAGGGTGTTTAGCTGAAGACATCAATTCAGGACATCAAAACTCACAAACCATGCAGCAAAGTTATGCAGCTCTTCACGCTAATCTTACTTCTTCCATACTGCAGAGAAAATCGCTGGGACCCCGCAGATGGCACAACCCACAAAAGGAGTTCAGGACCAATAAGATGCGAGCGCCCGGAGCCCGGAGAGCAGCGCCCGGCCGCTCAGAGCCAACCGGGACCTGGGCTGCTGCTGGCGACGAGCGCAGGTGGCGGTTAGCGGGAGTTGGGAGCCGTGGCCCGGAGGCTGCGGAGCGCGCGGTCCCGCGGGGAGCCTCCAGGTGCGCCTCCTCAGCCCCTTTCCCTGGGAGAAGCGAGGCGCAGCAGTGCCGCCCGTCTCCTCCCAAGGGGGCCCTCTTCCCGCTTCTCTTTCCCGCCAACCAGCCAAGCCCTCCTCCTCCTGCCCCGGGCCGGGCCGGGGCGCGCGCCAGCAGCAGACTTTCCTCCGCCCGCCTTTTCCCGCTTCTCACCTCCGCTCCCGCTGCGGGCGGCGTACCAGGCGAAGGAGAAGAGCGCGCTGAGGCACACAAACGTCAAGGCGCTGGTCAGACGGAGCCTCATTTCTCGGCCCCCTGGCGAGGCTGCCCGAGGTCTTCAGCGGCGGTGGCGCCTCGAAGCGCTGCTCTGCCCGGCGCCTCACCGCCTTTGTTTGGCGTGTGTGTGTGTGGTGTTTGTTTGCTCCCCTCACGCCTCGTTGCCCCTCTGGGAAGAGTTATTATCTGCCGAAAGGCGCCTGGCCAAGTTCACAGGTGCGGGGATCCGATTCCGCGCTTATCTCTCTCAGCCTTGGCTGCTGCTCCAGCAACGCGGGTCCAGCTCCTCCTCAGCTCTTCCTCGCGCTTGCAGGAACTCGTGGCGCAAGGCATCGACCATCTCTCTCTCACCCAAGAGCGACTGAAATGTTTCTGGCGCTTCCCCGGAGGGATTCGCTGGAGCCGCGAGCCCAATCAGGGAAGAGTCGTCGCCGCCGCCGCCGCCGCCCCTCCCTCCCGCTATAATGTATAAGTCAGCAACCTGTGCAACCTGCTTCGCTTTCTCGGAAACATTTGAATTGCAGACCCTGTGGGCAAGTGGCCAAAGCGAGAGGTTGGAGAGGGATAGGTTTGGCGTCTGGATTTTAAAAGGCAGCGATACCCGCCCTCATTCTTAGGTGCAGTCGTGAGAACTTCGGCACATTTCTGTTCGAACGCGCGGAGTATTGTGACGTAGCAATTCCAGGGGTTTGCATGTTGAACCGGGCAACTGAAACTTGCCCCCAAAACTGCTGCAGCTCTAGTTATGGCACTTTTTCGGCCCAGTAAAGCATACCTTCTTGCGTCAGTGTTGTTATTTTTTTTTAAAGCGACTCTTTACAAGTATGAATGGAAAAGCATCCCTTGTTCACTGATGCAACTTTTTCAGATATCTGTACTGCTGTTTGAATGTGGTTTCTATATCTTAAGTATTTTCAATATTGCTTTATGAAAATTGAGCAAGTCCTTCTTCACGGCAAGGTCAAGGTACAGAAGCCATAGAGAAATTAAAATCAGCATTGTAACCTTTCAGTCTCGGTGAAGGACCCAGAATTCTGCAAAGCCGAAAGAAGCAGAGTGCTCTATTTGTTTGATGAAATGAGCATTTTGAGGTTTAAAAGTCAATATTCTTTTTCTTTGATTTTCACATAAGTTCTCACTGTGTCAATTGCACTTGCAGATTCTTTTTAATCATTCATTCCAGTTCTAGCCAAAACGTGTAGTGTTTCAAATTTATCCTAAATACAAACATTAATTGCATTTCCATCTTGAAAGTTCAATATGCTCTCAGGCTGACACATTGGCAAGTCTCCAGGGAAAGTTGTAGAGCAGCAACTAAAAATGCTTATGTGTTCTTCCCGCATGGTGGCAGGAATGCAATAAATAAATGCACCATTCTTAGACAACTGAGATTGTGACAGGATACAGAGGAGGAAACTGTTTCCTTGATATTTTAGATTCTGGTGAAAGTATCTTCTGCAAAGGGTACTCTGTAGCAGGAGCACTTTTAAGCTATACATTAAGCTACTTAACTTTCATCAGTGTGACCTTCCTTTATTTAGCAGTTTACAAGGACAGTTTTACTGCCCCTCTTAATAGTCATTATAAATCATAAATGATTATTATTTGTTCATGGTACCCATGAGTGTACTAGAGTCTGTAATGAGCAACATAAATAGATAGTCTGCCCTATAGAGCTTGCAGTGTGATTTCTGGAATAAAAAAACCCACTGAAAGTGAAGAGAGAATGGGAACAAAGGAATTCTAAACAGTTACCGTATTTGATGCCTCTGGCATATATAGTAAGACCCATCTCTTTATTATTAGCACATAATTATCATTGTAGCCAATTAAGTATGTAAGCTGTGCATTATTCACATTGTAGAACATTATTGTAAGGTGTGGTTCAGTTTTATAAACTAACTACACAACTGCATATTGTACAATAAGTCTTTTTTCTGAATAACTAAATCAAAGTGATTCAGTTTTCAAATTTTAGGCAGGCTCCTGAAGTAAAGGCAATGGTAATACTTGACAAAAGACAAGTATATTAAAGTATATCCTATATATGTTGTGCCTATTTCTTTCAGATGAATGAGTGCTAGGCAACATCTAAGTATAGATAAAAAATTTCACTGATCCATGAAAAATCAGACTGGTATTGGACCCCAGAGCTGTGTATCTGAATGTACGTTTTACTATGTACATTTAGTCGCCAAGGATCACAAGCAAGTATGATGCAAATAGATGTCATTATCCTTGTAGAATAATCCGTGTAGAAGGCATGGTCAAAGGTCAGGATGAAATATTGATTAGTATAAGTGAAGTTCTCTGAAACCACTGACACCAGCTTATTTAGATTTAGAGTAGCTAGTTTCAATACCAAAAATAAAGGCTCATTGCAAATTGATTCTGCATTATCCTAAAGTATGTTCATTTGAAAACAAATGTAAACAGATTAAAGCAGTTGTGGCAATGTGGGTTGTATCCACATCTGCCAAATGCCATTGTCGGTATGTGTACATCAGGGTCAGCAAACTTTTTCAGCACTGTCCCTCAGACCTTGTGCGGGGGGTGGACTATATTTTTTGGGGGGGGAATGAACGAATTCCTATGCCCCACAAATAATCCAGAGATGCATTTTAAATAAAAGGACACATTCTACTCATGTAAAAACATGCTGATTCCCGGACTATCTGCAGGCCAGATTTAGAAGGCGATTGGGCCAGATCCGGCCCCCGGGCCTTAGTTTGCCTACCCATGGTACACACAATCATAACTTCCCTCTTTATTCACTGGAGCACGTGCAGGGGGGAAAAGGTGTGGATAACCTAGGGACAGCCTGTCCCATTTTGTTACGAGGCAAAACGGGAAGGTGCCACCTGCCCCCTGTGGCTGCCCCTCCACTGAAGCTTTGCTTATTGAGGTTGTGCGGCTTTGGCTTCCTGGTTCTGGTGAGATCTTGTGAGAGGTCTGCGATATTTTGGCAGAACCTGGAAGCTGCAGCCACTTCTCCTATGACAGTGGCACTGTGCAAGACACCTTAATTAAAGAGACTCTCACAGTCAAGAGGAATGTATTTGATACTTGAATACGCCTCTTGTGGGAAAGCCACTGATTGCAGCCAGGCACAGATATGGAGGGTGATGTAAGCCTGCCATAGCTTTTGAGTTACTGTCCACCATGTAGTGGGAAATGTGGATTTGCTGCTTAACCAATCAACAGACTTTGTGATGGAAAACTTGCGGCAGCTCTCTCTTGTCATCCAGCAGGTGATGAAGAAGGAAAAAAACTTTCCCCCAAAAGGAAATGCTACCTGTACCACGAAGAAAGCAGGAATTTACACTACTGATAGTGTGAAAGGCAGCAGGAGAGGGGTCATCAGTACCAATGATGGTAGTGGAGGTGAACTGGGTGGAAATACAGGACTAGTGTACACACAATAGTAGATAGCATGATGAGTAGCATAAGTATCAAAATGAATGTGGTGTCCAACATAGATGACAATCTTTTTCTTGCAACAGCAGTTGGTTCTAATATTAGAAGCTGGTGAATAGACAGAAAGCAGAGACACCACAAATGGCAATGAATCAATCAGAAATTATGCCATTGTCATAGAAGCAGGATGTTGACCCAACTCAATGTGCCCAACATTAGGCAATCTGTCTCATCGTTTAGTGTGCTGAACATACTTGTTTAATTTTCTACAACAAATAATAACAATGACATAAAATATAATAATATACAATTAAAACACACATAATTCAAAGCAATTCCATTTATAAGCAGTACCAAACAGCCAAGAGGGAGGGGGGAAAGATAGTCTCCAAAGGGTTTGTGAGAACAAATGGGTTTTCACCAGCCAAGAAAAAGCCATTAATGTTGTCACCATTTGTGCTTCCAAAGGGAAGGAGTTCCATAAATAAGTAAGAATGCAGACTGGAAACATCTAAAGTATCCATCAGGTTCTGCCTAATAAGAACGGATGAGAAAACATTCTCTCACTTGGTGATTCCATTGCCTATGTGATGTTTGCTCCAAACTTTGTTATATTTAGGGAAGCTTTTAATGTTTGACAGACTATTGTATTTTAATATTTTGTTGGAAGCCGCCCCGAGTGGCTGGGGAAACCCAGCCAGATGGGCAGGGTATAAATAATAAAATATTTTATTATTATTACTATTATTATTATTATTACTTTTGATTGCTGAATGCTTCTCCACCTATGATTCCCCCCCTCCTGATTTCCTGGAGATAAAATGGGGTTGTCCTCCCTCTGTTCTTTGCCATTCACCTTCCTATTCACCTTCTTATATTAGAAAAGGTGTGTGACAAGCATCCCACCTTGCATGGTTGTTGGAGAGATTCCTCATTTAACAACATTGCATCAGGGTATGGATAATGACCAAAATAACTTCTATAAACTCACAGCTGGCTTACCAGCCAAAACTATGTCAATAATACAATCCTATGCATGTATTTTTGGATGCATGTCTTCACTGGCCTGGTTCACACATAACACTAAGCCATGGTTTATTCTCCAAAATTCAAACTGTTCTCAAGGCTTGACTGATCATGCTAATGCTTTCAACTCTGCCTGGCAACAGTCTCTTTTCTTACCCCTGAAATTATGTACAGAAAGTGCTTTCCAGCTTTGACTCATTGTGTGCTGCAAGGGTAAAGGAGTTTTAAAGATCCTGTGGGAAAACAATTAATTGGGGGAGACTGCAGGAAATGCAGATGCGAGCTTTGGTGGGGTGGGGTGGGAATCACAGTTCTGAGAAAAATGTGGAAAAGAAAACAAACAGTTTGTGAAAAGTGGAGATGGAGGGGAGACAGGAAAGACTGCTTCTATTCAGCATGGTCTAACTTCCAGTGTAGCACAGTGCACACAAGGAGTTAATGCTCTTTCTGTATGGTTTCTCCTTTAATAGGGGGCAGTGCAGGAAAGAGGGATCATGACTGGCTTGGTAGTTGTTAGTGATCAATAGCAAGCAGGCTGTTGAAGTGGGACATACTGTATGGTGAAGCATTATTGCCAGTGCAAGGACTCCATTGTGTGAAGGTACCGTACTTTGCTCAAACCTCCACCATAGTTTAAAACCACAATTTCCCTCTCAGTTATCTCATTTCTGCCTTACTCAAACACCAACTGCTATTTTAAACTACCACTTTTTGCATCAGTGCCGCTCCTTCCTCATTCCCATACCATGGCTGCTGCTGTTATGCAAACCTGCCTTCACTTTTGCTCTCCTATCTTGCCCTGACTTCATGCAAATCCAGGATTGTGATGCAGCACTACAATCCTCCAATGGGGGCTACATGATTATAACCTTCCATTTTTATGTATATAGGAAAATATGATGTGTAAGTATATATTACAAGTGATAGTCTCCAACTGAAGTAAGCTAAGCTGTATTAGAACACAGCCAACTACCCGAACCCTGCCCTAGCACTGGAACAAATGTCAAATTCAGCTATTAACCAGCAAAAGTTCACTTGAAAACCAATCACATGGTTATCAATAAGACTGTATCTGACTCAGGATGCTCACCTATGTGAACTGCAACATCTCTCTTTACACAAATGTCAGAAAACCACAAAAAACAAACCTTTATAGACACCCTAAAATGCGCTGCTGTAGCCTATGCACTCAGAAACAATAGTACAAAGGATTACAATCCTACTTGGAAATAAGTACCACTAACTTGGAAGTTAGTGGCCTTTGCTTTCAAGTAATAGAGCTAAAATCTATTATAGCAGCCACCAAGCATCTACAGCAACAAATGTTTTATGCAAGATAGAGCAGTGCATGGGTTAATGTTATTTCATCATCTTGTTTTTTATTTTAGAAAGGGACTACTGTATAACTGTATTTCAGGCCGAGACCACAGTGCTGTTGGTACAGCGACAGGTACCTTACAAGGTCCAGCTGCACTCCCCGGCATTTTCAGCGTATTGAAAAAGAGAGAGGATATTATAGCAGGAGATGGGGAAAGACCTCTGCCTGAGACCCATCTGCAGTCGTTACAGACCACACTGGGCTCGTCTTGAACAGACAGGCAGCTATGGATATTTTGTTGTGGAAAGTCCTGGGATTCCGATTGGTTGAAGGGCGGCGCGTAAATCAGTTAAAATAACACGGAACATAAACCAAGTAGGACGTGTCGCCGGAAGCGGTGCCTGGCGCCCGAGACCCAACCTGCACCATCTCCTTTTTCCTCCTCTCCCTTCGGCCTGTACAAACCTTGCGAACACCTGAACGAAGGAGAAGCCGCGACGGAGCTACCTAGTGGCCACAAGACGCAAAGCCAGTAGGAGACGCCTCCGCTTCGACTCTGCGCCCGCGAGCTCCAGCCGGCGGCCTCGTTTCCCCCTATTTCGAACCCAACTTAATTGATGGTTATTATGGGATAATACATTATTCATAAGAATTGGCCAATGTGTCTCATTTCCGTGCTCGTTTACTGGCACTAATTAAATTATAGATATATATATATATCTTAACCGGCTTGTATTATAATAATAATGATGATGACTGTGTTCCATTTGCTTTCCTAAAGTCCTAGTAAAATTATTTATTATTAATTGAGGACCGGCAAGTGTGTACGTGAGTCTTTTCTGGCTCCTTTCGGGGCACGCGCAGCGACGTTGTGTCTCTCAATTATTTCCCTCGTTTCACATTAACCCCACCGCTTTCAAAAAATAAAATCTTCAGAACCCCACGGCCCAATTTTCATTTGGCATCATTTTTATACTTCTTTATTGCCAAAACAAACCCCCCCCCCCAAGCGGTTTCTCCTCAGAAGAAAGCAAGCCGCTTCCTTCCCTGTCCCAGCCTTCCCTCAGGAGCCTTCACGCTTTATAGGATGCCTGAGGAAGGGTCAGCAAGCGACTGCGCCGCCCGCCCGCTCCCTCTCCGAAACCCTTTTTAAGGCTTAGAAACCAGCCGCCGCCCAACCATGCCTGTCAACTGTTCCCTTTTTTAAAGGGAAATTCCCTTATTCCGAAGAGGATTCCTCGCAAGAAAAGGGAAAAGTTGACAGCTACTCGCCCAACCGGCGACCGCCTCCCAACTGTCAGAGCGGCGCCTAGGCACGCAGCAGACAAGGCAGCGACGCCCCGCCCTCTTTGACCGTCGCGAGCGTCTGTTGCCCCGGTAACGGCGGCGACCGCCCGCACGCTTTCGACGCCGGCCCCGCCGCTGTGGGCAGCCCCGCCCACCCGTTCGGCGTCGTTAAACGGACATAACGGAAGACCCGCCCATCCCCCCGCTCCGCCCTTTTCGGCCCTCACGGGCTGGTCTGCGTTCGCCTGGTGGGCACCATGGAAGCCCCCGCGGACACGGACGCTCGTGTCATTTCTAAGGAGGTGGGGAAAGGAGTTGGGAATGGTTTGTTAAGGGACGTGTTTCTCTGACAGGACGGTTATAAACAGCCAACCCATCCCCTCCCCCATCTCAGGCCACATCACTCACTTCCGGGTCTGGGGGGGAGGTAACTTCCTTTTATGGTGGGGCCGTGGGAGGGAGCTGCTGGCGTGAAGGTGAAGTGAGGCCGCTGCCCGGCCTGCTGCGCTCTCGCTTGGGATGGTGTGACCAGAGTTTGGTACCGTTTAAGGGCGGGGAGGTGGGGGCGGGGGTAGAGCGTCTGGTGGAGCGTGCAGGGGAGGGGACGGCGAGAGGACCCTGGAAAATGGGGCGGCGGGGACAATGCCGCCTATAGGCTCGTCCCCTTTCAAACCAGCTGCTCTTCTCTGGCCCGATATTCGCTTCCGGGATCAGGTTCATTAGGGAGCCGGTGGGCGGGAGGACTTGTTTGTGACTGCGTACACTAAGACGGGATCTTTTTGTATGCTGCAGTGGCCTCTTGAAACAGAACCTCCATATATATATGTATATGAATGAATCCCTGCAGGTTTTACAGTATGTTTAGGCAAACATATTTGCAAATGTTTAGGTCCTGTGGAGATACCCTAGAGAAGATGCTGGCCAGAATCAAGCCAGTAAAAGCTGGCGCTTGAGTATTCCTTTTTTAATAAGCTCGGGAAGATGCAGCAAAACAGCAATGAGCTCACAATCATGAGAGTAACTCACGTGCAATAAAATTGCCTTTTAAAACTACCGTTCTGTTACGATTTCTGCAATCGTTGCTTCTGATACCTTTGCTGCTAGCGGAGGTGAAGGGATTAGGATGTTCTTAAATGTTTATATAGTGTGTTTATATGTTTACCCTTTAATGGTTAAGAGTTTAACCAGATGTTTTCTAGAATGGTAAACGACTGTAAAATCAGCATGAAGTCAAACCAAGTGCTGAATGGACAGTAAGCCCAGCAACTAAAACTCAAAACTTAGAAAATTTGGGAGAATAAGGACTTTGTCTGCAATACAGATGTGAAGACAAAACGGGGGCGGGATGGAAAAATGGGAAAAACTATCCCTCTCCCTAAATGCCCCCCCCCCCCCCGCCTTCATGTCTCTAGTCTGCAAGAAAATGAGAGCAGGAGCAGTTTTTAAAAACCAAGAAAAGCCCAGTTTGAGGCATTCTGTTGAGACATCAATGGGGCATGCTCCCAAGTAACTGTGATACAAATGCAACCCTAATTTTGTTGGTTTCAAATGCTTAAGTACAGTGCAGGCTCTGTATATCTCTGGTCAGAAGTAAACTCCACTGAATTCAATTATATTTTTTTTGTTGTCATTTAGTCGTGTCCGACTCTTTGTGACCCCATGGACCAGAGCACGCCAGGCACTCCTGTCTTACTCCCAAGTAATTGAATTTAGGATTCCAGCATTGTTTAGTTTTGGGTGAAGTGCCCCAATAGTTTAATAGCTTGAAGCAGCTAGTACTGGAATTTAAGGTTTGCATTTAATTCTGGGCACACTTACGTGACTTACTTGGGAGTATGTTCCATTAGGCTGCATGGGCCTTCTAAGTTAACATAGTACAGAATTTTTGAGTATTTGTTATACTCGGTCACCATTTGTGATTTTTTTTTTTTTTTGGTGTTGTAGAAAATGATTGTACACTTATGGAGCTATTTGTATAGAAATATCTTTCGATTTTGGCTAAAATGGATCTTGAGACAATTGACTGGAAAATGTGAACTGCAGCGTATCTGTGATGGCTCAATGAAAAGAGCAGAAAGGACACTACGGATAGGTAATATATTTGAAATATACAAGCTTATACATAAATTGTTATGTTCAATCTCCAAAGTTAGTTTGACAACCACAGAACGAGAGAATTTCAAGTTTTTCACCTTCCATAAATATTTACCTTCCTTTTATGTCCTTAATTTTGGGTGGCTAAAATTCATGTAGATAAGGCTATTGATTCAACAGAGGAGACAGCTGACAATATACACAATGTAGTGTATTGTGGTTTTGTCTTTTGCAGTGTGTTCCCTGTTCAGTATGTAAGCTGGTACAGTAGCTGTAAAATAAAGTCCTATAGACAAATAGTTATTTTAAATTAAAATACTGGTTCCTTGCCTTTTCAGTTGCTCCAGCCATTCTCATCCCGTTTCTTTCTTCAGGCCTTTTCTTTTCATTCCTTTGGACCTCCCATCTTTCATTCTCAAGCTTAATTTTCTGATTCACTCCCTTGGTCGGCTGCCTCTTGAAATCCTGGCACCTGCATTTATAGCCTCCTGGTTCTTCTAGTCATTGTTGTCTTTCCTGCATCTCTCTTGGAGATTAGTAACTCCACATGAATCTCCTTTTTTTTTTTTTTTTGCTGCAAAAGGCTAAGGGTGTGTTTACACTTGTGACTTAAAACACAGCCAGGTCATTTTCCCCTGCTGCATTTCATGCCTTATTTGCATAGAAATGTTCAAATCAGAGAGGGGATAGGGATGCTTTCACCTTATGTGTGTGACATTTTTGTTTCCCTGCCCCTGTAATCCTCCTGGAACTCCTATTCATTTTACTGTCATAAGTGCTTGTGGAGTCATCTGCAATTGCATGCTAGCTGTTGAAGTATGTTTACATTACCACATCAGTGGTTAGCATGCTTCAACAGTACATTGGGAGGTCTGTTCCTTACAGTGTAGGAATTGGACCTTTATTGTGGTGGCACCTTCCAATTTGAACTCCCTTCTGCTCCATATCAGACAGGCACTGTCTTTACTGTATTTTTGGTGTCTGTTGAAAACCAACACCAACAAGCCTTTTACACTGAGATTTTTATTCTAGTTTTTAACTCTCTTAGATTATAAATTTTATATATAGTTGTTTTTATTGTTAAATCACTTATAGATGTATTATGGGAAGCAATTAATACATGAAATAAATAAATTAGAGGTATTAAACCACGGTTACAATCATGCTTATTCATTTGTCTTGTGTAATTTTAGAAATCAGAATCTAGGGTCTATGAATTTCTTTAAAAACATGCATGTTTTTATCTTAATGCAGAACATTCGTTGGAATCATCAAAGTGTAAGGTAGGTTAATTTTATATTACGCCCAGCATGTAAAGTCAAGCCCAATTCCCTCCCCACCTTTGAGTAGAAAACCTCCATAGTTACATTCATGAAAGGCACTATGTAAGAAACACAGCTCTAAAGCATACAGAACTACGTTTTCTGATCTTTGGATCCTCATCATTTTTCTAAAAAAAAAGAGGCCCAATATTATAATTTGCACCTGGTTGGGCTTCTTCTGAGTAAACGTGCACAAGATTGGCTTTATCATTGCTGTAGCAATGATATGCCAACCAAGGCTAGTCAAGAACTAGATTGGATGCAAACTAGATCAAGTCTGATTTATGAGCCTGCTTAGTTTACATTATCTGCAGTATAACAACACTGCTGTGGTACAGTTTTTGGCTTGCTGTTAATGAAACTGTGTATTCATACACCAGTGCTAAGAAACCTCTGGTCCTTAGGTCTAATTAAATGTGCTTGGCCTTCCCATCTGGCCCAGACCCCTATGGCCAAACCACACCCACCTGTCCTATGCCTAACATGTAAGGTGTGAGGCAGGGTAAAGATGTGGCAGAGTCAGAAGAAGTTTGCAGACATTGCAGTCAGCTGTTCGGTGGTGTCTTTAAAGCGCTGTACACTGATCTTCACAAGCCCCACCAGCCAGCTTATTCCCACACTCCCAAACTGTGAACTTGATCCTTTTGAGGGAGTACGACTCCATCCAGAACAGGTTGTGGGGTCCCTGCTCATAGTAATCTTCTCCTGAAATGTAAGTAACTGCTATTAAAACAGATGATATTTTGTGTCAGAAGATTGATGTTTTACTTGTATCTATCAGGCTTTACAACGGGCTGTGTATTCTTCTAAAGATGACGTGGAAAAATGTGTGGCACTCATCATAGAACAAAAGAAGATTAATACACAAAAGGATGCAGTGTAAGCCTATTATTGTTCTAAAGATACCTTGTTTGGAACTTTATCTTTGAGGTCATTGAAAATGTGTTTTGTTCAAATAGACACTGAGAATTAGTAATTCATTCAAATTAGTCTTCATAAAATGCATTTAGTTTATCTTGTAATTCATACATAGTAACATGATTCTTAAGAGATTTGCTTAAAAGCTATTTTTAAAAGTGTGTTAATAAGCAAAAATCTGAGTCTGACTTCATTGAAATCAGCAGTTTTGCTGTGGACTTCAGTGAAGATAGAATGATACACAGTAACATTTGTTATCTAAAATACATGATTCTGAGAACCTAAGGAAATACCGTCCAGTTGCCAACTTCCCTTTTGGGGGCAATGTTCTTGAGCAGGTGGTCACTGAGCAGATCCAGGTGCTCTTGGAGGAGACTGGTTTTCTAGATCCATTTCAATTGGGATTTCGGCTTGGCTTTGGCACAGAAACTGCCCTGATTACCTTATAATGACTTCTGTTGGGAGAAAGACTTTGGCAATGTGCCCGCCTTTTGATACCATTGGCCATTGTATACTCCTGTAGAGGCTATTTGAATTGGGGGTGGGCAGCACTGCTTTGCAGTGGTTCTGGTCCTACTCGGTCATCTTTAGCAAGTGATGCTTGAAAAGTGTTTTTTGGCAACATTGGGGTTTCATTGTGTTGTTGATGAGGGCTCAGTTCTATCTCCCATGTTGTTTAATATCTATATGAAGCTGCTGAGTGGAGTCACCTGGAGTTTCAGAGTCTGTTGTCAGCAATATGCAGGCGACACACAGCTCTATTTCTCCTTTACATCTACAGTGGTGCCCCGCAAGACAAATGCCTCGCAAGACGGAAAACCCGCTAGACGAAAGGGTTTTCCATTTTTCAATGTGCTTCGCAGGACGAATTTCCCTATGGGCTTGCTTCGCAAGACGAAAATGTCTTGCGAGTCTTGAGATTTTTTCCCGCTTTTCCCCTCCTTTTTCTAAGCCGCTAAGCCGCTAATAGCCTTTTAGCCGCTAAGCCTTTAATAGCTGCTAAACCGCTAATAGCGCTAATCCGCTAAGCCGCTAATAGGGTTGCTTCGCAAGACGAAAAAACCGCTAGACGAAGAGACTCGCGGAACAGATTAATTTCGTCTTGCGAGGCACCACTGTACAGGCATGGCAACGGATGTGCTAGACTTGCCTTGGTAGTGGACTGGATGAGAGCCAATAAACTGAAGCTCAATCCAGATAAGACGAAGGCATTGTTAGTGGGAGGTTCCCTAGACTGGATGGATGGGAGACTTCCTGCTCTTGAGGAGGGTACAGTCCCTCTTAAGGAGCAGGTATGTAGCTTGAGGGTGTTCCTGGATCCATTACTGTTGCTTGAGACCCAGGTGGTCTTGGTGGAGCAGAGTGCCTTCTGTCAGTTTTGGTTGGTCCAGCCACACTCCTATCTGGACAGGGATACCCTAACTTCTGTGGCCTATTTGTCATAGTTTAGAATGGTAAGCAAGGTGGTCTGGGAAATGAAGTTTATATGATTTTCAACTGGTACTAACAGCTGTGCTCTTTTATTGCAGCTGTTAATTATAATTCTCTCTGTGTTTTCCTATATTATAGGTTTGCTTCAAAGCTGCAATTAAGTTTGCTCCAGATATCAGGATGTAAGAAACTTTATTTGGCTGTAGAAGAGCTGAGAAAACAGCCATATAACTCTGATAATAATAAACATGAAGAGCAACTAATGGAGGTAAAAAAATTAGGTTTTGTGCCCTTATGGCATATTTAATGTCCAATTTGTGATGTTACAAACAAGCATCAATTATGAACTCAGTCTACTGAAGTTACAATTGCCCGGCTAATGTAGTAAGGCCACTAGATCAGCAACTCTTATCTGCAATAGAAGTTCATGCAGTTATGAGTGATGTGAAGAAAGGGATTGGTGAAAGTTGTGTCTCATAATAATACTAAAACACAAGGCCGTCCAATGAAATTGATTTAGCATTAAGTTTTGAAAAGGCAAAAGGAAGTATTTCACACAGCATACTTAATTTACGGAATTCATTGCCACAGGCAGGATACAATGATAGCTACTTGTTTAAATAGCTTTAAAAAGGAATTAAACAGATTAGGAGAGGGGGTTAGAAAAATAATTGGTGTTTTTCCAGGTTTGTCAAAAATTGCAATCTGATTTTTAATAGTAGTATGACTAGTTACTGAGGCCTAGAACACATGGGATAGCTCAGATACAAAATGCTGGGCTGGAGGGTATAATTTAACAGCCATTCTTTAGTGAGCTGCTAGACAACACCTGCAAAGCAAGTGTGACTTTGGTGGGTTGCAGTTTTATATTTGTTGGTTGTGAGTCCATATGCTTTAGTACAAGTTCATTCAGTCTGGTGCCTATGTGGAGTTCTGGACTAACTGCTACATTGAATTCAATAGGAGGAGGAAAACTGTGTTCATAGATCCGCTGAAATGAGCAGGGAGTCCTATGTGCACAGGAGAGCTTCATGCCCAAAGCAGATTGCCATGAAAGCTCTTTATCGCTTGCCACACTGGAAAAAAAAAAAAAGCTTCCTTGTTAATACATTTCTTTGCATCCTGTGTTTCAGGATGCTTATGCCATTTTGCCATTTTGTGTGGCATCCAGTTTCATTAATGATACCTATTTGTATTTAGAATGAGTTGGGGGAAATACTGATAATTCTGTTAACAGTAGCATATTTATACAGCTTTGGAATTTGTTGATGCCCCATGAAAAACTGAAGGCTAGAATCACGAAGCAGTGGTGTGACATTGGTTTCCAAGGTGATGACCCTAAAACAGACTTCAGAGGAATGGGCATGCTGGGATTAACTAATCTTCTGTAAGTCAAAAATATTATGTAACAGTGGGTATTCTTTTGCTGATGTAAATGGATATTAAAAAGAGGGTATTGGATTCAGTCTTCAACAACCTGCCAATCTAGTTATTAATCTATCTTATTTCAAAAGCTATTGTCCTACTATTCATGAATTTATTAACACCATTAATTATACTGTAGAGCAATTGACTTTGCAAGGCAGTGGTTATAATGTGAATGTTTAGAAAAGTAATTTTTAATCACTGCTAGTATAAGCAGTCTCTTGCAAACATAGTTATTTTGTGTGTACATATATTTTCAGATATTTTAGTAAACACTATCCCCGTGAAGCTCGTCAAATCCTTTCTCGCTCAAATAATCCAAAACTGGGGTAAGCTACTTTTTAATAAAATTGCTGTCATAATTGACTCTTAAACCTGAAAAAGCAAAACTATCATTATTACTTTAGTTTCTAATAAATAATCTGAAAGTATATTTATCTTCTGCACCTCCTCTTCTATAATATTTGTGAGAGTAATCCAGTAATTTCTAGGGATCCCATAAGTGAAAATATTTTTTCATTGCATGTTAGCCTTATGCCTGTCCTATCTCACTTTTCCTCTATACCTCTGTTGTGTGTGGTTAGATTGTCCTGTTGATGTCTTCACACAAAAGACCCTAGTAACTTTTTCTCTCTTGCTCCTCTACTGTATATGTATAACCTTAAGGATTTTTCCATTAGGCTGAACCTGTCCAAGGATCTTATCAACATTTTTGGGCTTTAATAACTGAAACTCATCCAGTAAAATTGAACTAGACACCTCCATTAAAGGAACTGCATTAAATGTTGCTTTGTAGTTTTGAACAAACACAATCAGTGTCTTCCATCCACATGATTTAGGCATGTGAGCAAATGGGAAGCATGTCAAGTTGGAGGCTGTCCTGTTTTTCAGGATCAGTAAGCATATCAGATTGCCAGGTTGCAGTCCTTAATAGTGCTCTACCCACATAAAATCCTAAAAGTAAAGCCAAATGAAATAACAATGCTGTCCTCAACAATACTGCCTTTTAAACTTAATTTTAAAATATTTGCTGCAGTGTGAATTGGTACTTGAAGCTTAAGATACTGTTTCACTCACTATCATTATTAGATAAAGCGTATTTTATAAATGTTTTTTAATTTTTAATTTATTTTTTCCATGTCATAAGAGATGTTCCCCAACCAGGTGCCCTCCAAATGTTTGAACTAGTGTGGTGTAGTGGTTAAGAGCGATAGTCTTGTAATCTGGGGAACCGGGTTTGCGTCTCCGCTCGTCCACATGCAGCTGCTGGGTGACCTTGGGCTAGTCACACTTCTCTGAAGTCTCTCAGCCCCACTCACCTCACAGAGTGTTTGTTGTGGGGGAGGAAGGGAAAGGAGAATGTTAGCCGCTTTGAGACTCCTTCCGGTAGTGATAAAGCGGGATATCAAATCCAAACTCTTCTTCTTCTTCTCTTCTTGAACTACAACTCCCATTATCTCTGACTGTTGACCATGCTAGCTGGAAATGATGGTGGTTGTAGTTCAAAACCGGAGACTGCCAAGTTGGGGAAGCTTGTTTCAGGTGAGGGGTAATAACACACATTTTTAAATGGCTGTCATTCTACACCACATACCCCGTAGATACAAATAGCTTCTTGCCCCATCCTATCATTAGCAGAAAATGAGTACATGCTGCAAAATGGTCAAATAAAGGCAAATTGCTTAATTTGTATAATATGAACACATTACATAATTTGAATTACCTTAGTGTAGTTTTAGTGGTGTTTTTAAGTATCTTATATTCACTTCTCTTAGTAATTTGAAAATTGTGTTTGGACATGGGAGTTGTGTTTAACTTTGGTAACACCAGGGCCCAGTGAATGGTCTTGGAACAGTAGGCAGACATTGCAGTATTGCTGAACTTAGGAGGTTATGCATAGAATGAATAAATTTATATATTTTTTAAAATTGTTAACACTGAAGATGTCTCAAGACTTCTAAAATAATCATAAAGGTAATAATTTGCCTTCGGTTATCCTTGACATTTATACTGCTTAAAATGCAGAAATAAAAAAGTATAGTGATTATAATGTCTGTGTATTGCAGATATTCTTATGCAATAGTTGGGATCAATTTGACAGAAATGGCTTACAATTTATTGAAGAATGGACATTTAAGAACTCACTTCTACAACTTGGTTCCTGGTGAACCACAAATGAAAGACTTCCATCAGTTTTATTGTGAGTATCTTCAACTAGCTTTTATATATGGATAACAACTTCAGTGGTTTGGAAGCTGCTGTTTCTGAATTTAGTTAGAGGCAGAATGTTCTCACTAGTTTGTTAACATGTTCAACCATAACGTTTGCAGAGATCTTTTTTAAAAAAAGAATCTGCTGTGTTTTCTGGAAAGCATTTTGAATCCTACCATGATCCTGTCAATGCTATCGCATCTCAAAGGCGCAAGGATGGGGTATCAACATGCTTTCAGGAAAAATAATGCTTCTCTATATTTAAATGAAAGATGAATTTCAAAGGCCTTATACACACATTACACTACTGAAGAAGAAATAAATGTATTCAAGCGTCTATCACGTGTATTTGTCTCCAGAAGAGTGGAGCCATATACACCACTGTAAACTTTGACTTTTTTGGCAAAAGCAGCCTCCACATTCTGACTGAAGGTGCTCTTCCTTGAATAGACAAGAGAAAAGCTGGAGAAAAATTTCTGGCTGTGACTCCTTGTAATTAACCTATTCACCTCTGCAAATTAATATAGTGTAGGGTTGATTACACATATTGCATGTGTTCCAAAAATAATCTATTTGCTTAATAACCCAAGATAGGAGTGAGCCCTATGGCTTTGTATTTAGCCCTTTCAAGTGAGCAAACCAACCAGGAAGTCTTCCGTTTACTATGGTCCCCCATTTTGTCTGTTTTGGGAATCTATGGTTAATCGCTTCGTAACAGGTTATTAAGCTGAGAGAGATGGTCATATGAACAAATATATAAATTATATGAGCAAGCCATAATCTACGGGTATAGAATGTTGTACTACTACAACTAATAATAATAATGGGAAATGAAACAAATGACTGCTAAATTCTTTTGTAGTGTTCCCCGAAGCTTAGTATGCTGTTGTATGTGTCCCCTTCTTTGTTGCATACGTACAGTATATGGAAATACAAGATTATTGATTTTCCTTATAAGTGCATATTTTATGCAAAGCATACCAAATTTGAAACTGTAATTTCAAAAGTAATTTGATATAGCTTCTACTCTTCTACATTTCAAAAATAGTGCCAGTGTCCAAGCTTTTGATTGTATGTGCCCAAAGTAGCTCTCTTTGGTGGTATTCAGCTAAGATTTACTCAAGTAGACATACTGAAATTAATGGCTCTTAACTTAGTCATGTTCATTAATTTTAATGGGTTTTCTAGTCGTTTTTGAAAAGCTGCTTAGAGGCAAACACATGTGTTGTCTCAATACACTTTCTATGTTTTGGTTTTTACAGGTTATTTGGCTTACGAATTTGACAAATTTTGGTTTGAAGAAAAGCCTGAAAGTATTATGTACTTCAACCAGTATAGAGAGAAGTTTCATGAAAAAGTCAAAAAACATCTTCTGGATTACGATGTAGTCCTTGCCTTAAGAAACGAAATATAGTAATGTGCATTCCTTTGGATTCTGTCTATAAAAATTATGCACTTGACTGGGATTCTCATATTTAACCAAAAACTTCACTTAGTGATCACAAAGTTTTATACATCTATTTTTTTTATTAAAAAAGTGGTTGAGAGAGCTTGGACAATCAACACTTACTTAGGTCTGTATACTATTTGCTGAAGGTAAGAACTTTTTAGAGACAAAGATCCTTTCTGTACCACAGATCCTCATAATTTTTGTATACCTAGCAGATGAAACAGGTTCTTGTTCTGCTACATTTTCTCTAGCAATAGCTTCTTTTCCATATTTGACTGGTGTTAGCTTACAACCAGAAATGTTGCAATACTTCTTGAACAGAAATAGCTTTTGTTTTAAATGAATTAGGTTGTATTTTCTCTCTCTTCTAACCTGGAACACATGGTCTTTTATTATTACACTACTGGGGGGGGGGGACACAACTAGCAGGTTAAATGATTTGGGTGTATAAGAAAAAAGCTTTACTTCTGTTTATTGAAGACTATTTGTTTGATTTTTCTCGTGGCAGCATGCTTAAACATTGCCAGAGTTAAAACTCTTGTTTTTAAATAGGTCTTTGCATTTTATCATAAATATATTAAGTTAAATATATTTTCCTGTACTAGACTATTTTTATTTAAGATGTTGTAACTGCCTTCACATATCAACCATTGCTCTATTTCCCTCTTTCTTTTGTCACTTAAGTTCACAGCTAAAGCTTAAGAATACTAGAGCTCCAAATATTCAGTAGAAGATAATTGGGCAATTAAGTAAATTTTCTTTAATACACTGCTATTTTGTATTGAAGAAGGCAACTCAGATGGCATATTCCGAGACAATCTAAAGATTCTTCAACTATTGAATAAGCATGTTTAAAATGCTTCTAATCAAACTTTAGTTGCAGGTAGCCTTGCTTTAGGGATAGGGTAATTAGTTCAAAGATTAATCTTTTTAAAGTGCCTTGTACTTACTTCATGTGCGCTTCAAATCTGAAGCTGAGACTGAGTCGTTGCTGGTCAGTTCCTAAAACATGCTGGCTTTATTGTAAGAATTGATATTGGAATTGATCAAATTCCTATTTCATTTTACTAACTGATAATTGACTAATTAGACTGCTGATAAGGAAGAAGAGTGCAGCAGGAAGCCATGGGAAGAACATATGATGCCACATGGCAACATTGTAGGCATTACATATGCTGGAAGTATTATCTAAAACCTGTGACATCTAAAAGTAATAATTTATCTAGAACAGTCAAAAAAAGGACAAAGCAAAATTGATGATATCTAACTTATGGGAAATAAAATGCTTATCGAAGTTCCTTTCTACCAGAGCAATAGAGCCCTGACAGAGAGATGGAGTGGATCACAGAAGGCTTTTCAGTATCTACATCTGTTTTTAGAGATGTTTGATCACTTTTGTGCAATACAAGAAATCTTTCAAGAGAAATGTGATATCTGCAAAATGCATTGGGGCACAGTCAAAAAAGTCCATATGAGCTCTCTCTGTATAGGGACGACCCTATTTTCTCCCACTAGTTGGAGATTTGTCTTCACAGAGAAGTGTGTACCTGGTTATATATGAGCACTGCATCTAGTGGTTCATGGTATCAGAATGTATACAAAAATCATTCCTGGCTGAAACTGTTGTAAATGTATTTTCCTTTTCTGTATGCTATAAGGTACATTTATTGCACACTTGATTCCATTTGGGTTTTTCTTTGAAATGGCTTAATTGACAACCTTTTTTAATTTAAGAAATTTCATTTATTTTACTTAAAAGAAACCTTGATCTTCTATACTAAATGCTTTAAATATAGAGGCAATAGAAAATTCTAGAAAATATACCAGAAAAGATTTTAAGGTATGTATTCATATATAGTTGTCACATTATTTGTTTACTACAATAGTATTAAATAAGAATCAATGGCTCTGCAAAAAATAAAGCTGATGCAACATTGTGCATGTGAACAGTAGCATCTACATTGTTCCTGTGATTTCATCAATTTGGACCTGTAGGGATTTGGTAGGCTGAGTCTACCTGAGCGCCCTTCCAGTACAATCTGTATTTTTTTCTTTTTTTCTTTTTAACGAGTTCATCTTTTCCTGTCAGATGATAAACCTAAGGAAGACTGATAGATTATAAACTTTGTCAACTCCCTAATGCTAGTGATGAGTTTAACCATAGTTCCACTCCAGGAATGTTTGAGTTGTCATTCTACCAAAACTCTGGGCTAGATTATGCAACAATTAAAATATAAACCAGCAAACCGACTAGTTTTAGGGTTTTATTTTATTTTTGTAAAAACTAACATATTAAATGAAAATGATTATCAACAGAGCACAAAGTGATATAATGCTAACATACCCAGTTTCAGGCAGTATAAATATTCTTTTCAATGGTGCTAACAATCATAGTTGACAATTTTTAGGAAAGAGGTTTCTAAAGTTTTGAAGCCACCAGTTGTGTTGTAAATATTTTGAAATTCTCATTCCTTACTGGAACAAATTTGTATCTTCCTTCTTTAAATGTATTGTTGATTTTTTGTAAAGCTGTGTTCCTTAATTACAGATAGTGATGTAGCTATCCTATATGGATGTAATGCTTAGGTATAATAACTAAACTTAATAAGGCCATTCTTCATTGGTTTTTAAATACATTGGTCTCATTCAGCTGTAATGATCCTGGTCTACTAAAGTATAGTTTATTGGACAAGAGACAAACCATCTCTTGCCCTGCCCCTCATGTGTTCAGTTTGGCAAAGTTTTCTTGAATTCTTAAACTACCACCTTCTTGGACATTCAGATTACCTCCAAAAAAGAATTTGAAGCTAATTTGGAAGGTAGCCCTTAAGCCACAGTTTGCATGTGCAGACATTCTGGGAAACATTTAAAGAAAGTAGGCAAGCTTTATTGAAGATGGCTACTAGGGGGAAGGGGGAAATGCATGAGTCAGTAGCTCCTGGTCAAATACCTATGATTTATCAGACAAATGGCTACAACTGAACTGGGCCAATGTATTCCAGTAGCTGTTTAGCTTGTATATATATTTGCCCATTTCTTTTTGAGAATAATTCATTCTAGACTTGTAGTTGAACCACTTACTCTAGTTTTGAGCTGTGAAAACCTAAAGAGACTGGTAGTAGATAGTGAAAAACCCTGTTTTACAACATATTTCTAAGTATTGCATTGTGACAATCGTAAGACAATATACTAGTATATCTGCACTGTTTCTTTAGAAAGAAACAAATACACATTGAAAACACACAAGCAGCCATTTATTTTTTCACATAGCTGTTCACATTGTTTTTCTCTATGTGGTGTGAGGTGAGAGGGCTACATGGAAAAACATGTAGACATCTATGTGTATCACTTTCACTATTAACGTTTCTCCAAAAGCTTTTGAACCTGTGACTGTATGATACATTGTGGGAAGGCAGATCCAGCTGCTCGCATAAAAGTTCCTTTTACAGGAAACCAGAGGCGGCTTGCATTTCCACCTGCTCAAGGCAGTCCTACTGAATTTTCCCACTTTCTCATTCTAATCACTGCTTTCCCTGCCCTATCCATTCCGGATTGGTTCCTTGACTTTTGTCGTTGCCTTTGGGGAGCAGTGCTGGGGGATGAGCCAGCAGAGACCCATTATGGGAGCAGAGTTCTGCTCATCTATCTGGATCTAACCCACAACGTTTCAAATTGCATTCTCACAAAAATGGCTATTAGCTGGAAAAAATATTGATCTCCAAATTAAGCTCTATGGCACAACCAAGTAACACTTAAAGTTTGGCTTATAGAAAAAATGGATTTCATAAAAATCTTGGGCACTTGAGTGCATATTACTGGACTCAACTAGGAAATGAAGCAAGCATTAAAATATCTTAATACAAACAAGTAGTAAACAGCTTCCTTAAAGGTAGCAAATTACAAAAATCACTTATAGCAATATGAGCCACAATATTTGTTGAATGCCTGCAAATGGAAAAACTCTAGGAAAAAGGGTATACTTTTAAACTTGTAGTGGAGCTTCAATCTGGAATTGCCAACTATCACAGACACTATTCATAAACTAGAGAGGCCATATTATTGGTTGTGCTGTATTTAGGTGTCCGGGTTCATTGGATTATTTACCATAGCCACAGATGCACTAAAAGATCATGTAAAAATATCCAAGAGGCAGAAATAGAGACCACAGAATCCTCTTCTGTAACAACCTGCTTTTTAGCTTTCCAAATGTATGTCAAAAGTGTCATAATTACAGTTGCATTAGTAAGGTTCTGTAGCCTGTACTGATAACTTACTGTTTCTTGTCCTTATGATGTGCACTTGTACTGGTTACTTCTGTGGTGCTCAGGCTGGTGACAGTTTTTTCTGTTGCTGCCCTTTTCCACTGTGAGGAACACATATGGGCAGTGACTTGTAAACCTTTGTGGAGCAAGAGCATTGCCCATTACTAACTGTGTGTAGTTTGGAAGCAATAAAATGTGATTCTTGTTTGGGTGTGGAATGACTGCTAGCAAATAAAGATCAAGTTGATCAGAAGCTTTGTTTTGCTCAGGTATGTTGTATTTATTGTTTTCACAGTCCCCTTTGTAGGTTCCAATGTTGCTACAAGAGTACTTGTGTTACAAGAGTATTACTTGCTAAGTCTGTTTGTGGAACACAGGGATGAGAGGAGTTTTGAGTTCAGCAACAACTGCAAGGGCCACAAGTTCCCCAGGCCTGATCTATATGATGGGACCTGAGACTGCATCACCTGGCTGTAGAGGGACTGCATGTTGGCTACCCCTGTTGTAGAGAAAGTCTCACTCCCCTGCAATAAATCTGATTTCTCTGCTACTTAACTCAGTAGAAGTCAAGCTAAAAGAGTTACACCATGAAAGACAGTTGCAATTTTCCATCTGATAATAGTTTAATATCTCTTTCAAAAACAAAAAAGAGCCTTGATTACATTTACCTACTGTGGCTAAAACCACGTCAGACAGTTCAGTATCTTAAATAAGAATTAAAGCAATAGCTTTGGCTTAAAAAAAAATACACCTGGAAAAGTTACATGATCATAACATACAATATATAAAAAAACAAAAAGGAGGTGGAAAGATTTTTTGAAGGCAGCAAATATAGTTCAGGCATGTAAGAATGATTTGGACCTAATCACCTAAGAAATTTTAAAAATATTAGGCACAATCCAGTCCTATCACAGGCACATTCAGAGGATTCCCATAGTATCAACAGAGCTTTGCCCCACCCCCAGACACGGGCATGCGTACAGATAGTGTGTTTGAGGTTGGCCGGGGGGGGGGGGGAGATGGGTCTCTTTGAGCCTCTTGGAACCCTCTGAGCAAAGGAAATATGTGCACCATGGAAGTGAGTTGTGCCGCCATTTAATGTTTTGGAAAAAGAAGCAAAGATTCAAAGTGCAGGTGCTCCATTTGTCATTCAACGTATCATTCAGTAAATTACATTATACATTATTCATCTATAATAAAGTGACAGTGTTTTCATTAAGACTTTCAAACATTCAGTTACATTTCCTTGCAAATCCCCCCCATTACATTCCTGCTAATAACTGTTTTAAAATGAAGACTTAAGCTATGAATTCTTAATCTACCATACACTAGGTTTAAAATGTTCAACAACATACAATTATCTACAGAATTTTATTAAAAACCCTCTCATTTTTAAAAGGGGTACTATGAATTGTTTAGGTCAGGATGTTGGCATGTGTCAAGGCAAGTCCATGGCGGTATCCCTGAAGAATGTATTTTTAAAAGTATTAGGAATCACTGGCCTCTCTTTAAAAAAAATAAAATAAAATTATATCAAGAGACATCCACCAGGGATGCTGCACAGAACTTACTTTCGAGTCCTAAACAAGTTGACAGCATCCCTTTCTATTTTTAGCGCAGCCTACTAATCTCGTAACAGGCATCGGGTTCTAGTGCACACATGGTGCTCCCTGCCTGCAGCAGCTTCTGCTTCCCCATTCACGGCAGTGAGGGAAGCAGCTCTGCGTGAGCCAAAGGCATGTGAACATTGTGCTACCTCCCTCAAGGGGAATGGCAAAGACAAAGGAACTCCATATGCACACTGCAGCACACAATGCTTCTGCCACTTTTAAGTTCTTCCAGTTTCTTCCTTACCAGGATTTCGGGCCCGTTTTTAAAACATACACAAACTTTGTTCATTTCTAGACTTAAAATTGTACTAATTGTCACCATTTATCCATGGATAGCAATACTAATAACATACCCACCACTGACAATGATGCCCTCCCCCCCCCCCATATATTGACGATAAGACAAGCATTCTGATAATGTTTCCCACAGCAAGAGAAAGTTCAATATAACATGTTCACATAAGCAAGAACTACCACCTTTTGAAAACACCAGGACCTGTGCCAGGCAGTAATAAATATGTAATAAAAACCAAAAAAATATTTTTTTAAAAACCCTCCCTACCTGGGCCCACTTAGCCTGACATAGCAGAGATTTCGTAGTCACTTGCAGATATTATGGGTTTGCCCATCATCCGCACATTCTTGGCATTTGTAATCCTTGCCATCATGCAGACTGGCTTGTCGAAATACCGCACCAGGGCAGGTTCAGTCAAGAGGGAAGCCAGAAACTGCTCAAAGGTGATAGCCCAGTCTCTGTCGATGCTCATGCTTCTGGGTAGAGAAGGGTTGCTGCTTCGCACTAAAACCGTGTCCTCGCCGATGTCTTCACAATGCAACTTGTCTTCCTCATGAGAGCCTGCACTTAGGACGGAATAGGAAGACATGGAGCTGTCGTCTTTAGTATCGTCATCTGAAATAAGCATGGAAGAACCAGCTCCATTGTCTCTAGGAGAAGAATCTTCCAGCTTGATGTCCTCCATCTGTGTGCCATCACCACAAATATTCTCTTCCTCATCCGCAAGGAAGCCATCTTGAAAAGGGTCACGTTGTCCAAGGTGATACTGCTGGCTTCCCTTCTTCTGAAGAAGTGCGTTCTGAATAGCTTTGCTGCTACTCTCCGCCTCCTTAAGAGGCTGCGCACTAAATAACTTACCAACTTCTCCAATCTCCAAAAGCAAACTTGTCACAGCTGCAGTAGCGTGGTAAAGATCCTGCTCATTGGGGTCTTCACTAAACATGTTATACATTGTCTTGCACAATTCAATAAACTGCCCCTAGATGCAAGAGAGAGGAACAAGGTTTTGTTTCTTAAATATCTATTATACTTTTGTATGGGGCTCCAAATTGTCTCCCATTCTAGATCGTGACCATGTCCACATTTGCTTAGCTTCAGCAGCAACATGTATTGGGTGCTCCCAGTTAATTGACTGAGATGCAAGAGGATTAATGGGAAAAGGAAAAGGAGAAAGGCACAATTGTTCTCTGTATATTCCTGGACATGTAATACCAAAATAACAATTACCAACATATATTTAAACTTGACAAAATCAGTTCATTAAAAAAAAAAATCATATGAGTGTTACTAGCATGTGGTGCTTATGCCAATCGAGCAAACTTTTCTGAGGCAGATTATGGCAACAGAGATTCCTGCAGATTCTTACCCAAAAGAATGCATGCGCCAGCCTAAGCTGCTCTCCTTAAGCTATGTAGAAAAAGATTAAAAGTTAGGCATTTATTAATCACAGGACTTAATCTCAAAAAAGTATGTGTATACGAGGGGAAACTGTGTGTAACTATAGGTGACAACCGAGCCACCCCTAGGGGGGTGAAATAATGATGCAAATCATGTTCTTTGGGTGCACTGTATTACACAGGGAAAATCTGCCTCTGAAATTTGAACCAGAAGGCAGAGAGCCTAGACTCCCAGGTCGTTGAAGAAAATGTCTAGATTAGAAGAACTCTGAATGCTTTTAACAGGTGACAGGGATTGACTCGGAAACTATATACGTACAAAACATGCTTCTAACACCCTGCAAGTGCCTCTTGAACTTGCCTAGGCCAGCAAAAAACTTTAAGACATTTGGGATTCAATTATACCAGTTGTTTTACTTTTACTTAGGATTCCCATCCTGCTAAAAAACAGAAAAGAGCAGAGTACACTCTAGAAATTACCTTCATTGTTAACTAAATTCAGAGTGCAGGCTTTTTCTTTAGGGTTACTTACAACATTCTTTGGCTTTAAGCAATTAAGCACTAAGTGAACTAACGGACTTCAGGATTTGCCCCACATTCCTGCAGTTGAATGTGAATGTGTTGAGAAAACAAAACTACCAATCTCTCTCTCATCCACATACATGTGCCTTTTTTAGAGGGAGGGACTTTGCTTTTTGAAATAGGGGAGGGGGGAAATAAGCGATGCCACCAGCTGACTTTTGAATGCAGGCACACCCCTCTTCCCATGCCTGCTTTTCTGGGGGCTGTAAAAGGGGATCCAGGTGAACCAGGGGTGCTGCCCAATCACTGGCCAGTGTTACTTAGCATTTGGGGCCTGTTCCCAAATGAGGCTGCCTCCACGTAAAGGTGTGGAACCCCTGAAATTGCAGGGCCCAGAGTGGTCACCCTGATCCCCTACTGTGTAGGACAACTCTGGATGACTAATTAAACAATCTATGAGGAGGAGATCCAACCTTGCAAACCTCCCTGTTGTGGGCACATAAACCACCACCACTCTGCCATCTGTGATAGCAGTAACAGCAAAAGAAAAGGGGGTGTCAGTGAGATCACAGGCGTCTTTGGATCTGCTAGATCAGGCTTCCTCAACCTCGGCCCTCCAGATGTTTTGAGACTACAATTCCCATCATCTCTGACCACTGGCTAGATAGGGATCGTGGGAGTTGTAGGCCAAAAACATCTGGAGGGCCAAGGTTGAGGAAGCCTGTGCTAGATCTAAACAACTCTCCTAGTCCCTGACATGTCCCCAGAACAGATTAGAAAGTGCACCAGCCCTGGAGCTGGAGTTATTGATTTTGAAAGCTACTGGGACTAATGGGAGAGGAAACTCTGAAAGAAAGAAAACCACTGGTCAAAAAAGAAGAAAACACCCTCAACACAAGCAAGGCTTTGGATTTGGTGGTGTCTTGACTTTATATTCATATTCTTTCCCTTCCCTCTTATCTCTCCCTCTCACACAAATCTCTGCCAATCTTCATTTCATTATGCACCTGAAATTTAAACAACTTTTTGCAAAGGATTGTGCATGCAAACAAATTGTGCATTTTTCTCTTCTATATGAATGAACTTCAAATACATCAACAATATTCTATCAACATCCCTCTTCAAATCTTGCTAATAAAATAAAGCCGATTCACTGTTTAAAAGTCTTACATTTTTGTTCAAAAATGACTAAAGGATTTGATCCACAGATCATTGTATGGGTTGCTGCATGCATTCACCTGTTGAAAAAATGGCTTATGCTGCCAGCTTTATCACTGATTGCCAGCTGGGGGGAAGTGGGAAAGGGGCTCCTTTATTTGCATTTAGAAGTGTTAGGGACTAACATACCACCTATGTTACAGAATGCACTACTTGCAGACTCAACAACCTACACTATGCTTAGTTGCTGGATACAGGGACTGAGACCTTACGCACCTTTTTGTTTTTTAACAAAGCTTACCTGATTGAGTTTGGGCAAGTCCTTTGCACTCTTTGCTTTGGCTTTATTCTCTTGGCTCCACATTCTAAGGTAGTTTCTATTATCTTGAGAGTTCTTCTTACCTAACACAAATGTTTTGCCAAAAAGCAAGATTATTTTTTGGGGAAGAAGTTGGATAACGAAAAATTATTTCCCCATCCCCTCCAATTTAGCTTCATACCTTTTTCAGTTTTCACACTCACATTAACGAAACCCTCATCTGCTCCATGTTTGTTCCTGCCATCTACGCCAACAACTAATGCACAGGAAGAACAAAATTAATGCACTTTGAGACACTGTATTTACACATTTGGTTACATTAGTTAAGCACAAGACCAGGAAAGCTGGTATCAGCCAGGCCTTCTCAGGGTGTTTCCAGACATGTAGCAATTCATCGCTCCCCTTTTTTCCAACACATCTGATGAGTATCACACTTTTGGTATGTGGGCATCCTGCTGCAATCTCTCCACACAAGAAGGCATGACATACCATAGACGATGGCACAATTCATCTGAGTACCATCTTTTTTTAAAAGCGTCTCAAATTTAAAAAAAAGCAAGCTAATTTCTGCTGCCACTATACGCCATTCTGTGCCTACTCACCCTCAACTGGGAACCCAGCCTGAGTCACAACCTCAGAGAAGGTGATCGGATATGCCCTTCCCTCTCCACATCAAGTAAATTTCTGTGACCTTTGTTCACAGAGGGGGTACACCAAAAGGATCCAACACCTTTCTGGTCTCCTGAAACTCCCCTCTACCCCAGAAACTTAAACTACTCCAACCATGAAGCTGATGTGGTTTTTTTCCCTTCCACAAGGCCAGAGAGAAGAGGATGGTTTATTAAATCCACAGTCCTGATATTTAGAGAGAAAACTGTAGCTGGTTTCTGTTTTATTTTGGGTGCAAGAACCTTTGAGTTTATATTTGAAGGGGAAATTGGGAAATTGATGCAGTCATGAAAGAGGAAAGATCTGAGGTAAAGTCCAGTACCATGTGTACACTCTGGTGTGATGTCTTCAAAGAAATACTGTGTTGCTTCAAAAGCAGAATCCGGCTCTTCTTGATCAGAGGATGGGTCTGCGCATAGAAGCATCAAGCATCATCATACTTGGACAGATCAACCAACCCATTTGTACATATCAAAAATGCCAAACCCCTCCCACTACCAATAGATATTACATATTTTTTTTAAAAAAGCAATCTATTTCAGGGCAATAATAAATTACTAATGGATAGGTTTATGAAACAGCATTTCCTATATAGAAATGCTTCTTAAATGTCTGATATAAAAGTCTTGGACACAGATGTCCCTATATGTGCCAATTTAGATGAACAAAGGCTTAATTATGATCTTTGTTGAAACATGCAGGTTCTCGGAAGCCCAGTGCTGGGCATCACAAGGCAAACACATAAATGTCGGGGTAATTTGTGGCTGGGCCCTAGACATTAATGGCACATGTTTTAATAATAATGGAAACAACAAATTATTGCATACCTGTAGCTTCCAGATCCTGCTGGATTACAACTCCCATCATCCCTAACCATTGGCCATGCTGGCTGGGGCTGATGGGACTGGGGAGTCCAAAAAAGATCCAAAAAACAGTCTCCACCTGTTATTTATAGTAACTAAATGCTATGTGTTTATTTTTGGTCTATATGTTTATTCCATTTAGCACTGCCGTGCATATCTTTTTGATGACAAACAGAGTTATGGCTATGCCTCAGAGCACAGCTACCCCTCCCATTTAGTATGCGCAAATAGAAATCCCAATACTGGTTGGTGGATGAGTTATAGCAAAGTTCCCATCAACAGATGCAATCCTATGCATGTCTACTCAGAAGTAAGGCCCACCGAGTTCAGTGGGTCTTACTCTCATGATAAGGAGGTCAAGAATGGCACCGTTAGTGGAATCTTTAGGTATCTGGAATGGCCCTCTCCTTACTTACCAGGCAAAACATGCATTTTATACAGTAGCTTCAGCTTCTCTGTAAGATCTCCATGGCATGCTGCACCTAGAAGAAGTCACATTTGCTGCATCAGAATTACTAATTATATTTTAATGCGGCACACACAATCTCCCAGACATTTAGAAATTAGTTATCTATCTTAAATAAGGAATTATACCTTATTCATATGTAACCTCCACAAACATACATAGCAAGTGCAGGGGGGAGGGGAAGGATTTACCTGCTTCTTTAGCTATATATAGAGAAAACAAGGGTTTTATGTAGTAATCCATCCAATGTGGCCACATCGATACAATTTAGACTCCATGTCTGAAGACATAAACTCATGTATTCCAAATTAACTACTGAAGAGGGATAAAACAGTTAAATACTGGACTTTAGTTTTATTTTGGGGATTGTAAACTGTGTGCACATCCAATATGCATTTCAATTGTTTAGGAATATATTTGCATAATTGCAGTTTACTGTTTCTTTGTTTGAATCCACCCACCACCATTGCCTTAACCTGAAAAAAAATGTTGCCATATTATCTCACAGCAGAGTACATGCTGAGGAAAACTTTGACTATATGAGAATTCCACCTGCATCAGATAAACTGGACTTTTGTTAGAAAAGACAATATGCCATGAGCAAACGTTACTGGCATACAATGTACCTCTTTAAAATTCTTAATCACAAGATATTGAGGCATTAATGTGCTGAGCGCAATTCAGATGTTGCTTGGCTTTTGGAATGACAAATTCTTTACACACTTCAAGCGTTCCAATGCGTTTAGATTGTGGCTTATTATGTAATTACTACACAATAAATATCTATTTTATTTAATGGCAGAATCCAAATCCAAATAAAAACTGCAGGTTAACAGGTATAAGCTCTGATATTTCCCTTCTATTACATTCAAAAATATATAATTGAATGGGGTTTTTTTTGGGGGGGGGGGGAGAGAATAGTAATTGCTCCTAATAACCTATTGCTTTAAAATGACTGCCAGTGATATAAACATATCCAGGTTATGAGAGCACATGTGTATATAGCCTTTTAAAATGCAATTATCTCACATAAGGCTGCATACCAAGCCAATGATTTCACAGTTAATGCAACTGGGAGAGACAGGCCTCAGGTTTAGTAAAGCAGTTAAATACATGCATTCTTCTTACTGAGTCCAGAGACAAATTCCCGAAAGTTGATTAAGGAATCTCCGTTTTCATCCAACAATCTGAACAAGCGTGCTGCCAAAACATCAGAGTGAGTACCACAGGCCCAAGGAAAGAGGAGAGCAAACATGCCCTTGAATTGTTCAAAGTCAATGCGGTACTGTTCTAAATAAGGCAAGCTTGGGTCATGGCGGTCAGTGGCATTGCTGGTGCCTCCCCAGTAGCAGCTAGTGAGATGCTCTGCCTGAAGAAAAGCAAGGCACACGACATTGGCATTATTAGGACAATATTCACATCTCTTCTGGCAGCAGCATCTGCCATCATGATTTATGCTACTTTTGAACAAATGCAATTGTTGACAAATTTCACCTGACTTAGAGTTGGCACACAGAGTGCTTAACATTACAGGACTATTACTGCTATACCAGGACAGAGATGCCAACTTGAGTAAAATATTGGGAGGGGACCCAGGTAAGCCCCACCCTGCATAATCGATCACATGACATGGCACACTATTTGAATGGCAATGCCCATCAACTGGGAGGGGGAGGAATGGCCCCCTCAAATATTTTACTGGGGTGGCTGAAGGAATCTCAGCCCCTAGGAGTTGGCACCTATGTACCAGGATAACCCATTCTCCATAGAGCACAACCGTAACACAAAACCTAATTATACCATCTACCTTTTGTAGTCACAGAATCTTTTCTATTATGAAAAGTTAACAGGTGCTATGGAAACACTGGTTATACACCCCCTCTCCACACATGTGAGTAACGATCAGGGACATGACTGTCAACCATGGAAAAGAAGAGTCCAGCTTGCCCGGTTCAAATCTTGCATCTATGTAAAAGCGTTTTATTGATCGACTGATTTCATTACATTTATAACCTGCTTTTCTTGTCTGAAACTCAAGATTTATTAACCTGTGCAGGCAGAAAAGGATGCTATCCAGACTTTGCCTTCTGCAGACAGAAAGGCTCCTTCCATTCATGGAAGGCTTTTGATCAAGTGCAGGGATCCCACTAGTAATGTGGTGGCGACAGAAGGAGTGCCAGCTCTCCTCTTATACAGTTCCAGAGGATCCCCAACCCTCAATAACAGTATGGGAGGTGATGTTGAGGGTTTGAGTCAGTTTCTTCCACCCTCTGCCAGTGGGGCTGTCCCTCAAGTTGAACTCCACACAGATGATGCTCCCGCCCATTGGAGTGAAGTTCAGATTCGGCCATATGTACTGATATACATCTCAGCTTCCATTATACCATGGCTATGGGGACCTTGCTCTAGTAATTGACATAAACGGCCTTGGCCCAGTATACCTGAAGTAACGTCTCCACCCCCCTTCATTCAGCCCGGACACTGAGGTCTAGCTCTGAGGGCCTTCTGGTGGTTCCCTCACTGCGAGAAGTGAGGTTACAGGGAACCAGGCAGAGGGCCTTCTCAGTAGTGGTACCCGCCCTGTGGAACGCCCTCCTATCAGATGTCAAGGAAATAAACAACTATCTGACTTTCAGAAGACATTTGAAAGTAGCCCTGTTTAGGGAAGTTTTTAATATTTGATCTTTTATCATGTTTTTAGTATTCTGTTGGAAGCTGCCCAGAGTGGCTGGGGAAACCCAGCCAGATGGGAAGAGTATGTATGCATGTATGTATGTATAAATAAATAAAACAACAACAACAACAACAATAACAAGTGTCATGGATCTGAGCTCTCTGGGTTGCTACTGAGTTCCTTTTTCTACAAATACTGCAATGGTGTTTTTGCAAAAAGTTACTGGGTTTTTAAAACAACAACCACAAGAAAAACAATTACTGCTTGTGATTACCAGTGTGAAAGAGCATCTACATGACAATTATATGGTTGGTTTCATTTCCCAATCTACACTTACTTTAATTAAAATATTCCATCCACATAGTTACCATCAAAGTGGAAGTGAAATAGTTGCTTCTGCATTATGGGTTGAACTCAAACACAGCTTATGGTTTTTTCCTTCTTCAAACTGTTTTGACAATCAACTGAAATTTCACTGAAATCAGTGAAAGGGTACACAGGCAACACTTATAGAAGGGTACACAGGAAACCGACATAATACTACTGAACAATGAATGAACTAGACAGCTATTTCAAATTTACCTTGAAAAGAGCATAGAGCTCCTCCAGCTCATCTATTGTAAAAGAGGTTTCTGTCACTATGGTTCGTACCTTTCAAAATGTGTAAGCAGAAAGAGTTAAGGCGCATGTGAGGCATTAGAAATCAAAACTCAAGAGACAATTGATTAAAATAGCACTCCAAGAACCTACCACATTGCGTTTGGTCGTGTCTTCTAGAGTCTGGATCACCTTCAATCTCTGTTTGAATCTCATTTGTTCAATCAAATCTGCCCGTATGCTTCCAAATTTCTAAAGGGAAAAATTATCACTCAGCTTTGCTGTAAACCTAGACAGTCAGATCTGTAACTGGTTAAAGAATAGGAAGCAAAGAGCAGGAATAAATGGGACTGTTCTCAAAATGGAGGGACGGGAGAAGTAGAATCCCTGAAGCATCAATATTGGGACCTGCACTTTTTAATATACTCATACATGACCTGGAGTTAGAACAGTGTGGAGCCTAACATGTTGCTTGTTTTTGTGTTTGTTTCCTCACATTTTTACATTTAATCGCTGATTATTATTTTTTGTCAAATCACCTCATAGGAAGTTCTGATGAGCCTGAAGATATCCACCTCAGGATAAGGCCCTACATCGTCACTGAGCAGTGAGTGAAGGTGAGGAATTGGTGGCAGAGTGCTGTCCTTATTGGTCACGCTGTCCAAATACCTACAGGTGGGAAAAGAAATCAGATGGAAGCACTGTAAGGCATGTCTTTGCGTGTAAAATTAATCCAAGCTTAAAAGCACCGTACATTCCATTTCTCCCCCAAAGTTTATTTAAAATACTCACACCCACCAAGTTCGGGTTTGTAACAGTGCTTAGTATGGGCATCTCCAGGTAAGGGCTGGAAATGCCCCCTGCCTGAAGCCCTCGAAAGCCACTGCCAGTCAGGGTAGACAATACTGAGCTACATGGACCAATGGTCTGAGGGAATAAAGGCAGCTTCCAATGTTCCTAAACAGCTCAGAATGAACTCCAAATGATTGCAGATTATAGCATCAACCCTGTAAAGGAGACCATTACTAAACAACCTTGTGTTTGTGATGGAGACTGGGAGATAATGGCTCAGCTAAGGCTATTCAGCTGCTCCCTTCCAGTTAGCTAAACGAAAATAATAATGTTGGCAGAGTTTGTTGATGGAAGTCAAGCAGTAGGATGTCTGGCTTTTGGACAGCCACAGAAAATCGTGTGGAAGAAAACGCTTCCCGGAGAACAGCATAACCTGCGACTAAACTCTGAATAAGACAGACCTGAATTTAAGCACCAGCCTAGTAGCCATAGGCCAGGCATAGGCAAACTCAGCCCTCCAGATGTTTTGGGACTACAACTCCCATGATCCCTAGCTAACAGGACCAGTGGTCAGGGATGATGGGAATTGAAGTCCCAAAACATCTGGAGTGCCAAATTTGCCTATGCCTGCCATAGGCTATCAGGAATGCCATGAAGGGTGAATGTTGTGGGCTAGCGGAGAATGGACTGAGTGTGACATCCCTCCTCTCAACCCAGCATGAAAACCAAGTGGGCTGCTAGAGGAGGAAAGTCCCATTTTCTGAACCCAGCATGCAAATGCAGCTGCCATTCCAACAGGCTAGTAAAATCATTTGAGGCTAGTAAATTCTATGGGCTTGCTTGGACTGTTGTTCAGTCTGTATCAAGAGACTGTGCCATATAACTGAGTTGCAATGCATATGCTCTGCATGCATGAGATCCCTGGGTAATTTCTCAGTATGAGCCCTTAGTAACAGAGCTGGGAAAGACTTTGCTTTGGGTGCTGTTGCCAGTTCAGCACTGTCAGTACTACGTGGCACTGAATCATGTTAGTGGCTCCGCTAAGGCAGCTCTTTCTAATGAAATCAAATCATAGTGCCAGAGATGGGGGGCGGGGGGGGGGAACAGACTCAAGCAAAGCTGCTCCAATGCTAGTGAGTGGCTAATTAGGGAGACAGAACACGATGAGCCAAAGTTATTCATTTAATGGCTATGCTTTCCCTTTATTACATGGAAAGCCCTTTTGGCAATGCAAAGTTACTGATCTAAATGGGGGAGTGGTGTGTTGCAAGAGCATTATGTACGACGGTCACAACTGCAAGATATTTTAAGCTTAGTTTATGTATATGCTGCTTTTCCATATGGAACTGTGCTGAAAGTAGCTCACACCAAACATCTACTTACTGTCAACATATATAACAATTGGAATACGTAAAAGCACATTTGTTATAAGACATTATAAATTCAAACAAAGCAAAAAAACAGTTCAATACGTATCTTATAAATTCAACATTACAATGAAATAGTCTAGACTTAATGTATAACAATTACAGTGCTGGGAAGAAGCTGTGGGGAAATATTTAAATATTTAACCATCCTAGTTAACAATAAAACTGCTAGCACATTTGCAAAAAGCTAAGTAGGGTCCTGTATGGTTTCAAATTGGATGGGGGGGGCGCTTTGTGTTGAGATTCCTGCATTGCAGGGAGTTGGACTAGATGAGATTCCCAAAGGCAAAACTTACCTTCCAAGCACTGTCATCGCTTCCCCGTCATCTTTACAATTCAGCAACTTGTCAACATTTGCATCTAGCACAGCCAGCGCCAACTGGAATATCACCTTTATGCCTTCATAGAAGAAACAGTCCACAACAACCACGGCACTTTCAAAGGGCATTACACTGAGGAAGAGTGTGAGGAACCAGGAAAGGGATATAGTGGAGATGACCCCCAAGTCCTGCATACAGTCATATAATTGTGGAACATAATCTCGAGCTAACTCTTCAAAGACACCTTGATCCACCAGAGCTCCTGCGAGACATAATCAGTATTTGACATATATGAAATGTTGATTCATAGAACGTGCATTTAAGCCTATCTAGAAAAGCAGTGTGGAATCATTTTGCAATTAGCTTACACTGAACTACATTACAATATCTTGCCACTCAGGAATCATCCTTTCATCATTAATTTACTTTTTGTGTTTATGTATTGAAAAGAATCTGCTTCATGCAACTGACAAACATTACAAAAATCCATTACTCTGGGTCCTATTGCTCTAATTGGATCATCATAATAACATAAGGTCTTGATTGATTTTGACTTTTGCAGACTAAAAACAAAAAATATATTTTATAGACTAGAAACAAAATACGGAATGGCTATGTTTGGACATGATGTGAAACAAGATATAAAAGGCAGTTCTCCAAAACACAAGGCAGAAGCCCAGTCACTCAAATGTCATTCAGTATCAATGAATTCAAGTATCCCTCCCCCATTGGCAGACCAAACCTCACTTTCCGGCAGCTTAAGAATTAGGTCTGAAATTCCCGGTGATTATGCTCTTACAAGTCTCTTTTGACATACCAACAACTCTCGTGTTGTAGTAATCTGGCAGCATGCGCTCACACAAAGCCACAAGCAGCCAGAATGCTTCCTCTTCCTTTGCATACAAAAGCAGTACCGATGTAACAATATTCATGGCCTAGAAAAAAGTACATTCAAAAGTACATATACTAGATGTTAAATGGTCTAGATAACAGAGTCAATCAACAACAGCCCTAGTTTGGGCCTAGTTTCAGAAAGTAGCAAGTGATTCCACAAAGTATTTTTCGAAGATGTTGAACCATGCAGCCTGGCCAACGTCAACAAGTTATCACACACTGACACACTCTCTCTCTCTCTCAGTCTCCCTCATTTCCCATTCCCTTGGAAATGTGCAGAGGCAAAAGCCATGCTTTTCAAAGTCCAAGATATGTGACTAAAAATGGAGAAGTAGTCTACTGTGTTACTACATAACAGCAGTTTTAAATCAGTCACCAGTTTTAAATCAAAGTCACTCCCTTTAATGGCAAACCAGGTGGTGGATGCTGGTGGTTCTGTAGTAGCCACAAGATGGATGTATCAGCATGCTAAGGGATCCCTGAGGTTTGCAGAAGTTCTACCCCACCCCAAAAATCTTAAAGACAAAATCTTAAACATCCAGATGCACACAAGCCCAATGACCATATGAGTATATTCAGCAGTGTCAGTTGGAAATGAAAACCAGAAAAGACCCAAGTGTGGGGGGAGGAGAGAAGAGTTGAATGTCCTGCTTGGCTGGACCTTGAAAAGGAGAATTCCTGTTATAAGGGATCATATATTGCACCATTTTGCTGCAAGTCCCACTTGTTAAATTCCAGGAAGATTTAAAATTTCCAACTTACTCTACTAGATCAAATTTACCATAAGTGCACGGAAGGTTTGGCCTCTGTGTGCAACAATAAATAGAGGGATGAGTGAAGGAATTTGGGTTCTTCAAAATGAAATGAGTTTGAATTACCTGGCAGTATCCTATGTTTGGATTTCTAAATGCATAAGCAGTTAGTACTCTCCTCAGAGCAGCAATACCCATCTCATTCTGGAATGCAGGATGCTCTGGGAGAGAGCGGTGCAAATCCCTCTCAATCTCTTCTGTGGCGAGATTGTATTTCCCCATAGACTTCTCCACCAAGTCTTCATAATAGCCAGCGTGGGTGGCCATTTCATTAATAGCTCCTAAAAATGCAACAGAGCAAAATTGACAAAAGAGAAAGTAGGTTACAGATATAGGCCAGGATCCAAAACAGCTGCACAGTGGGTTGTGCATGCCCAAGAAGGACATGCCCCCCCTCACCCGCAATGCTAATTGGCAAATCATTTTTGAAGCTAAGAAGGTTTTCACAAAGTCTGTGATATGGCATAAGGGTTTGCTGTTAAAATAATCAAAAAACTCTCTCACCATTCAAATGTGCCTGAAGTGATTCTTTGGATTTCAGCCACTGAGTACAATAATCAGGTCCTATTCTTACAAAACCTCCCACGCTCAAGTTAACTGTCATAGACCTTTGGTTTACCACAGTGAGTTAACACACCTGCCTCCTCTTCTATGAAAAGTTTTGCAGACTTAGTGGCAAGCCTACTGTGAGGGATCCAAGATATTCTGTATACAACCCCAAATACAGTCATACTAACAAGTGTGTTTGTGTTTCTGTGTACACACACACACACAGAGAGAGAGAGAGAGAGAGGAAGAGGGAGAGAGAGGGAAATGTTCATTCAAATAAGATAGCAGAATGCAGTTTTATGTTCTGTGGTAAGCTACTTATAAATAGGTCATAAGAAATTTGCAATCCCCTTAATAGTTTCTCACGCCTATTATGTAAGCCCACAAAAAGCCTGCTTTGAGTTATAAGTCCCACTGCTGGCTCCATGATTTGGGGGTACTTCAGCAAGGCATCCTCAGCTGACCCCAGATTGGCTGCACAAACTGAGAATTCTATTGTTCCGTCTCTCTCTGTCTTGGTGCTGCATATAAAGCAAAAACGGTAGGGCATTGGAAGTGTCTGTTCAGGTGCATGGACAAAGCTCTCACTGCTCCTTTTTTCAACCCAGGAGAACAGATTTAACTGGTAAGTTCATTTCTCTCTAATTTAAAAAAAACCAATCCCTAGCAATTTAATGAAGTACAAATTAGTCCACCTGCCTGCTGTTAACTAAATTCCTTGTGGAACTTGACACCTATGCCTACATCACAGAGGAGAAGTGTGAAGGGCCCTTTTATATGCTTTGCTGTACACTTCTTCTGAAGCAAAATTATTTTGGGCTACCAGGCAGACACTATTGATTGACCCAAAAGAAAAATAGTTTCCTGCAGTGAATAGCAAGCCAAGAAGTTGAACTTCCAAATCTCTTATTTCGTTTTCACTGGTTGGTAAAATATACCTCACCAATTTAGGCCACAATCCTAAACACAATTACCAGCAAGTAAATTCCCCAGAGAGACTTTCTTCTAAGTAAACAAACTTAGGAGTGCAATTGTCAATCTCCATTTATCTGCAGCCAACATGTCCACTAGGGCACTGACATAATGAACTCCACAGAAGGAAAAAGATCATATGGGAAACCTTTGACTTACCATTAATAAAACAATGTTATCTACTGATACCCACCTGACAGGAGTAGCCAGAGTTCCCCCCTCATGCTTTCCGGAATACCTTTCAGCACAAGGTCTCTTGTTTTCTCAGTCCGATACATACAGATGCCTTGGCCATATTCTGCGAAATGAATCTTCCAAGCTTGTTCTTTCAAAAATTCTTTTGCCTTAAAAATAATGGAGAGTACGATATACAGAACTAAAAACGCTGTGTAACACAATCCTGTAATGCAAAAGAAGAAGCCACCCCCCCAAATGTCATTTAATCCTTAATTTTATTATCAAGAGTGGTGTTTCAGCAAAGCTTTCTCAGTATACTCATTTTTAACATGACATTTTCTCATCTTGATGTCGCCTCCTAAGCATTTATGTACGTCCCCATGTACAGACGTATTTGCAAAAAAGCTACAAGCACTAACTATTATGACATGATGATTTCAAAATACACTAAAATGACATGCAGACGAGGAACATTTTCCACCCAAAAGCCACATTCCCTTCTGGGAAAACTTCTGCGGGCTACATACCCATGGCGGGCATGGCTAGTGGCAAGAGTGGGTACAGCAAGGTGTGCAAATTACCTTTGTACAGTAGTAGGTGAGTTTCCTACACAAACACACATCAATTTCTCAGCCCTTTTTGCTTTCCTGGATGGAGAATAATGAGAGTTCAAGGACACATTTCAGCCAGGCAAAAACACTCAAGAAGAATGTTGCTGCGGGGGGGGGGGGCGGGGGACCTTTAGAGAGATCCAAGGGCCAGCGAGAGGCCTCGAGGGCTGCATTTAGTCTCTGGGCCTGAGGCTCCCCCACCCTTGGGATCCCCATCAATCTCTCCCTCCACCTTGTTGACAACAGAATCCATATGGAAAATTAATAGGTCTAAGTCAGTGGGGAGGAACCTCAGGCCCAGCGGCCAAATGTAGCCTTTTAGGCATCTCTTTTTGGCCCCACTCCGTCCCAAACACCACATGAGTGCTTTTGCCTGGGTACAATGTGCCCTTGAGCTGCTATGACGCCTTTCGCCTGCCTGGATGGAAGATGACCGGTGTGTGTAGCAACCTGTGACACTCTGGCAGGGCTGGAGTGTAACCTGCTGTGCCAAGGTAAGAGTCACCTTGTTCTGCCCACTCCTGCATCTGTTCCTGCCCGCTGCTGGTATGAGGAAGGTATAGTTCACATCTGTTAACAATTAATGCAGTAATCTAAATGAGAGCTAAAAAAAAAGGAAAGAAGGCGGCGTGACCTACTAATTTAGGGTTGAATTCTTCAGGTGAACGCCTCCGGTACATGGTCATGAGTGCCTGGGTTACAGTTGGGATGCTGTTGCCATTCAGGTTGAACTGCCGCTCTCCATCTGCTTCGGAACTAAGGCTTCTCTGAGGGCTTGAGGAGAGAATGCTACTTGTCCTTGAATATACCTGAATGGAGGAGAGGGGAAATCCCCACAATTTTATGAACTGTTCAGGTGCGGGAAGGAAAAGGGCAAGGATCAGTTTGTTTCCACCGTGCTAGAGTAGTGGTACCCACCGAGTTGCGAATTGCAGATGCACACAAGGGCTTTCTGAGTTTTTAAATAGCTACATGTCAGGAAGCAGTTTGGCCCGCGCCTCTTCTCCTGTCACACTGCCTACCCTTCTCCGCTGCCAGCCTTTGTGCTGAGCTCGAGTAATTGGAACTACAGAGGGTGGGAAAGGAAAGGGCAGCCAGACTGCAGCACTGCAGCAGACAATCCACTTTGGCCAAATGTATTCTGCCATGAAGCTTCAAAGGCATGGCCCACCCCCACCCACGGCACTCGAGTCAGAAGCCTGAACCCCTTCAAATTAGAAGCCTGCACCATGGTTGTTTGCAATGCTGAGTTCCTGTGAAAATCATAAAGAAACTGCAGTGGATTTCAGGACCGACAACAGAAACAAGCTCCAAGGAGCACAAATGCATCCAAGCAGTAAAGCATTCAATCCTTCCATAAAATATTTTTTAAACGTTTTCTATAGTATCCCACACCCCAATGCCGCACCACATTATTTGACTGGAAGTGGAAGGTTTTCAATGAGCAACATAATATGTTTATGAACTTCCACTGGCAAGGTTATTAAAAATATGTACCTAGGAGCAATCTAAGAGCTGATTTAGAAGAGCAATAAAATTATGCTAGTTCTGAAGGATATTGTGGTCCACAAAGCCAGAGCAGCTATTTGCCAGAAGACATTTGCACCTTCGGAGATTATTATTATTATTATTATTATTAAAGAGGAGCTCTGTATAAATAACAGCTCCCAGAAACTTAATTGGTAAAAGCACTGGGCAAACTAAATGTGCAACAGCTCTCTTATCAGAGATGCTCGGCTTGTTGGGGAAGCAATATTGCAGTGGGCCTCTTGTGGCGCTCCTGTAATCATATCCTCCTGTTAGTAGTCTGGCAATTCAATGGATGCAGCGCCATGCATATCTGTCAGACTGTGTCCCTGGGACAGTAGCCGTATTCATATGCTGCACTAATCTGTGGTTTAGCTCTATGTGGATGAGCCAGAATGAGTCTGAGTGAACCTGGGACCCTGGTTTTAAAAAATGAAACAAAAATCAAAGGCAACAAACCTCTGGTTAGTTTAATTGGCCAGCTTAATAACCCAGGATCCCTTGGAAGGGGAGCATGCTGGGTCTCATCCAGGTAGTGGTAAACCATGGTTCTGTGCTGCTAGCAATTGTGGACAGTGTGAAAGTGATCACCTTAAAAACATAAAAGATGGAAGCCAAACTGCAACCAGATTCGTCTGGGAGGTAATAAAGGGGAAGCAGAAACGAGAAAGGATCTCCAAGCAAGAATGGTGAACAGCTTTTCAACACTGCCGTTTTAAGTTAAATTGATTTTAATGACTTTTTAAAAAAGTGTTTAAAGAGACAGAGAAGTCTCTAGCTTTTCAATGCCCTTATGTGTCCCCTCTGACTTCCTAGTTCCAGGCGGAAGCTTACTGTGCATGAAGTCTACTGCCATCCATGCCTGGAGGATTGTGTTTAATGTGGGGAAAACAACAAACCGTCTTGTGGTATCTTAGAGACCAAACCAAACAATGGAACTTTGATGGGTAGGGTAAAATTTCAGGGTAGGGTAAAAGCTGCTGAATTAGCACTTTCAAGATGTTCAATCTATCCCCTGTGGCTTGAATTGAAATAACAGGTTCTAATCCCACTACAGGTGTTGAATTAATTTATCAGTGCCAGGATGCTTCTGTTATCAACAGTGTTTCATGAATATCTAAGTAATTATTTTGCATACACTTGAGCATTAACACAAATCATCACTGTCTTAGTTGCTTTTCCCTGTCTGCCAAAGTTTGTGGGAAAAGCCTTTACCATGATACATGTGTTAGTCTTTAAGGTACCACAAAATTCTGCTGTTTTGGCTGCAACAACCTAACACGGCTACCCCTTTGGGAACTTGGCTTGGTGTATCACAAGTTGTTTGGACCCACAGCTGAAAGAAGCCCCATGACCAGACTGCGCCGAAAGCAGGAACTGAGGGACCATTGACAGCTTACTGACCTTTCCAAGACTGTGAAAGTATTTATACTTCCAGCCATTATTAAATCAGTCATGCTCAAAAATAGCACATGTCAAAAGACAAATACAGTTAACTAAATCATCTGATTCAAAGAGGTAAACTTTTAAATTGCTTGTTGCCACTTTTTTTTTAAAAAAATCTGACCATAATTTTATGATTTGATAAGATAGACACTATGTCTTAAAATCTTCAGTCTTGGTCATTTGGTCATTTCTCCAAGCTCATTAGAATCCATTTGTAATATAAACAAATTACTTTTATAATTAATTACTGCAATTTTATGTGCACTCCATCATGCTACTTTCTGCTGGGTTTTTACTGCCTTGTATTTCATTTCCAAGTTGGCATACATTCAGCAGTCAATAGCTGGCATTTTGCTGACACCAGCATTAGGCAACTTTCCAGACAAGAGGGTATCTTCTGAATATGGGTAAATATTTCCTCTCCCCTTCCCAACATTTAACCTTAAAAGCAGATAACCTCTTTTAATAGAGGATACTTGTTTTTTCTGAAACCAAGGTTCTGGGATGCAGAGTTAACAATTGCTGATGAGATTACTCAGTCTCCATGCGCCAGACTGTGTCTTTGTCTAATTCAAATATACACATAGACGTGGTTTACGATGCAATACCAAACCACAGGTTGTAGTTATGCACCTGAGTATTTGGCCTGTGTGTTTTTTGGTTCCCACACACCCAAGCAATCTTATAATTGAGGAAACCAAAGTATGCAAAGCGCTAATGGTCAGTATGGTGAGGCAGAGCCATAAAGCCATCCTCCCAGTACTGGCCTTGCTACAGCTTACCTTGGCAGAGTTAGGCAAGGGCTGGGGCTGTTCAGATGCAGCACCAGGAGTGCTAAATTAGTTGCACCGTTGCAAACCTGAGCAGGCCATCATCCTGCCCCTAGCCCTGTCCAGGTAAGCTATAGTGCCACCACTCCCACCACCACTGCTATGAACTTGAAGCTCCATGATTTGGCCAAATTGGGCCAATGTAATCAGCTAAGCAGTCTTTTTTTTTTTTTTTTGAGGGGGGGCGGATATTAAGACATGCTAAAACAGGCTGTCCCCATATTGCTGACATAGCCCTTCAGCACTACATGAGAAGTGCAGAAACAAATATTCAACCCCGGTTGATTTGAGCTCAATCCTGATATCTGTTTCAGATTTCAAGAAAATGTGAAACAACAGGATAGTGCCTCTAATTATGGGCAAAGATCTTTTTTTCATTACTTGAATGTAGCCACAGCTCCTCTCCAAACCCTCTTGTATTAGGGAACAGGGGTTCTGAGTCAAAGCATAACTTTAGGAGCCCTGACACCACTCATTTATAAGTTTTGTGGTATGGAAAAGGCTTTTGATGCAGTGAACGGGCACCTCTGATACATGCAAGTCACAGGGCAACTGTGTGGCAAGTAGATAACATGGTGTAAAGACTTTTTTCTGTGTAGACTATGTCCTCTATCATATGGACTAGCATATATTTCCATAGATATACCCATAACTGCTTTGTGGATGCAGCTATCAGAGGTGCCATTATGCTATCAGATGGCATTTATTATGTCCAAGCAGCTTTCTTTCCCACAAAACCTTGATCATACATGTTCTTAAAAGCCAACATAAGATTTTCAGGGAAGTACATGATACACAATTTTACACCCTACACTATCCGAATGCAGCAGCAGCCTTCTGCCCAATGTGCAATTTTTACATGTCCAGGAAAAGACTGATATGAAAGCATTTCCAAACAGTCAATGGTTGATGTGCATTCTTAGATGGAAGATGGGCATGAGAGGGTTTAACCATATGCCAACCTAAATGTTTGGCTCAGCAATTTATTAAGAAGATCAAAACAACCTCATGTCAATGGAGTTCTGCAAAAAGGAATCTTTACACTGAATTTATTACTTGGGAGCAGCTACTTGAAATTATATAATTTTACTAATCTGAAATTAACTGAATACTTCCTGACATTGGTGTCATCTACTCACCTCATCATCTGAGCTGTTGTAACTGCCAGAAATCTCTTTTTCAGAGTATATTTTGGAAGTAGTTTGCTGGAGAAAATCAGAAATTCTCTGAACCAGGAAGTCTCTGTCTTTTAAATTGGCAAAGAGAAATGTCATTCGATTTTTGGTGCTAATAGACAATGGGCTAGGTAATACACTAGAGCTGTCAGCCTTTTCTACAATAGTCACCTAAGAGAGAGGAGGGCAAAAGAAAATACACACATACAATTGGTCATATTCCAACAACATCTGGCAATGGCACAATCTTAAATACAATTGGATTAACTAATCATTTTCTAAGGCACCCTCACAGCAGTGAAGCTGAATATCTTATGGCCTTTCCATGTACCCATTTCTGCACACTTCTGGAGCTGCACAAGGATCACCGTCTTATGATATAAGACTAAATAATCTATGAGATCTATCAGTCTGAGCAGGCCTACCAGAGGCACCTAAGGGTGAGGGCTTAAGGGAAGAGGTACGATTTTCTTCCAGGAACTCTGAGAGCTATAACATTTTGTTACTCAGCAAAGAAGTGAGTAAATATCCCTCGAAAGGAGCACTACTGCGATTTAGCAATTCAGCCCTTGCAACGATGATGTTTCAGACATTTAGGAAATCTGCATTTCAGGAAAAAAAACTGGCCAGAGCAAAAGCAAGGTACAAGGTGGTAGCAGAAACCTAAGAGTAGTATGGAGACAGGTTGTCTCATTTAGTGACAGTCTCGTGCCCCAAACTGTGCTAATGCCAGGAATATAGAAAACTGCCTAATACTAGGTCAGAGAGTTTCTCTCTCTAAACCAATATTGCCTATCCTGAATGGCAATGATTCGACACGGTCTCTCATTATCATCTGCTGCTTGAACACTTTTAACTAGAGATGAGAGGGACTGAACCAAGGACCTTCTGTATGTGAAATATGGTTCTATTTCTGAGATATGGTCCTGCTCCTAAGTCTTAACATTGGCTCATGTACAGTTAACTGTGTAACTCTCTCTCTCTCTCTCTCTCTCTCTCTCTCTGTGTGTGTGTGTAGTTGTGAGATTTTAATTTCAGGAACAGTGCATTAGTTAGAAATGAAAACAGTATGCTCAAAGACCCTTCTGAAGACCATGAAGAAAAGTTTTAAAAAGCTTTAAACCACTGCTTCCAGATAGCTTATCAGAAGCAATAAAAATTGCATTAGGCACTTCAGGATAATAGGAGTTTCAATGTACAGAGGCTTTAGTTTCAGTTTGCAGGGTTTTTTATTTTAATGATCTATGGTCAAGAATTATTACAGAGTTTTAATGTTTCATTAGCAGAAAGGGTAATTTGTTGCCATCCTCCCTTTCATTTAACATATCCTATTAAATTGTATTGAAATATCAGCAGCTATGTCTCAGTTACTTAAATGATATTGTCTTAATACTTCTCCCAACCAGGTTCTTACTTCCTTTATATAAGCTATAGATCTGTCCATAATGCAAGAGAGCCACATTAACAATGCATATTTCCAATTAAAAGGGAAAGTGTTTTAATAGTCCTTCCTAAGAACATGAAAGTAGCCCTTGATCAAGCCAATGACCCATCTAGTCCAGCATCCTGTTCTTACAGTGACCAGCCAGATGTCTATGGGAAGTTCACAAACAGGACCTGAACACAACAACACTCTCCCCACTTGCAATTCCCAGCAAACTTCCCAACAGGTCCTTTTTATGTATGACTTATACTACTACTATTACTACTACTACTACTAATAATAATAACAGGACCAGAAATGGAGGGATCCTAATGCAGAGACAGTGCCAGTTTGTTGTAAATTATACTAAGCAAGCAATGGAGTTCATTGCTGAGATGCTCCCTGGAAGCAAAGGAGCCCGTGAACTTGACTTAGGTAAGGTAAAGGGACTCCTGACCATTAGGTCCAGCAGTGGCCGACTCTGGGGTTGCGGCGCTCATCTCGCTTTACTGGCCGAGGGAGCCGGCGTACGGCCTCCAGGTCATGTGGCCAGCATGACTAAGCTGCTTCTGGCGAACCAGAGCAGCACACGGAAACGCTGTTTACCTACCCACCGGAGCAGTACCTATTTATCTACTTGCACTTTCAGGTGCTTTCAAACTGCTAGGTTGGCAGGAGCAGGGACCGAGCAACGGGAGCTCACCTCGTCGCGGGGATTCGAACCACCGACCTTCTGATCAGCAAGTCCTAGGCTCTGTGGTTTAACCCACAGTGCCATCCGCATCCCAAACTTGACTTACATGGTATAATAAAAATGGCCGGACTTGATACCCACCTCTCGTAGAGGGATGATGAGGCTGCACAGGTTTTCTTCCTTGCTAGTGAAACAGATGTAATTTGTAGACACAAACATCTGACCTAAGATGTGCATTTTGTTAAATGGAGTCCAGAGGGTACAATCGGTATGTCCATCTAACTTTTCGTCCTTTGGAAGCCGGAACAAAGCACGGTACCGTTCACTCTTTGCTCTGGCATCAAGATCCCTGAAGTGAGCAGTTTAAAGTTTCATTGTTCATATTAAAATTCAATGTGCATGCGTATGTCTTCAACAGATTAGATAAATGTACACTGTAAATTAATTCTGCACAAGCACAAATAAAACACCAGGAAATGATATTCTATGGGAGAAATCTGTCATAGCAGTGCTGATGTTTGTATGCTTCATTTATATTCATGCTTTCTGACAGCCTTATAAATTACACCACTAAAGTCACTAGACTGCAATATTTGTCTGCTTTTTACTTATAAGAGGACAGCTGGCTCTCTTTATTTACCCTTATGAGTAAAAAGCAGGCTAATAAAAAATGTTGCAACACAGCAGGTTGGTGGAGGAAGAACAGAGCATTCCCTGCATTCCTTCTACTCCTCCTCCTCATTTATTGTGCCAATGCACTTCCATGCAGGATGAAGCTTTGCCTCCTGTGCATATAAACAAAGAGGACTGCCACTGACGGAAGGCCTGCTCCTTCTCTCCACCACAAGCCCTTTTCTTTTCTATACTGGATGCACAGGAAGAGGCCAGCATGGAAATGTAAGAAGCCACTGGATGAAGGATGAAGCCTTCCATTCTTCCTTCAGAAGCCCACTGGTTTTCTTTGCTGGGTGAGGAGGACTTTCCCCAGCTTCAATCAAGTTCAGGAGGTGTTTAAAACACCTGGAAGGTTTTCATCTGGTAACAAAAAGCTTGTAGTGTCAAGCACGTGATATGCCTCTTTCTGGGGAGAGCATTCTAAAGTCAGGGTGCCACCGTAGAAAAAGGCCCTTACCTTCTGCACCAGTCCTTAGTCTCCATTTCGAACAGCTTCAGTCTTTACATGCTTAATTCTAACTACATTCTACTAAGGTCAAAGGGCCTATAACAGTCCATTGTAGAATGTTGTTATTTTGACAGGGCTATTATTGTATACAGAGCTTTGAAATACAGGGATATATGTGAATACAGTGACTTTGAAACCTACCGTTTTAGTGCAGAAACTTTTTTTGGGGACTTCTTTTTAAGTCTGGGCAATGACCTGTCTTGCTCAAAGCCTTCATTGTCCAAGAGCTGTCTCATGGCTATGTTGGCAAGTTGTTCCATTAGCTTAAAAGTTTCATTGATGTTGAGGAAGACTGAAAAGAAATGCTGACTGGACCTTGTGCTAACTTTGATCACATCAGGTAAAAGCAGAGTCGCATTCTTCTCAAGCTGGGTGATGTCAACCCACCGGATGACTAGCTTGGCTAATGAAAAGAAATCAAGAGTAAGCAGAGAACAAGACCACTCAACATTTTCAAATCCAAAAACCACTGGTGATAAAACAGCAAGCTTTTCAACAACACTATGCACTTATACCATTATCTTGTTTCAGGGCTCTACAGTGCATGTTTATGCAGAAGTAAGTTTCACTACTTTCAGTGGTTTCCCCCCCATTTTAATTGTGTTTAGGACTGCAGCCTCAGTACAGTGCTGCACTTGGTGCTAGTGGGTCCGTTTTGTCAGAAACACAACAATAATTAAGAATTCTGCCATGCACACTTTCAGTTTCAAATAATCTCTCTTTTTTAAAAAAGCAAAATTCTACACAACCAATGTTTAGTGTGCAAACAAGCCAACTTCAAGCTATGGGTGAACAAACAGGATTGTTCGACTAGCTTGTACAACTAACCAGCTTTGGTTGGTTCACACATCATTCTAAGGCTGAGATACTTTGAAAATGGAAGTCAAGTTAGCAATTCCTCCTTCCAGGGAGGATAAGAGGGAGAGAGCAAGAGCCTGCTGCTTTGTTTGGGCTTGCTGTGCTTCACCCCATATAAATGTGAACTAGCCCAAGCTCAAAGAAGATCAGACTCTCTACAATTAATAGTCAATATAGTTAACTGGAACCAAGTACAATAGCATTATAACCACTGAATGCCAGGTTGCTGTGCACAAGCAACAGGAACTGGCTATCCCATTCATGCCTTGCTTGTAAGCTTCCTGGAGGCATCTGTCTGGACTACAGAAAGAACAATATGTGCTTATGTTCTCATATCAGCCAGCTGTCCCTACACTCAATGTACACTAGAATGAAACCTCCTTCTAATCAGTCCAGAGTGTTGGAAGAGGAAAAACAAGTATGAGACATACAATAAATTAGTTCTAGGGCTCCATGCAGTAACTTAATCCACTATAGGCAAAAACACCACAAGACACTATAGACAGGAATGGGGAACCTGAGGCCCTCCAGGCGTGTATGGACTCCAACTCCCATCATCCCTGACCACTTGGCATGCTGTCTGCGGCTGGGAATTTTGAATCAAACAACATGTTAAGTCCACAGGTTCCCCACTGCTGTGAATCTCATGATGGATTCAGGAAGTAAGAATGTCTGTAATTATCCTGGCAGTAGGATGTTGATGAGCCGACTGCTCATCAGGCAAGGTGCCATTAATCAGATAGCTCTGCAGTTTAAAGCTGTAAACATCTTATAGAGAGGGACCACACAAATGGTGAAGGTTCTGTGAATGTGTGTGTGCCTGTGTTATCACCAACTGCCCTGAGGCAGAAACTAAAATTGTTTATGAACAAACTCAATTGTATACAATTTAGCGCTTTTATCCGTAATCACTGCTTATATATTGCTTCCACTCCTTGACAAATACATCACCCAGTGTCTGTTTCTTAAACCCGAGCAATGAAAACTCATTCAAGTGAGGATTAAGCACAGCCACTTCAGACCATCAGGCCACTTTTCCCTCTGCTCAACATCCATGAGGATGTGACAGCAGGCTTTCTTCAACATGATCAGCTTTTGGAAGGGACACTTTGCCCCCTTGCCATACTTCTGGGGCATCATATATTGCCACCGTAACACTAAGCCTAAAGCCAGAATGTTTCAGGTCTCCACGTAAGTGACACTTAAAATGAATGGGTAACTCTAACTAGAAGGATAAAACATGGTTTAGTGGTCCATGTGCTGTTGCCAGTTCCTGCACTACATCAAGTCCACCAACAATGACTATGTGTATCGTTCTAAACCACCAACTTCAAAACACACACACAAAGATCAATAGAAACGGAAGTCTCTCATTCATACCTTCCCGTCCCATGAGGAAGGAATAAAAGCAGAGGTGGTTAATGCTGAGATACATCCAGCCCTGACGAGGCACCTTCCCTTTCCAGTAACTGCAGGAGTAGTAATTCACCAGCTTCTCTTCCTCCGGCATCCCAAACAGTTTGTGGAATTTCACTATGGCTTCCTTAAATTTTTCAGTGTCGTCATCCTCCTTGATACCATTTATTTTGTTAAATTCTGCAATGATGCCCTGAAGCAGAAGATCAGACAGGACAGTTTGGCTTCCCCAAAAAATATATGTGTGCTATGGAGTTCAAAATTCCAGCATTTAAAAAAAGAAAAGGTTTGGGGAGAGGAAGAGAACACATTTTGAGTATGCAACCCAACTGGCATACTGCAGTGACATGGGGCTGTGGTCAAATTAGCAGAATGACAAGATGAGTCTGCATCAGGGTTGGGGAATCCATAGCTGTTCAGATATTGTTGGGCTGGAAATCCCATAGGCCCCAGCCAGCATGGCTAATGGTCAAGGATAATGAGAGCAGAAGTTAGAGGTGGATTTAGGAAAGCGTGACCAGTTTGCCTGCAATGGGCGCTGAGCCGAGAGCATACCACAACAATGGTGTAAAACAGTAAGCAAGAGGTGGGGGGGGGGCACTGAATTTTGGCATTGCACAGGGTGCTGCTGAAATTTGAAAGCCCAAAGTCTGCCACTGCTGTATTCCAGCAATTTCTGCAAGGCCACACCCCTGGTCCATATGTTCCATTGGAGTCTTTCCAGTTGTTGTTGGACTACAACTCTCATCAGGCCAGTGGTGAGGGGTGATGGCAGTCCAAGAAAGTCTGGGGGCCCAAGGTTGGGAAAGGCTGTTCTATTGCCTTCAAAAACCACAGGATGCACATAAATCACACAATTTCCAGAGGAATGGCCATGTTAGTTTGTTGCCAAACAAATGGTGGCATATTAAAGACAAACAAAAGCTTTTGTCATTTCAGCTCTGTTGCTGTGTTATCGATTTTAGCCTTTAAGATATCACAAGGCTCTTTGCTATTCTAAGTTACCAAAGCAACAAAGAGGAGAGTGCTGCAAGACAAAACCTTAATTGTTAAATCTAACCTACACAGGGCATCTCAAGAGATTAGATCTTGGCCATATGGATTTCCCAAACTACCAAACAAACTAGATATTCTCTGCTAAGAAAGGACCTGGCCTTACTCCCTCTCAAACAAGCCACATGGTAAACCTGTTTTGGTAAACTGATTGCAAAAGATTAAAAAGAAAAAAAGAGTGATGTGTTGATGGGGAGGTGTTGTGCTGTTACAAGATAAAAATTCTGAAATTCCACATGGCCAGCATAAGTCCCTTGACAAACCTGAAGATAGTTATGTGATCTCACCCTTATCTATGCAACTTGATAATACCAATGTGTCTGTTTCCACTGATGCCTGCTTCCTCAAACTAGATAATGAAGCTCACTGGAATCTGTGCTTACCAAAACAGAGAAGTACACAAACCAGCAAATCAAGTATAAAGGACAAGCTTGCATAATAGTTTTTTCCTGGTCATGAGGATAATTAACTGTGCTGACAATATATATACACTACCTGTATTTTTCCTTTGACAAATGTGTTTATGTCATTTTCATTTTCAAAGATCGAAAGAGTTTGTAGTAAATTCTGTTCAAGCCATTCCCAGTGCTCAGTTATTTCTTTCCTTGAACAACCTAAGACAAGAACAGGATAAATTGCTAGATCATGTCTGTAATTTGATCATCATAAAGCAAAAATAAATAAATATATTTATGGATAGGTGTGCAACAGTATGTTTATTGGATAACCAAAACAAAACAAAACAAACCCAACAAAGAGAATACTGTGCATTTTAAAGCAAACCAGCACAGAAGAGTAATTTAATTCAACAGAACACCATGGCCCACTTCAGTTGTAACAAGATAAATAAATAAGTAGATAAATAAGTACCACTGTGGCGGGAAGGAAAATGGCATTTCTGTGCGTTCTGGCTTCCATCACGTCACAACCCCATCTTCCGTACTTAACCGTGCATTCCCTCCCCTCCTTAGCACGCCTTGCTAAGTTTTCACTTCCTGTCTTAAACAAATCACAGTTCCTCATGAGGTCTGAACTTGAGGGTGTGTAGGTTTGCCTATACTTTCCAAACAAGGCAGGAAATGAAACCATAGTGTGATCCTGGCTTGTTCTTACTACTCATAGTTTAAAACAAACCAGAGTTATATGAACTTGGATAACGTGGGAAACTGTGGTTTGTTTGAAACAGGGAATGAAAGCTTGTGAGTTTCCTTCCAGGGGCATGAAAGTATAGGAGAGATGAGAGCGGCATTCAGGGGCCAAATGATCTTAACAACTGGGCCTACATGATCTGTGGACTGGCAGTTTTCTGCAAACTAATTTTTCTGCTTATCCTTGAGCCCTTGGTTTTCTCCTAGAATGGTAATAATTTAGAGTCACTTCTAAATGGCATTATAGAAGTTAGAACATTATTGTTGAAGTAACTTGGCAGCACTGTCTCTTCCCCCTGACCCAAAAGTAGAAACAAGGACAGACCTCTAAGCTCCCTCTTCTAGTTTTGGAAATAATTGCCCTGCAAATACTTTCTGTAAATAGGGTACAATTTAATCAGATACATTTAAGTGTGTACCTCACTTAGTCTTGCATTTAAGTACTTGCCTGCTAGGTCTGGCAGACAATGAATTTCATGCAGGTGAGTGCTCCATCCCTCATTTAAACCCAGCATAGAAACCATGGAGCATGTCAGAAAACAGAATCCCCATCCTCTGTGTCCAAGGTAAAATATAGTGTACTGCTAGGGAAGGGAGAAAGCTCATAGTCCATCCTCTGCTAGCCCCCCAAAGGCTAAAATAATTTGTGGACTTACTAAAAAAGTGGGCTTAACTCCCTCCTATTATAATCAATGGGATTTAAGTGATTCATGTCAACAGAATTATGCCCATAGATTACACTGAACTCCTGAATGAATAGAAGTTATACAGGACATATTATATAAATCACTCAAGAGCTTGCTACAACAGTGCCAGGAAGGCATAGGTACGTGTAAATCAATTATTTCCTAGCCACAAAATTAGAAAGCTAACACAGTAGTGAAATGATTTCCTGGGAATTGCAAGCATAAGCTTATCTCCAGCACAGCTTGGCTGATGAGGAATGAGATCATTCTCTGCAGCTTCCAGGGAGGCCTGGCATTTCTGCTCTGCCTTTTCAACACAAATCATTTCTGAGAGCCTACATAATTTAAACAGCGGCAGCAAAGGCCCATATGTGATCATCATGTTGGGCTTTGCTTGCAATTACTGCATGAAATTGTATTGTTATAACTCCGGATGTGGCTTTAAAGACCGAGTTATTCTTTCCATAGCTTTTTACACACCTACAAAAGAGCCATAACACAACATATAGGTAATGCACTTAAAATCGCCAGAGAGATGCAAAATGATGATGTCTTGCCTCCTGTGGAGCAATAAAATGCAGAGTTACCATGCCATTACAATCACAGTATCTGTTCTGCGGTCATCGTCTGAATTATTTTTTATATATGGATTATTAAAGCTGAGGTTACTATTCACTATTTCTAAACATGGATACAACTGCCGTCACACTTCAAAACTTTTTGTTGTTACTGTTATTCTCAGGAATTTAATTTATTCTGAAACAGGAATGTATTATTTTTTTCCCCAAAAAAGAAAAATACTAATATTTCTCAGCTTTGTTCCCTTCTTTCCACTAGCAATTCTGTTATGGGAAGGACAATTGGGGCACTCAAATATATTTTCATAAAAGGAATGTAAGAGACACATTATCTAATGAAAATGTGGCCCACCTGTACCTGCACACAGGGGGTGTAGGAAGGGGGGCAGTGGGAGCGGTGTGCCCCAGGTGTCATCCCTGAGGGGGGTGACAAAATCCCCCTGGGTGGATCGCTGCCCTGCCCCCCTGGACACTGATCACCACACCAATGGCCCCCAATGGGTGCTGATCGTTACATAAAACTGCAACAATGTCAAAATAGCTAATACTAGCCAGAGTTTATTACCCTTGTCATAATCAACGCTTACAAGGAAAGGGAGCAAAAAATTCCACATAAGAGAGGAAATGTGGGAATGGTATCTGTACACAGCTTGTTATCCTGTTCTTAAGTGTCTTAAGAGTTTGACAGTATTACATCTACAATAGACCACAGCCATTGCTCAATATAATCTCACTAGATTACAACAGGCTACAATGCAACACAATGGGTTGGATCCAGACTCAGCCGTGCTTTGAGTACACTTATACAAATCAATGGGGTTTAGTCACGACTAATTTGTACCCACTGCTTTCAGTTGGTCTAATCTAAGCATGAGTAAATCTGGATAAAATCCAGTAACAGCAATGTCATATTATAGACAAAAACTTTGATGGGGTTAATCGCCCAGTCTGATAGTTACAGAAGATTAAATGGGAAATAACTTTTTAGCATTTCAGAGCCTGGATCTCATAAATGACCTGCTACTCGAGTACGATGTCATCACACAGTATAGTGGTACCTCAGGTTACAGACTCCGCTAACCCAAAAAGAGTACCTCGGGTTAAGAACTTTGCTTCAGGATGAGAACAGAAATTGTGCGGTGGCGCGGTGGCAGCGGGAGGCCCCAAGTGGTACCTCAGGTTAAAAACAGTTTTAGGTTAATAACGGACCTCCAGAACGAATTAAGTTCTTAACCTGTGGTGCCACTGTACAGGCAACCCCCTCATTTACACGCCTTCCACTCCCAGAAGACGTTTATATGGGTCACCGCAAAATAAATAAATAAATTGGCCTTCCTTCCTGGAAAGGAGGGAAGGCACGCCATTCAGGGCTCCGATCCAGAGAAGGCTTGGGACCGGCCAGGTAATGGCCCTTAGCGACTTCCAGGCAGCAGCCCCAGCGGCACACATGAGTTTCTCTCTCTCTCTCTCTCCTCCCTGTGGACCCTCCCTATCAAAGTGGGGTGCCCCCCACTTTATGTCATTTCACTTATTCATGTGGGGGCTCCATGTAAGTGAGGGGATGCCTGTCATCAAGACAGTATGCAATTCAGTGCTCCTATGAACTACAGTGGTACCTCGGGTTACAAACACTTCCGATTACAGACTCCGCTAACCTGGAAGTAGTACCTCGGGTTTAGAACTTTACCTCAGGATGAGAACAGAAATTGTGTGCTGGCACTGCAGCGGCAGCAGGAGGCCCCATTAGCTAAAGTGGTACCTCAGGTTAAGAATGGTTCCAGGTTAAGAACGGATCTCTGGAACGAATTAAGTTCATAACCAGAGGTACCACTGTACACAGAACATCCAGTCCTCTAAGAAACTGGTAATTTTAGCCACTATTAAAATACTTACCACAGGCAATAGTCCAGTATATCATAGAGTCTGGAGCCTGGTATAGAATTCGATATGGCGCTACCCTTGCACTTGAATCCAGCACAACATCAAGAGTTCCCACAAGAAGACCTAGGGAGAGGGAAAGGAATTCAGTGGTGAACAGTACTGATGTCTTGAGGTAGACATGGATACATGAACTTAACAGAACATTCCAGCCCATTTAAAAAAAAAGAAAAAAAGGTAAGAAATATATATTTAATATCTGAGAGCCTGAAGATACAGTGACTAGACTGCCGGCCTTAGATTGGGTGATGTGAAACTAAAGTGCTAATCTGAGCAATTTGAAAGAGACAAAATTAACAAGAGAATCAGCATGAAAGGCAAGTTTATATAGGTAACCAGGTCACTGACTGACTGAACTCTTCTCCTAGTGCTTAAACAAGTGCTTAACAGCAGTGGTAGCTAACTTACTTCTTCTATTCACCATTCTTTAGATCCACCCTATTGACTAAAATCAGTTCTTCTAGAACTTTACTGCTTGGCTCTTTGTTTGATCTGTCACAATTTTACCCAGTCATCACAAAACCTTTCGGGCCATGCACAATCTGAACGGTTAACTAGTCACAGGTCATTTCTCAGCCTTCTAATTTGGGAGATAGCCATGCCTCGCCACATCCTGGTTCACATTTGGGATTTTCCTTATAGCTCAAAATAATGTTTTTAAACACCACCACCAACACAGAGACACAGCCACATTCCAGTTACTACAGAGTGCAAACCAGCATTAGAAATTTCTCCACGTAATTAAAATGAAACATTTAGTAGGCACTCGGTTGATCTCTCTCCTCTGGAAATGCATCTGTTCATAGTCCTTTGGCCAGGAGTAAGTAATCTCTCCACTCCTCTATTCATACCCATTAGCCCTCTACCCCCTTTTGTTTTTAGTCTCAGTCAATAAGAGGGAGGTGTAGCCTGTGTGGCGTTAACATATTGAACTACACTCTGTTCGTATAAGAGCACAGTGTAATAAATAATTGAGCATAATTTGAGACATTGACCTTGCTTGTCCCTTCTTCAGCCTTTGTTGTGCATGAAGAAAATGCTTCAGTGAGCGCTTTCCCAAACATTTTCTTGTCAAGCTGAAAATGTATTCAAGAACCAGCTCTTCCTCTGATGCATATTCTCTGAAGAGCAATCAGCATCAGAGGCAGCCTTAGCACAGTTGGGTACAGGACAAGGGATGGACGTTTCAACTCAGGACTGTCTGAGACCTTTGCAATGTGCCTTTATGGACATCATCCTGGGAGAGGGAGAGGAAGGAGTAGCAGGTGCGGCAGCTATCTGACACGCCACAGCAAGGAATACTATTTTAGGGGGTGAAACTTAATTATTGCAAATTTCTTCCATGAGAGGGCCTTAAAAATGTGGGTTTCTTTTGGTGTGAGAAATTCAAATCTGCTTCTGTTTCAAGGCCTCCGCCACCTATTTCCAGGACCCTGCTTTACTTGGATAATACAAAAATCTTTTACATCCCCTAAATATTTCATCCCCCCCCACCCCCAGTGATGCCTGGTTAACCTTTATGAATGAAACATACTTTACCATGAAATATGTCTGATTACATGGATCCAAAACATGTAAACGTACGACATCAGAGATTTAATATACTAGCTTCAACTGGAAATACACAATTTACTCCAAACACTACTATATTGGTGCTTAGGTGTCAGGGAACTGCCATCGGAGCTGGAGGCGGAGGGAAGGCTCCAGAGGGATGCCGGAGAGGGTCCCAGTAGGGAGAGAGGCAGCCCGTCCGCTGGGGAAGGAAATCAGCGTAAAACCAGTGGAGAAAGGGGGCAGATGGGGGAATCGGAGAGGAGGCTCCAAGACTCTTCGCCGGAGACCAACAGAGAGAGTACGGGTACTCTGCTGCCCACACCCTCCCTGCGCAGAAGGCTTCCGCGCAGGGAGACTAGGAGGAGACTAGGTGTCAAGGAACTTTTGTGCTGGAAGAAGTTCAAGAAACGCCTACTGACGGATTCTGCCAGCGACTGAGACAGCCACGAAGCTAGAGGCTGTCCGGTCAGAAAGGGTTCAACCAGGTAACCTAGCCAGGAGTGGCGGCAACTTACGCACGAGCAACCCCTAAACCCATTACAGCAGGTAAACACATTTAAAGTTTTGAAAACCATATCACATGCAGTTGCATGCTAGGAACAGTCAGGTTTTTCTATTCATCATATGGCACCATTGCAAGGCATCACAGTTGCCATGGAATTCTTGGCATAGGGCAATGCATAACTTACAGTGGAACTGATGAAAGTTCAAAACAGAATGAGATTTTTAAAACAGTATTATTTCATGATTTGAGTATAATAGTTTGCAAACTTTCTCATTTTGAGGAAAATGGGTTGTGGATCACAGAAGTCTGATATTCCCTCATTTTTTGTCGCTTTTAGACTGACTGAAGAACTATTCAGCTACATATATTGCTACATTCAAGAGTAAAATCCAGTCATATACAGTATTATGCTTCCTGGAAAACTGGTCATACTTGCCACCATAATGTGTCAGCTTTGGAGTCAAGTCTCTGTCAGATGATAATTCATAAGAGGTCAGTAGAACCAACAAGAGCAACAACAAAATCCACAATGGTTTATGTTGTGGTTCTTATGACTTTTACTCAAGTGACTTTAATCTAGGGGGTCCCTATTTCTTTCAACCAAGGCTACTGTAGCTTGGCAAACCAAAAGCACATGTACAGTTATGTGCTAGTGATGCATAGGTTTATTGCACAATCGTGTAATTCAAGTCTTAATGACTTGGAAGACTTAATGATTCTTTCGAACTATCAGCCCCCCAACCCGCAACGAACAATTTTTTAAAAAAGACTCCCATTGCAACAGTGGAAAGTGGAAAGTGCTCCGAAGGCTAGGGACGTTACAATTTCATGCAATAAGGTTAATCACAACTGGGAACTTCAATAATGGGGATGCAACTTTTAGCTTGTTGGTAATCTTCTCAAGTAACAGCTCTCCAAAGAGACAATGCTCAACACGTTGTAATTAGTTACGAATTGCATTGAATACTAGCCAAATTCCAAAAGTGAAGATTTCTTCATTAACAGCCTGATCCGCCACAGCAGAAACCCAACTGTTTCCTTTCACACTGAGAATGAAAGCAAGGCTTGGACTACAAATCTGCTAGACTTTAGAAAAAGCTATCAAGACTTGAGCCTTTAAATATTACATCATACTTCTTTCCAAAGTGACATTTTAACAATACTTAACAGAAACAACTGCTTTCTCTCCCCCTGTCGTGCAATTTTATTTTATTTCTTTAACCAGAGACCTGGCATCCCCCAGCAGAGTAAATTACAAAATGGCAGCTGGGAGGCAGAAATAGAACCAGCAAGAAAATGGCAACCCAAGGGCAGACACAGCCTTAATTACCAGCTGCATCCCATGAACCATAGTCACTAAATTTAATGGGCATTACTCACAAATCAGTGTGTATAAGATTGGAGTAGGCATTTTCAGGAGACCACACTTTTCTCCCAGTCCTATACATGTTTACTACTACCAACTAATGCATTTACTTTTTCAGATTTAAACAAGGTAGTTAGTAGTTTATTGCACAATCGTGTGATTTAGTTACTAAACCTGTTTTCTTTTCATTTACTGCTGAAATAGTAGCAGGCATTTGCCCTCAGCTGCCATCAAGACTGGGGAATGAGAAAATCTGCCAGAAAGTCACCCCCCCCCCCAGCAATGGATTAAAAAGATCAGCTCTCTCAGTTTTTAACCTGTTTGTAGGTTTGTCAGGAATACATTTTAAATTTTTTAAAAAGATACTTGATTAAAACTGTACAGCTTGGCTTGAGTTTTATTCTCTATACTGAAGAGACTGAATACAGCTTTCTTTTTACAAAACTCCTGAAGCATAAAACTATTCCTTGTAAGCGAAATCTGAATCTGCAAAAAGCACTGTAAATCCTCACAAGTTCCATGCCATCATGCAATATGATCCCTATCAAAATACAACTAGAAATCATAGGAAATGTATAGTAAAATTTCCTTTCCGTCCCAAGAAAATGGCCCATTTTACAGATGAGACTATCCCAGGGGTCATCAGTGAGTCAATGGGAGAGAGAGAACTCATGGCATATGCAAAACAGAAAAAAAATAATGAAGTGAGCTAAGACAAAGACTCTGTGTTCACATATGCAGGATAATTAATCCCCTTTTATAGCTTGGCCATCTGGAGGCTGATAGAGAACAACAAAACTCAATGCATCTCTTTCTCTACTTAAAATGTCATTTAATAAGAAATATCAGTGGAAAACCTATTTGTGGACTGCACCACTTTTTAAAATGCTCTTCCATAAATAATAATTATCAATAATCAGAAGACAAATCCCTGCACATAGAAGCTAGTTTGTAGTGGAAGGAGGCTAGAACCATTATCTCCAGCATTTAGGGCAGGGTGGTCCAATACATGGCGCCCAGGAGCCACATGTAGCCCCCAAGGCCCTTTTTAGCAGCCCTTGGCAACATTTGAAACCTGCCCCAACCCCTCAGCTCTTGGCTCTGCCTTCCCAAAGCCAGGTAAGCTATGCTTATTCTATCTGCCCTGTTTAGATACAAAACTGAAGGGGTCTATTATTTTCTCTATTTTAGAAGACATCTGAAGGCAGCCCTGTTTAAGGAAGCTTTTAATGTTTGATGTACTACAGTATTTTAATATTTTTCTGGAAGCCGCCCAGAGTGGCTGAGGAAGCCCAGCCAGATGGGCGGAGTATAAATAAATTATTATTATTATTAAATTATTATTGTTCAACAGAACACAGCACACAGGTGAGTGGATCTAGTTAAACTCAAAGTTCTGTGTCCCATATGATTAGTTTGTATTAGGTAGCAAAGTAGCCACAGTGATACAGCTAAGGGAAAGGAGATTTATCTCTCATCTGCACATACATTCAGCTATAAAAAGGAGCACAATTTCCAACCCCACCTTTGATTTCTATTTATTTTATGCTATATTTAGATCTCCCATCAGCCAAAGTCCTCTGGCCAGTTTTTATAGTCAGTAAAACGTACAGGTAAATACAATAATCCTGTATTGCTGTGCACTGCTGCTCTGTGCTGCTGTTTTGTTGTTGTTGCTTTTGTTTCATTTTTTTTGTTTGATTTATTTTAATGTGGGGTTGGGTGGTTGTTGTTGTTGTTGTTTTTTGGTGAATGGTAGACTTGAAGTACAAACAACAACAAATAAAATTGCCCAAATACAAACACCATAAAATCTCAAACTAAAGCAAAAACATGACATTAAAAACACACTGGCATAAAATGGAATACAAAAGCCAACCTAAAAAAAAAGAAAAAAGAAACGTTTAAGGAAGTAAGTCCCCCTGAAAAAGGTAGGACTCATTCCTAATCAAATATGAACAGAAATGACTCCACACACATTTAGGGAGTAGATTGCTTTTTGCTATAGGCAGGTAACTCCAACATAAGCACACAAAACACAGACACAGCACAACACAACACAACACAACACAACACAACACAACACAACACAACACACAGAGCACTACAATACTCTGATTAAACCACACAGTTATATACACCTATTTCCATTTTACATGTACACATACAAATGAGACAAGACTCTTCTTTCTTTTTCTGTTTCCTTTCTCACACAGACCCACATCACACCACTAACCAGTTTTATTGCTATACTGATAAATTCAACTTTAGCTAGAGCAGTGCCTTTCCCTGATATCAGTACAACACGGGCGACAGAACATTTTAATAGTAAACAAGCAAAGCAACAGATCACTGCTGAGCTGTGCTCACCATTGTGAGAGCTGAGGTTATGATGATGATGATGCTTCCCCAGCTGTTGTCATTGGCTGTGGACTGCCTGTGATGTCACACAGAACATGGCATCTGAGTGGATACATAAAGGTAAACGAAGGGGAAAACCAAGGCAAAAGTAGTTTTACTTCCCAAAGAGAACACAGTGGGAAATAGCTGTGGTGTTCAGCACTGGGTGGTCTCCTTCCATGCCAAGGCAAGCTAGCAGATGGAACAAACTAATCATCCAGCAGCATCATGATGTGGATCAATAAGAAGGCAAGTTTTTGTGGCTTGAAACCAGATGATATCCATAGCCAGAAGCTGTCTGCTGTCTGGTGATGAACCTAGCAGAAGCTGACAGATGTTGGTGGGTGGAAGCTGGTGGAGTTCGTATTTGGATGTTGGTGGATGCTGCAAGTCTGAAGCAGGCTGATATTTGTGGGTATAAACTGGCTGAAATTCACCTTTGGAAGACCAACAGAAACTATGTGCCTATTTGTGGATAGAAGCTGGGGTGTATATGTGAATGAATGGAGAATGGCCAATTAATGAATGTGTCTGTGCAAATGTCGAGCTTTGAATGTGTTTGAAACAAATGGTGTGTGTCTGGGTAAATTCAGAGGCGGCATAGGTCACCCTCTGGATGTGGTGTGCCTGGGAATTACGCATTCAAGAGGTCGCTCTCCAGGTGAAGGGTGCATGCGTGAACCACTCAACATTCATGGGTGGAAGCCAGTGGAAGTTGGGCGGCTGAAGTCAGGGATGAAATTGGCAGAAGCTAGTGGAAATGCCTGGGTGATCCTGCTGGATGGTAGCCATCCCTCTCACTGTGTTTGTGCCTTTCACAGTTGTCAGAAGCTGGCAAACTTTTTCCATAGACCACTCATGAAAGTAATGAAGAGAGCAGTAGGCCTTAAGAAACCCAGCTTCTATTTCTAAATAAATGGCTTTCTAAATACATCTAGACGGGACGCGGGTGGTGCTGTGGGTTAAACCACAGAGCCTAGGGCTTGCTGATCAGAAGATTGGCGGTTCGAAACCCCGCAACGGGGTGAGCTCCCGTAGCTCGGTCCCAGCTCCTGCCAACCTAGCAGTTCGAAAGCACCTCAAAGTGCAAGTAGATAAATAGGGACCGCTCCTGCGGGAAGGTAAACGGCGTTTCCGTGCACTGCTCTGGTTTGCCAGAAGCAGTTTAGTCGTGCTGGCCACAGGACCCAGAAGCTGTACGCCGGCTTCCTCGGCCAGTAAAGTGAGATGAGCACCGCAACCCCAGAGTCGTCCACGACTGGACCTAACGGTCAGGGGTCCCTTTATCTTTAAATATATCTAAGTAGTGTTCGATACACCCCCCCCCACAAGACAGATAATAGAAAGCTGTGCAGATCGTTCCCCAGCTGTTGCCATTGGGTACAGACTCCCTGTGACGTCACAAATGGACCCAGTGGCTGAGGAGAAAGAGGCAGCTACTAGTGGAAAGGAAGGAGGGGAGCAGGACCAGCAGAAGGAAGAGGTGGTGGCTGGGGGGTTGGGGTTGGGCATGTAGGGCTAGCTGGAGATGCAGAAGGGAAATCTGGGTTGACTCCTTCCTGTCTAACTGAGGTGCCAACATTTTGCTCTCTCAAGGCTCCTCTGTGTGTCTTGCGATGCCCACATAGGGGTAAAAGGAAATAAAACCATGACTGATTTTGTCACAAAGAATCCTCCAGCACTAGTCACCTTATAAGGTTCCCTGGGGGTTGAAAAGCCTTTTTAGCTGAACTCTGCTGTGTTTGGCAAGGTGTTTCCCTCAGGGTCAACTGCTTCAAACTTTTAGAAGAGAGAGACTCGGTGCAATGTTAGAGGCTCAGCACGCGAACTATGATGAGCCTCAGAGAACCTGAAAGTCCAGACAGATAGGTTTTCAAACACGAAAGCACAGAACAAAAAAATATGCATACCCAGCATTCTGAGATGGTCCTCTGAGTGCTTTGCATCATGTGGTCTGCAAGTGAGCCCCATGCACCTAATGCACTCATTTAGCATTCTGAGAATATCAGCTTTCATTGTAAAAAGTAATTTTCTAGCTTTTGTGGTTGCAATTTGATCTCGGTACATAATGGGGGTGGGGAGGGAATCTGATGTAATTCACTATATTTGATAAGCTGCCCACCCTGTCTTATAGGAACATGCTTAGTGAACATGTCCACTGATATAGGGCTTCGTGGAAAGGCAAAGCAATGTTGTGGTGAACTTGGCTATCTGCCCAGGAATGTAAAATCCCAGTGCATAAGATTTTTTAAAGTGCCTCAATCAGCCATAGGGGAGAGGAAGCCTGGGGGCTAAGTACCCCATACATTTAAAGCACATTTCCCCTCACCTAAAGAATCCTAGGAACTGTAGTTTACCTGACATACAATTCCCAGCACCCTTAAACTACAGTTCCCATGATTCTTTGCTGGGGGCGTGTGCTTTAAATGTATGATGTGTACTCAACGAAAGCGAGTAATCATATCACTGGCTGAGCACATTTACTCATCAGGAAGCATGAGCTCAGCAAACTCTCTTATACTTGAATGATCCTCTATCAAAGAAGCAAAACATGCCAAAAAGCAGCTATGGGTGTTTCAAGATTTCAGGTTCCCAAGTGAGAATTGACAACCTGGAAGGAGACTGGGAAGTATCTCATATTGCATATCAAAATCATAAACAGTTGTGTTGGTCCATTGGGGTAGATGTATAATTTATTGCTGGAATGGCATACAAAAGATGAACAAGTGAAACCTGTAATGATTGAATGGGCCAGGGATGTGGGGCACAATATCATGATTGTGGATTGGGAGAGAGAAATTGTGGAAAAAAGGAATCAAATTTACAGCTTGTAATGTATTAAGAGAAAATTTGATGAAAATGATGTACAGATGGTATTTATCCCCAGTGAAGTTAGCAAAAATATATCATACTCATGATAATAAATGCTGGAAATGTAAAGAAAAAGAAGGAACCTTTTACCACATGTGGTGGACGTGCCCCAAGGTAAAAGACTTCTGGGAAAGGATTTATAATGAACTGAAATGAAGTGTTGAAAAACACATTTATTAAGAAACCAGAAGCCTTTTTACTTGGTATAGTGGGCGATGAAATCCCCAAAAAGGATGTTACTTTTTTTCTGTATGCCACAACAGCTGCGACAATATTGCTAGCGAAGAATTGGAAGAAACAAGATTTACCAACTATCGAAGAATGGCAGATGAAGATGATGGACTATATTGAACTTGCCAAACTCACCGGGAGACTCCGAGACCAGAGAGAAGAGACGGTGGGAGAAGATTGGAATAAGTTTAAGGAATATTTGAAAAAATATGTCAATATTTAAGAATATCTTTGGAAGTGGATATAGGTTGTGGGGTTAGAAGTAGAAGATAGTGTATTTTAAAATAGTATTATTTGTAAGTGATAAAATGTGAAGTTTTTTATGGTTAAAGTAAGTGTGATTAAAAAAAAAGATGGTTAGAAATTATGATATATGTAAACTGCTGAAGATGAAGTACAGTAAAATGAAAATCAGATAGGTGGGACTTGGGGAAGCCCACCTAACAATGTTTAGAAAAATAAGGATAAGAAAAGAATCTGTTTGTATTGTTTGTTTTTCTGTTTGTGTTCTTTATTTGTGTTATAAAATGAATAAAAAAATTGGGGGGGGGGAGAAAGAATTCAAAAGCTACAGTAGGGCAGCTTGAACAAGTTTGCAAATACTCCAGGATGCAAACAAAAACCAACCAACAAACAAAAGACCCTGCAGACTTTAGAATTTGAACATTGTGTCCTGTTTTCCCCTCTAACCCACCACTTACTTTTGCTGCAGTTAAGATATAATCTCTGACCAAGAATTGTAGAAAAATTGTGGAGTTTGTGTGAATCTTCTCCCCAACTCCCATGTTGTCCGTTAGTGCACTTGAACAAGAAGTAATCAGCAGGGAAATTAGGGCCTGACTCAAGACTATTCCGCATGCTGGCACTTCGAGCATGCCAGTCTCTTACAACTGCAGGATAATCACTGGAAATGAGCACAGCCAGGAAATGGCAGTACAGAGCTATGCCCAAGAACAGCTGCAAATGACTGCCAAAAAAGTTGCCAAGTGTTCTTCACCTATTGATTCCTACTGTTTGGACGAGATAACCCTTTGGGTCCCTTCCAACTCTATAAAGCATTTCTATAGATTTCTATCTACTGGGAGGAAAGGACAGATGTCCTTAATAACACTGGAAGTTATAAATGCAGGAGGGAAGAAAGAATTATTCAGCAGCATCCTGGACTGGTTATTTCAGAGGTGGTTGGGAAAAAGTGAAAATAACAACACAAGAAAGAGCTCTGCTGGATCAGACCAAAGGCTTGTTAAGTCCAGCATCCTGTATCCCCAGTGTTCAACCAGAGGTCTGAGGGATGCTCACAAGCAGGACATAAGCATAACAGCATCATCCCCATTTGAATCCCCTAGCAACCGGTATTCAGAGACACACTGCCCCAAATACAGCAGTATGGAATCTTCTAGTTAATTATGTTCGCTTACACGCTCTTAAGTATTCCCCAGGCTTTTATTCATGCTCATGCCTGCAAGCAGGAAAGGCAACACCTAGGTAACCAGTGAAGTTGCTCCCAACAATGGATTTGGGGGTGGACAAGGAGAAGAGTTTGAAGGAGTTTCACTTATTCAGAAGGGGAAATTCTGAAAGTAAAGATGTTGCTGCTATTTGTTAATATTGATTCGTTAGTCTCTTTTTACTAAGTGATGTAACCAGAGAAAAATACCACAAATAAAAACAATTAAAACCAGAAAATGTAAAACAATCAATACAAAAATACAGTAAATGCTCATCCAAGCTGGTGCTGCTTGCATGTTGCAATGTAGCTGAAGTCCACACCTCTGACATTTGACACATTTAAACAGGATGACTAAAAGGAGACTTAACAACAGCAAAGATTTACATCTGTATACTGAAAACAGCAGTTTCTCATGCCTTAAGAGTTGCCCCAACAGTACAGCAACCTCTAGGTAGAAAACCAGTCAGTTCTGAACCTAACAAGTCCCATATTACAGGAATATCTTGCTGAAATCAAACCGAGGCGATTAGGCAATTCTGTCCAGCACCAAAGGTTATTTTTGGAGCACTTTCAAAACTCTGTGGCTCCATTCAATCTGCATATTTTATATGCACATAATTAACTATAATTGCATAAATCCTTTCTGGTGCCAGGTCATGCCTGCTGCTGCTAAACATGTCTTCACTTGCCTATCAACATATTTTGGTGGTTTTGCTTTTCGTTTCAGCAATTTGTTCCTGACCTGGCAAGTTCGCCAAGTATTCCATCAAGGGAAAATGACAAAGGACCATGGGATATTCAATGATATACATGAGCTCTTCTTCTTTGTCTTATACAGAACCAGTACATTGTCCTGGCTCTCACCCTTGGATGAAGAACTCCGACTCTATGCTTTGGAAATCCCCAAATTATTAATGAAATTAGCACATGGTCTCAGCACCAACTCAGAGTACAGGTTACATAGCTCAAAATGTACATTGACAAGGGATGGGATACATGGCTAGGAATAAGCAAAGACTTGACACATCCCTCCTGCTCTCCTTGTAAAGCAGAGGGATTTAGCAATTTTCTGAGCCCATCAGATATGCTATTATTGCATTTTCAAACTTTTCTTTTAGCACAGGGAGATTGAAATCTATTCCACACCAAGGAATCTTATGCATCAAGAAAACTAAAAAGAAATAGACAAACAAATCACAACAGCTGTTTCCTTTTGGCTGTATTATGGTTGCTAATTTTCCCTTCATTTCACAAGACAAGCCATATGGTCAATAGGCTTACTCATTTAAATAGTAATAATAATAACAACAGGAAGAGTCTTCCACATGACTTAGTGTCAAAAGTTTACAATTGTTGATGGCACGAGGAAAAAATGGGTATAACAAGGAAATTCCTGGGGCAAGTACTCTTTGGTGAGAAAACACCAACAGATTTAAAATCACAAAATATGCAGCAAAGTAAAACGTAGAAATATAGGCTGTTAGATTTTTTAAAATATCCCCTTATGAGTCCCAAAACTTCCCACTTCCTTTAGCATAAAAGGCCACACATTTGGTCTAAAAAAAGGATAAGTAATAACTACTTTGTAAAATGGATAACTCTCCTGAGATATCCCACTGCTGGAAAAAAGATAATTTATTACCAAAATGCAGCCCCTCAAATCCAAGGATAAAATGTTGGTGTTGCATGGATGTGAAAGCCAACACTATCTGATGTTTGAAAGCAAATGCTGCACTATGTCTTATTTAACACGAAAGAGTAACTTGTTCAAAGCCACCTAGGCAAATAATAATAATAATAATAATAGTAGTTTTTGTACCCTGTCCATCTGACTGGGTTGCCCCAGCCACTCTGAGTGGCTTCCAACAGAATATACCAAAACACATCAGAACATCACACATTTAAACCTTCCCATAGTAAATGTTACTATGAAGGCCACAGTAGCATTTCTATATATGTGAATCCTGCAAAGATGCTGATGAAAAGTTCCTTTGTTAATCTATCCTTACTTATTCGCAGTGAGGATCAAAAGCAGTAAAGTACTGCTGTACTACACAACAACAAATTAAAAGTCAATTAAAAACAAGGAGATTGCAAAGTGCAATGAATTCAGAACATTTTCATAATACCATGATTAATTGACTTTCAGCCATTCATTTAACCTAGAACATAAGCAAATAATTCAAGCCAAGTACTTATGGCACTAAAATTGAACATGTCATTACTATAGCTTCTGTTCATGATTTTGTTACTTTTGAAACATTAAACAAAGTTTTTAATCTTCGTCAGTTTGGTTCCTAATAACCCTATAAAGTAGATACCACAGTGCCTATTTTCTCTAATTTAGTTGGTCTGGTGTTCCAAACATGCCCTTAGAAATACTAAATATAGTACCAATTTGCCTTAAGATTTAATGAGTTTCCCTTTACTTTTGCTACACAAATTTTTAAAGATTCAAGAAAAGGTAACTTCAATAACTTACAAGAAAAGTTTTGTAAAATTTCACAAATGATAGAGATTGAGTTTCAGGTGTTTACAAAATCATATGAAGAAAATAATTTGTGGTAAGATATATGAAATTCTGTTACCATGAAGGATGCACTACTGCTTTATTTTAAACTACACAGAACAGTAATTAGGCTATTGGGTGAAAAGGCAAGAATGTACTCAGAAAATGGTTCCCCCCCATTTCAGTAGATTTATGAAGCCAGTAGCTTCAGTGACCTTGGGATGAAAGTACTTCACAACATTTTTTGATTTGAGGATGAGGGCAGGATGCATTTAAAGGAGCAGACCGTTTTTGCACACTGCCAACTTAAGAGTTTGTGGGTATATACTTTTTGCCTACTATGGGCACAAGAAGGATCAAAATAACTGAAAGAGTGCAAAAACATAAATGAAACTATGGAGGTTTCGTGAATTTTTCTTTCTTAAGAGTCCACTTGTGGATGAAAATATTTATGGAGCCCCGAATTCTGGTTCATCTTTTGCAGATTTTAATTTCCCTGATATACAGCACAATTCTACAGTGCCTACTCAAAACTATGTCCCATTGAGTTTAATGGGGTTTACTCCATGGAAACTAGATATAGGTGTGCAGACTACATCCACAATTCTATATGAACTAACGTGGGAGTAAGTCTCATGAACTCTTCTCTACTTCAGAGAAAACAGTATTAATTTATTATTTCATCCCATTTGTTAATTGCTTCCAATGAAACATCTTGAAGTGATTTAACAAGGAATACATATATAAAACTACTTTATACACACAAATCAGTTAAAATATTTTATTGCTACATCTTTTTAAAGACGTGTATATGACTGAACTGCATTGATGTAATATCCCCAGGACCCAGTTTCTTACCAATTCTTATTAGCTGCTATAACAAAGAGGTAGGCACCTTAAAGACTTAAAGTTTAACATCAGCACAGAGAATTTGTAGTTTTAATGAATTATGAAATGCTTTGTCAATCCCCTAAGAGTTTACTGAGAAAATGTCTCAACTCAGCAAGAAATATTTAGGTGCACTGAAGGGGAAAATAATCATTTCATTAAAGAATTTAACAGCATAATCCTATGCATGCCTTCTCAGAAGTAAGCCCCTTTGAGTTCAGTGAAGCTTTCCCCAGAGTTAATAGTACAGAGGATTGTAGCCCAAGGTTGTATTCTGAGAGTATGCCCCAAAGAACTCTGTGAGCCTTAGAAGGAGATATGCACACGATTAAGCTGTAAGCTCCTTGTATACCAAATATTTCATACTATATGTGAAAAGGACATTGTTTTAAAAAACAGTGCTGGTGATCTATTAATGCCAACCTATCACACTAAACTAGTGTCAGTTAGATAAATTGTTTCTATATAATGGTGAGAGAAGACAATTCCTACCACAGTTTCTGTGAGCATTTTATTCCCCTGATAGTTAGCAGATACCCATCTGCCAGCCACCTAAACAAATGTGTTAGAAATATGTTTGGCACCATTTCATGAACTTAAAACTACTGTTACATGCCCAGGCTGCAGTAAAGAGCTCCACAGTCCACACTGCTGTGATCCAACAGCTACCATAAAAACTGTATTTATAAAAATACTAATTCTGTAGAAATGTAACTTGTAAACACAGAGAGAGCATATCTTGTTTCCCTGAGAGGTCCAAATGGAGGACGCCACTAAAAACACATTTATGTAGGTATTCTGCAGACTGCACCTGAAAGCAGCTATAGAACCATAAACAATAGCAGAGAGTAAGGCCTGTCAAGGTGCTACACTCAATATGCCAGCAAATTTGGAAAACTCAGCAGTGGCCAGAGGATTGGAGAAGATCAGTCTACATCCCAATCCCAAAGAAGGGCAGTGCCAAAGAATGCTCCAACTACCGCACAATTGCACTCATTTCACACGCTAGCAAGGTTATGCTTAAAATTCTACAAGGCAGGCTTAAGCAATATGTGGACCGAGAACTCCCAGAAGTGCAAGCTGGATTTCGAAGGGGCAGAGGAACCAGACACCAAATTGCAAACATGCGCTGGATTATGGAGAAAGCTAGAGAGTTCCAGAAAGACATCTACTTCTGCTTCATTGACTATGCAAAAGCCTTTGACTGTGTCGACCACAGCAAACTATGGCAAGTTCTTAAAGAAATGGGAGTGCCTGATCACCTCATCTGTCTCCTGAGAAATCTCTATGTGGGACAAGAAGCTACAGTTAGAACTGGATATGGAACAACTGATTGGTTCAAAATTGGGAAAGGAGTACGGCAAGGCTGTATATTGTCTCCCTGGTTATTTAACTTATATGCAGAATTCATCATGCGAAAGGCTGGACTGGATGAATCCGAAGCCGGAATTAAGATTGCCAGAAGAAATATCAACAACCTCAGATATGCAGATGACACAACCTTGATGGCAGAAAGTGAGGAGGAATTAAAGAACCTTTTATTGAGAGTGAAAGAGGAGAGCGCAAAATATGGTCTGAAGCTCAACATCAAAAAAAGGAAGATCGTGGCCACTGGGCCCATCACCTCCTGGCAAATAGAAGGGGAAGAAATGGAGGCAGTGAGAGATTTTACTTTTTTGGGCTCCATGATCACTGCAGATGGTGACAGCAGTCACAAAATCAAAAGACGCCTGCTCCTTGGGAGAAAGGTGATGGCAAACCTAGACAGCATCTTAAAAAGCAGAGACATCACCTTGCCAACAAAGGTCCGTATAGTTAAAGCCATAGTTTTCCCAGTAGTGATGTATGGAAGTGAGAGCTGGACGATCAAGAAGGCTGATCGCCGAAGAATTGATGCTTCTGAATTATGGTGCTGGAGGAGACTCTTGAGAGTCCCATGGACTGCAAGAAGATCAAATGTATCCATTCTTAAGGAAATCAGCCCTGAGTGCTCACTGGAAGGACAGATCATGAAGCTGAGGCCATCTCATGAGAAGAGAAGACTCCCTGGAAAAGACCCTGATGTTGGGAAAGATGGAGAAGGGGACGACAGAGGGCGAGGTGGTTGGACAGCGTTCTCGAAGCTACGAACATGAGCCTGACCAAACTGCGGGAGGCAGTGGAAGACAGGAGTGCCTGGCGTGCTCTGGTCCATGGGGTCACGAAGAGTCGGACACGACTAAACGACTAAACAACAACAACAAGGCCTGGGAACTAGGAGTGCATGTCAAGTTCTAATGCTAATCTGCAAGGACTCTCATAGTTGCTTCTCTGAAAGCCATTTGCTGCCGTACATGATCTGAAGTGTGCATCACAAGAAGGAAATGCACAATAGAGTGGAGCACACTTACAGCATCCATGCACATCATGGGCGGACACTCACAAATTTGGAAAACCAATTTCATACTAATGGAGCACACAGTGATTAATTTAAACTTTCAAGTGTTATGACGGGTTTCAGCACTGAATGACTTAAAAGCAAATTGTGTTGTGCAGCAGAGGCAGCCAACAGGATGCCCTCCAAATGTTGTTGGACTCCAATTCCCATTGGACACAACCAGCATGGTCCATGATCAGGGATAATGTGAGAAACATCTGAGAGTTTCTCATTCCTTGCCTAGCTTGAATGGAAGTCACTCTTATTAGTTACAGATTTTTCACTATTTTGTTACCCAGTATGTACTAGAAATGTCAGAGACTGGACCTGGGACCTTTTACATGCAAAGCGTGTACTCTGTGATTCCTCCTCCCAATCTAATTAACTGCTTTCATATTTTAATAGGAAATTACATGTAGCTGAACGTGCTCTAGCAAAACCCTTTACATTTGCAAAATCTGTTTAATCTGAAATACTGCTGACTTCCAAGGCCAAATAATCTCTTCCTGGCAAACTGAGTCTTCCTTTAGATCTATTTTTGTTTGCACTTCTTCTTGCAAATTGCCATGATTTGCATAGATAGCCAATGCACAAAAGGCCACACAGACTATATGCCTGCTCTAAAAGGGCTGTCTTTGAGCCTTCAGGCAAACACCTTCAACAATAAATGTATTCTGTTACCATTTTTTGTTGCATGTAGGCAAGGTCACATTTTTCTAAGCCTTTATTTCATGTAGTAACAGCCACTGATGGAATGAATTCTAGGCATGCATAAAATATATTGCTTTCAACAAAATCATAAAATTAGTATACAGATCCAGCAGGATTTGGTGGCTGAAGTGCTTTGACTTAGGAAGCTTACATCTGAACGATTTATCATCTGTAAATTTTCTAGGTGGCCAAGAAAGGAGTGATTGAGGTGTTACAGTTTTTCCAAGTTATATACGGGATAAACTCAAGCAGCTCTTGAATCAAGACACGCTTACAGTGACTCAGATTTGCCAGACCCTACTTTACAGTAGCCCAACATTACAATGAGGCAAGGGATGTTTTTGAAAAAGTGTGCCATTTCACCGATGTCACTCAACTTTATACAATTAAATATCAATACAGATTAGGAAGCAGAAGAAAACAAGCTGAAAACAAGCAGAAGTTGAGAATGTATTTTTGACTCATTCCTGTGATTTCCATTTAGGTAACTGTCCTTGGGAAGTACAGCACAACTGACATGCACAATAGTGGCTAATGGAAGAGCCTTGCTGCAAAAGCTTTCTAGGACACTTGAATCAAAATATCCTAAAAATAACCTTAGACTAGGAGAGAAAGAGATGCACAACCATTTTTGGGAATGATGGAATTGTCAACACTGTAGTGCTACAGGATTAAAATTCCTTTAGGATCTTCCCCACCCTCATCCTGGTTTTATATTCCTTTCGTGCCAATTAAGACATTACGTTTTGCAGTTGCCATCAGAGCCTTGCAGCCAGTATTGTAATTCAACCCAAATTACAACCAAGGATAGCCATATAAAACACAGTGACAATGCACATGTAAAACAAAATTTTAAAAAGCTGAATCCTGGTTGTCTTGCCTGATCTTCACTATTTCCAGATGATCAATGCTAGCAACAAAAAACATACATGGCTAATAGACACCACAATTACAACCACTACACTTAAAACATTCAAACTGTCATATTAAATTGTAAGGAGTTATCTAGAATGGCAAGTCCAGTTCAACTCAGTTTCAGCTTTGGACTGGTTGGCTGGCTCTAACCAAGCTAGGTGTAGGTGAGGAACTCATTCACTGAAATAGTGAAGTGCAAAAGGAGATGAGGAAATGAGATTCATCAAGTTACACATTTACTGGTGTAGGCCACAGAAACTGACATGCCCTAAATCAGTGCTTCCCAAACTTTCCGTCCCACAGACCACTGAGTCTTGGCAGATCACTTAATGAGTTCATGCCTGTTGCAGCAATTCTAATATGATGCAATAGGTGCTGGTTTTTAAATTGTATTTTTATTGCTTCTTTTGTATTTCATATATTCCACCTGAATGAAGCTTGTGGTCTACAGACTATAATTTGTGACACTCTGCTGTAAACCATTCGAGATCTTTTGAGCCAGATGGCTCAGAATTAATTTTTTTCTTGATGCAAGACAGAAGCAATGTGCTCCTGTGAATAAATTATTTCACTCTCGCTGTATTTCACTCCCAGTATAACATATCTAAAATAACAATTGAGTGGCCTTCACAGAATTTCTTTGAAGGTAAGTTACAAAAGGTATCAATCTACCTCTGCTCTATGCATGGCTGATTAGAAGTAAGTCTCACAGAGTCCAATGGGACTTACTGGCAAGAAATGGTGCAAGAACTGCAGCCTAAAACTTCTCCGTGTGGGCTATTAGTAATCTTCCTTCATGCAATTTTCAAAGGACTCTGGGATGCCACTCTAAGTCTTCTGCACAAGGATGTAGGAAACAGTAATCAGTAGAGACTCTGCCAACCCCAGCAGTACTGACATGCAGGTGAATATAGCCATCCATACACAATAATAAAAGCCTAAGCAAGCCAATATAGATACATGAAGAAAAACTGGCATCCTGGATTTCCAAACACACAAACAGTATACCTTCAAGTGAAATGCACACACCTGTTGCAAATGCAGACCCCGCATCAAGACACCAGGCGTGGACATGGCATGTAAATAAACGCACCAAAGAATAGCACTAGCAGCATCCCCCACCCCAAAAGATCCAAACTGAGCAATTCTGCCCCTTATTTCTCCCCCTCCCGCCTCGGAGCCCTCTTCGCCCCCTTACCAGCTAGCCCTCCGCTGCCTCCATCTCCTCCGTGCCCCTTTCTTCTCTGCAGGATGAAGTAAGGGTTGGCCCTCTCCGTGATCCACAGGGCGTTTGCCAGCAGCACCTCCTCCGGGTTCACCCACATGCTCCCGGCCAAAGACAAAGGCAGCCTGGACGGGATTCGCTTCAGACGTCTTATTTCGCTTTTAAATCATGCGGAGCCCGGGACGATGCTGCGAGCCCCGGCTGGCTTCAAGCGCCCTGCCCAGCCCTGCCCAGGTAGGAGCCCGCAACGCCCCGGCCAGAGGAAGAAACATCGGGGTTAGAAAGGGGGAGAAAAAGCAGCACCATCCCCACCGCGACTCTCCAGCCCCGGATCAGCCCCTTCTCCAAGCCCAGAAGAGCGGCAGCAGCTCGGCGAGAAGACTCGCTCGGTGGCGGACGCGGGGATGAGCCGAGCGGGTGACCTCAGAGAGCATCAGCTGCGACGGCTGGGCCCGCCCAGCAGCCTCCCAGGCTCCTCACTGCATTCAAGCTCCGGGAAGGAGCCGCTTGCGGAACGGCGCCCCCACTCGGAAAAACGCGAGCTTAGCAGCTGCTCTCCTTCCGGCACAAGAGCTCGGGAGGTCCGCTCCGCTGCATGGGCGAAAAATGCAAAAAAATAAATGCAAAAAACCAAAACCCACCCTCGCAATGTCTGATGCTAACGAGCAAAGGCCAAGCCTATCTATCAGTAGGGAGCGATTGCAGGGAGCAAGGTCCACCGTTCGGTATCTGTGATATGACTACGGGGAAATCACAACAGGTAACCCTGGCGAGAACGCGCCCGCGCGCGTACACACACACCTCCGGATTGGTACTGCCGAGAGCCGCCCAGCGCACCACGGATCTTTGAAGATCACCTACCTAGCTACCCCTCCCCCGCTAGGTTTAAAGCACGCGCAGAGCCTAACAAGATCTCAGCGCGCGCGCACATGGGTCTAAAAAGCCTGCCAGGGAGCAACACTGATCTATCCGAGGTCACTGCAAAATCGTCCGCATCACGGTCTGACAAGTGGTCGCTTATGGCAGCTAAGGAGATGGGCATCCGCAGGGCGATCAGCTGCCAGTAACTGCCACCGCTCGGAACAGGGTGCACAGAGCGAATAAATCTAACCACCGTGTCATCGGTCGGTAGCTAGAGATGGCTTGCTCGTAATGTCCATTTCTGCTCAATGAAAAGGGGAACGGGAGGGGGGGTGGAACGTCACCAGCTCCCGTTCCGCCGAACGCTTTCTATGCGCAAGCGCGCGACCTTACGACTAGCGCGCCGCCAGGTTCCGAAAAAGGCGTGGCCAGCGCCAGCAGCACAACCTGCGCAACGTTGTTTGGTTTCCTCCTTCCTGCACTTCCAGGAGCCAGTCCCGCGTCCTGTCTGCCCTTGCTCCTGTCCTGTGCGGGTCTCGGCAGAGGCTCCACCGTCCCTGCCCCACCCCGGTTAGAACCGGCGCAGGAATCCACTGCAGAGCTCTGGCAGCGAGCTGATCTTCAGGGAGGGTGTGAGAGAAGTCATTCCTATCTCACCTGATCTCCCAAGTCAGAATTCTTAAGCAAAAAAGACTTCAAAGAGGCGAGGCTCCAGCAAATGTTGCCGAACTAAATAGGACATGGGAGTAGCCAGGATTTGTGTGTGTGTGTGTTTATGTGTTGGGGGGGGGGGCTGGCTTCGGGCTGCAGAACCTCAGTTAAGGATTTTTGTTGATTTTCTTGTGAAATAGGATCAGCAAATTCCAATCCATTCAGTTCGAATTTAATTGAAAGAGTTGATTTCTTTCCCAATGAAGGGATTACATTAGCATAGCTAGAAAGATAAAATTATCGGCCGTGATTACTACTGTTGTGTTAGCCATCATTTTATCTCCCAGAAATGGCACAAACCTTGTTGTCGTTTTGTCGTGTCCGACTCTTTGTGACCCCATGGACCAGAGCACGCCAGGCACTTCTGTCCTCCACTGCCTCCCGCAGTTTGATCAAACTCATGCTGGTAGCTTCAAGAACACCATCCAACCATCTCATCCTCTGTCGTCCCCTTCTCCTTGTGCCCTCCATCTTTCCCAACATCAGGGTCTTTTCCAGGGAGTCTTCTCTTCTCATGAGGTGGCCAAAGTATTGGAGCCTCAGCTTCAGGAGCTGTCCTTCCAGTGAGCACTCAGTGCTGATTTCCTTCAGAATGGATACGTTTGATCTTCTTGCAATCCATGGGACTCTCAAGAGTCTCCTCCAGCACCATAATTCAAAAGCATCAATTCTTCGGCGATCAGCCTTCTTTATGGTCCAGCTCTCACTTCCATACTTCACTACTGGGAAAACCATAGCTTTTACTATACGGACCTTTGTTGGCAAGGTGATGTCTCTACTTTTAAGATGCTGTCTAGGTTTGTCATTGCTTTTCTCCCAAGAAGCAGGCGTCTTTTAATTTCGTGACTGCTGTCACCATCTGCAGTGATCATGGAGCCCAAGAAAGTAAAATCTCTTACTGCCTCCATTTCTTCCCCTTCTACTTGTCAGGAGGTGATGGGCCAAGTGGCCATGATCTTTGTTTTTTTGATGTTGAGCTTCAGACCATATTTTGCGCGCTCCTCTTTCACCCTCAATAAAAGGTTCTTTAATTCCTCCTCACTTTCTGCCATCAAGGTTTGTCATCTGCATATCTGAGGTTGTTGATATTTCTTCCGGCAATCTTAATTCCGGCTTCGGATTCATCCAGCCCAGCCTTTCGCATGATGAATTCTGCATATAAGTTAAATAAGCAGGGAGACAATATACAGCCTTGTCATACTCTGTCAGGGAACTGCCGTCAGTGCCGGAGGGAGAGAGCAAGATCCAGAGGGATTCCAGAGAGCGTCCTGGGATTGGGAGAGGCAGCCCATCTTCTGGGGAAGAAAATCAGCGTAGCACCAGTGGAGAAGGGGGGAAGATGGGGGAAGCGGCGAGGCGGTCCCATGACTCCTTGCCGGGGACCAGCGGGGAGAGTAGGGGTCCTCCGCTGCCTATGCCCTCCTTGCGCAGAAGGCTTTCGCGCAGAGAGAGTAGGAGGAGACTAGGCATCAAAGAGCTTCTTTGCTGGAAGAAGTTTAAGAAACACCCACTGACGGATTCTGCCAGCGATTGAGACAACCATGGGTGAGTGGCTGTCCGGACAGAAAAGGTTCACTCAGGCAACCCAACCAGGTGTTTGCACCGGCTTATGCACGAGCAACCTCTAGAACCACTACATACTCCTTTCCCAATTTTGAACCAATCAGTTGTTCCATATCCAGTTCTAACTGTAGCTTCTTGTCCTACATAGAGATTTCTCAGGAGACAGATGAGGTGATCAGGCACTCCCATTTCTTTAAGAACTTGCCATAGTTTGCTGTGGTCGACACAGTCAAAGGCTTTTGCATAGTCAATGAAGCAGAAGTAGATGTCTTTCTGGAACTCTCTAGCTTTCTCCATAATCCAGCACATGTTTGCAATTTGGTCTCTGGTTCCTCTGCCTCTTCTAAATCCAGCTTGCACTTCTGGGAGTTCTCGGTCCACATACTGCTTGAGCCTTCCTTGTAGAATTTTAAGCATAACCTTGCTAGCGTGTGAAATGAGTGCAATTGTGCGGTAGTTGGAGCATTCTTTGGCACTGCCCTTCTTTGGGATTGGGAGGTAGACTGATCTTCTCCAATCCTCTGGCCACTGCTGAGTTTTCCAAACTTGCTGGCATATTGAGTGTAGCCCCTTAACAGCATCATCTTTTAAAATTTTAAATAGTTCAGCTGGAATACCATCACTTCCACTGGCCTTGTTATTTGCAGTGCTTTCTAAGGCCCATTTGACTTCACTCTCCAGGATGTCTGGCTCAAGGTCAGCAACCACACTACCTGGGGTGTACGAGACATCCATATCTTTCTGGTATAATTCCTCTGTGTATTCTTGCCATCTCTTCTTGATGTCTTCTGCTTCTGTTAGGTCCTTACCACTTTTGTCCTTTATTATGGTAATCTTTGTACGAAATGTTCCTTTCATATTTCCGATTTTCTTGAACAGATCTCTGGTTCTTCCCATTCTGTTGTTTTCCTCTATTTCTTTGCATTGCTCGTTTAAGAAGGCCTTCTTTTCTCTCCTTGCTATTCTTTGGAAATCTGCATTCAATTTCCTGTATCTTTCACTATCTCCCTCGCATTTTGCTTGCCTTCTCCCCCGCTATTTGTAAGGCCTCGTTGGACAGCCACTTTGCTTTCTTGCATTTCTTTTTCATTGGGATGGTTTTAGTTGCTGCCTCCTGTATAATGTTGCGAGCCTCCACCCATAGTTTTTCAGGCACTCTGTCCAGCAAATCTAAATCCTTAAACCTGTTCCTCACTTCCACTGTGTATTCATAAGGGATTTGGTTTAGATTGTATCTTACCGGCTCAGTGGTTTTTCCTACTTTCTTCAGTTTAAGCTTGAATTTTGCTATAAGAAGCTGATGATCTGAGCCACAGTCAGCTCCAGGTCTTGTTTTTGCTGACTGTATAGAGCTTCTTCATCTTTGGCTGCAGAGAATATAATCAATCTGATTTCGATGCTGCCCATCTGGTGATGTCCATGTGTAGAGTCATCTCTTGTGTTGTTGGAAAAGCGTGTTTGTGATGACCAGAGTTCTCTTGACAGAACTCTATTAGCCTTTGCCCTGCTTCGTTTTGATCTCCAAGGCCAAACTTGCCAGTTGTTCCTTTTATCTCTTGACTCCCTACTTTAGCATTCCAATCCCCTATAATGAGAAGAACATCCTTCTTTGGTGTCATTTCTATAAGGTCTTGTAAGTCTTCATAGAATTGGTCAATTTCAGTTTCTTCAGCACCAGTAGTTAGTGCATAAACTTGGATTACTGTGATGTTAAAAGGTCTGCCTTGGATTCGTATCGAGATCATTCTATCATTTTTGAGATTGCATCCCAGTACAGCTTTCGCCACTCTTTTGTTGACTATGAGGGCCACTCCATTTCTCTTACGGGTTTCTTGCCCACAGTAGTAGATATGATAGTCATCTGAACTGAATTCGCCCATTCCCGTCTATTTTAGTTCACTGATGCCCAGGATGTCAATATTTATTCTTGCCATCTCATTTTTGACCACATCCAACTTACCCAGGTTCATGGTTCTTACATTCCAGGTTCCAATGCAATATTTTTCTTTACAGCATTGGACTTTCCTTTCGCTTCCAGGCATATCCGCAACTGAGCGTCCTTTCGGCTTTGGCCCAGCTGCTTCATCAGCTCTGGATCTACTTGTACTTGTCCTCCGCTCTTCCCCAGTAGCATGTTGGACACCTTCCGACCTGAGGGGCTCATCTTCCAGCATCATAACTTTTATATGCCTGTTGTCTTTGTCCATGGAGTTTTCTTGGCAGGGATACTGGAGTGGCTTGCCGGTTCCTGCTCCAGGTGGATCACGTTTGGTCAAAACTCTCCACTATGACCTGTCCATCTTGGGTGCCCTGCTCGGCATAGTTCATAGCTTCTCTGAGTTATTCAAGCCCCTTCGCCACGGCAAGGCAGTGATCCATGAAGGGGGGCGCAAACCTACACACACACAATTACTTCCTATTCCTTCATGGAATTTTATGGAATTTTTGCCTCACTACACTTTTTTCTCTATGTCAATTTAGAACACCACATATATTTGACAAAATAGTCTCAGGTCCTCAAAAGCTTGTTCCATAATAGATGTCATAAGATTTGCTTTTCAAGAACCAATGCCCCTTTTAGTATACTGTGGCAGTCTAATTATGGCAGGGGTGGATAGCCTTCAGTTTAGGGGCTAAAGTGACAGCCCACAAGACAATTTTGACCTGAAAATATGTCCTCCCCCATTTTGACATCAACAACAACAAAATATGCAAATGACCTGCCCATGGTTATCAAATTGGTGTTTGATGAGTGGAAAGGAGGCAGCCCAGCTCATCTACACAGATCAGCTGAAGGGTGGGGGCTTGCCAACGGTTTGAAGTAGTCCTTAGCAGCAGTTTGATCCTATCAACCTGTTACAACCGTGGTAGCCATGTTGGAAAGCTAAAGAAACAGCTCAACACAGCCATACAGTTACCCTAGGACTCCAGCAGCAACAAAAGTGTCCACTCCACTTGTCATCCACAACTCTCCTCATCTTTCCAGGTCCATCATCAGGAACTTCACAGCTCATCCTGGAAGATTCAGGTCTGTTATTTCTACCTGGAAGTTTCCCCACAATGGATGAGTGAAGGGTGTGGTCTGAGGGGAAGTGTGGGTTGGGCCACCTGGCTTGGAGAGAGTCTGGAGTGCTAGACAGGGAGGCCTGCAATAAGCCCCCAGGGCAGAGGTTATCCATAGTGGATATACTTAGTAATGTATCTGGAAATAGGCCCCACTGAGGGTTTGTTGTGCATTACTCCCAATCAGCTATAATTGCGCAACCTGAATTCACCAGCATGTGACTGATTCCCACCTAAAAATAGGGAAAGTCTGGAAGTGCCTATAGTGTGCCTAGTAATGGTGGAACTTGGTTGTGTGAGTGTTTAAGGATAATCAGCTTCTTTATGGCTCTGATTTGCTCCTGTGCCTAATCTGCAGGTAGTAGGAGGGAATTATGTGTTTCTTCTGTGCCAGGAAAAGTTTCCCCTGCTGGTTTCTTCTTACCAAGCTGCCGTGAAAAGATTAAGAGCAGGCCACATTTTTCTGGTCCATTGGCAACCCAGAACACAAGCCCCCTCTGGGATATTTGTATAATGATTCTGTTGTTAGCAACTGCACTTTCCCTCGCTTCCTAGCCTCTGCCAACCTCCCATTGTGTTATGAGCTATGATTTTCCTTCAGTAGGAGAGTAGGGGAGGGGAGAAAGGCCAATCATGTTTAAGCTGCTTTGGTAGCCCAAAGGATTGTCTTGCAATATAGGAAGTCCCCTGAGTGGGCCTTTGGTTCAACAATATGCTGAGCCTTTGAGATAAGGAAAATATCACTTCTAATTGGCAGGGTATGTCTTGACACCTGCAAATTTATATGCTATGTTTTGTTGTTGTTGTTTTAATCCCTGTCGCTTGGATTCCTCTGTGGAAGCCTTATGATTTCCCTTTTACCCCTCTACTATACTGAATTCTCTCCCCCCCCCTGTATTTTACCATTTCCTATAATTAGATCATCCCTATTTGGGTTTTCTTAAAAAATATTTCTGATAAAAAACAGTATAAATCTTACTAAAGGCCACATTCACACCTTTAAAGCACTTTGATACCACTTTAAATAGTCATGGCTTCTCCCAAAGAGTTCCTGGAGATGTTTTGTTAAGGGCCCTGAGAGTTATTAGGAGATCCCTGACAGCTACAGTTCCCAGCTTGGTATAACAGTCAATCCTTTTGCACAGGGAACCCTGGGAGCTGAAGCTTTGGGAGGAGAATGGAGATAGTCTAAGAACTCTCACCACCTTTAGTAAATTACAGTTCCCAGAATTTTCTCCTTTTGGGAAGAAAAGTGCTATCACAGTACTTTAAATGTGTGGTGTGAATGTGACCAAAGCAACTGGGAACAATGCTACTCATTATTCCATTCCTACAGCTGTGTCCTTGATTTTCCTTCTTTAAGAAAAATTACAGTGCGACACACAGCACAGCACCACAACAGACACATCCCACCTACTCCAGAAGTTGAAGCTGCAACTACACAGGCAGATAGACAGGACCTCTAGTAATAACCCTTAGGCCTTTAAATAAGCTGTTGACATCTGTTTTCCCAGCATGAAGAAGCTGACAAACATTGGGATTAATAGTGTTTGCTGGTGTCTCTCTGCTAGGTCTAAGAAAACCACAACTAGCACAAGACCCTTCTTGAGAGAGAAGTACTTTGTTACTCAGCTAAGGCTGCTTCCCTTAAAGTTCAACCCTGGAATGAAGAAGACTATGAAGTAGTTCCAAAGTAGTTAACTTATAAAAAGATACAAAACCAAGGTAGTTTTCACATCCTTAAAAGAAATGAGGAAGGATGTTGGAGGCAACAAACCAGCAGCTTTTGCTTCCTCATCAAGTTGACTGTTGACCAGAATGGAAAGGCAAATACATAGCAAAACCAGACTATTAACTTTGTAGACATAGTTATCAGTGGTATTTACAACACGAGGATTTCTGTTTGTGGAGAAATATCACATCTAAGGAAATATCAAACCGCATATCTGTGAGTTATCAAGTAGTGAGTATGTTAGCAAGGTCTCTCTGAACTCTAGTTGTTGATCAGGTCTGTCTCCAAATTTATCCTGATAAATTTAGCATTTTAAAACATACTGATTGCATCAAACTCTCTTGACTACATTTGCAAAATCTTTTGGACTTGTTTTCTTTGGATCTGCAGTGGCTAGTCTCTCAGATAGTGAAAAAACACATGTTTAAACCAGAAACTTACCTGCCATTTGAATGTTAACAATGCACAACTGCATCTGTGTCTTCAAGTCAGCATATCTACCCTCATGGTATTTTGTGATACCTGCAGAAGCCAATCCATAAGTGAAACATAGAGCATGAGTCTGTACATGGGCATAGCCAGGATTTTTCTTAGGGAGGGCAAGCCTTTTGTTAGGGGGGAAAGAACCTCAGTTTTCTATATATTTTTATTGATTTTTATTGATGGGAGGGCAGCTGTCCCTCCCTGCCAGGACTGTAGGTGCTAGGGGTGCAGGGCATCCAGGCACTGGGGTCTCAGGGGCACCAGGCCGAGAGTCTGGGGTCCGAGAGTTGAGTCCGGGGAAGAGCCCGCCTGTTGGTCAGAGCGCTGTGGTGAGCTCTTCTGCTGTGGGCGGCTGACCAAGCCAGCAAGACACTGAGGTGGCCAGCTGGCTCCACCCTCCTGCGTGCCTGGGACTGGGGAGGGCGGGGTGGATCCTTACACCCAGGCACCACATATGCTTAAGACAGCCCTGCTCCCTGCCCCCCTGGCTATGCCCATGAGGCTTTATGTGTTTAGTTTGAAAGTAAATCCTATAGCATTCAATAGAATTTACCAACAAGTAGTTATGTGAGGGACTCCAGCCTTCCAGCCTGGCCATGTGCAGAAGTTCCACCCAGTTCATTGGGGTTTGCTGCAATGTTCTGTGCATAGAATAGAAGCCTTAGGCATTCTCTCTTTCCTACTTAATACATTTTAGTTCATTGTGGCATTATCCCATAAATATATTCCTCAGTGAAGAAAGAAGATTGTATTCCCGAAACATCACAAAAAGGAAAAAATATAATGATTTTGATCTAGCGCTCAAAGTTTTTCAAGATGCAGATAAAGAACTGATGGTTAAACCTGCAGCTGTTTGGTATTCATATTCAAAACGGGGCCCACGATCAATGGCAAATGAAGTCAAGTAATTGGACTTATATTGGGCATCCATGAGGTACTTCTGGGGTTTGCATTGCCTGTGCGCTTTTCTTTGTGGCTCAGTCCTGCAACTTTCCTCTGCGTCAGGGACAGTAAATAATAGACAGGGGTGGGCTTGAGGAGCCTTTGCAAATTGCAGCCTGGATTCAGGTTCTGCATCAGCACAGCATTCCTGACGTACTGAGTGAAAATGGGAATAAAATGCATTGAAATATTTCAAGTCCAGTTTCAGAAGGATGGATGCAATGAGCATTTTCCTCCTCCAAAACCTTGACTCTAAATGCAAATAATTGTATGCACTTACACTGGTACCTCTGGTTACAAACACTTCTGGTTACGAATGCTTCGGGTTACGAACCTGGAAGTAGCTGCTCCTGGTTGCCAGGAGACTCCATTAGCGAAAGTGCGCCTCAGGATAAGAACTGTTTCAGCTTAAGAACTGACCTCTGAAATGAATTAAGTTTGTAACCAGAGGTACCACTGTAATTAGTTTCTTACATTTATATGCCAACTTTCTTCTGTCATGGGACCATCCTATCAAGGCACTGACCGGACCCAGAACTGCTTGGCTTCAGCAAGGTGGTGCCTTTAGACCACACCCTGGGATGTCTGTTCTGTTGGCTAAAAAAACTCTGCTTCTCCCAGCCCACTGAGTCTGGGGAAAAGCTAGCCTGAGCTGCAACTAAGTGTGATGATGGATGGCATCAGGACCTGGTATATTGGGTTCCTTTGCCAGGGCCTATGTGTCCTGGCAGGGCCTACTAGGATTTTGCCTTGGCATTCTGCCCCACTGCCTGCAAGCAGCTGTTGAGGCAGCAGCCACCAGCCTCTTCCTCTGGCTAACAAAGGAGCTTACCTGACGGCAGCACTGTAAGGAGCAGACACTTGGCTCCAATCAGACCTGGCGGCCACCTTATCTTCCACAGTGCTGTAAGATGCAGCAGGCGTCACATGGCTCCTGGCCCATTGCAATGCTGCTGCCCACAGGTAAGCAGCCAGAGTAATGTAAGCGATCCAGTGGATGCAGCAGGGAGACAACGGGTGGGGGTGGGAGGGTGTCAACTGCCAGAAACCTGCCCTAGGCCTCCCAAACCTGGACCCAATACAGTGGTACCTCGGGTTACAGACGCTTCAGGTTACAGACTCTGCTATCCATAAAATAGTACCTCAGGTTAAGAACTTTGCTTCAGGATGAGAACAGAAATCGCACAGTGGCACAGTGGCAGTGGGAGGCCCCATTAGCTAAAGTGGTACCTCAGGTTAAGAACAGTTTCAGGTTAAGAATGGACCTCCAGAACGAATTAAGTTCTTAACCCGAGGTACCACTGTATATGTTAACTTTAGCTCTTCCCCTCCTTATTTTTTAAAGATACATTTATTTAGTTTCTGAAATGATGAAAGGGGGCAGGGAGGGGAGAAAAGAAACTGCATCATTTTCTAGAAGTTAACCTGCTTGGCAGGGGAGACGGGAAAGGGTGCAGATGTTCAGGAGAGGCCCCCTTGCACAGTCTGAGGTATTTTTCTCCTCATGTTTCAGGATTTAGGTGCAGGCATTGTTACAAATTAAGCCTGGGGTGGATGAGGAAAGAACAGGTAGAGAAGGTAGAATTGTTCTTGTGAAGAGTTGCTGTAAGGAAAGCAAGGGGAAAACAAGAAACCAATTTTGTTTAAAAAATTTTATGGTAATGTCATACAGTGATATGGAAAGGAAAGTACTCATACACATGCATATAAGAAAATAAGGTGAAAAAGAAGTAAATCATTTAATACAACAAGGAGCATATAAATTCACAGTAGAGGGAGGGAAATCCACATTTTCAAGACTCAGTTGTTAGTACAGTTTTTCTAGTGATTTAGATAGTTCTGAACTTGTCAAGAGAGAAAATCGTCCTAAAACATCTTTCCATAATGAAGCATGAGTCAGTGGTAAGCTCCATCCATGTTCCTTTTGGGCCAGATGGGCTATAAAAAAATCCATTTACATATAATGTGTTTTTATTTGTTGGGTCCTTTTTCTTTGTCTTATTTGTTGGGTTAGTTTCTCCATTAAGGTGACTGTCCAGATTTGTTTAGTCCTTTCAAGTTGTTTTCAATGTTTTGCTGCCGCCTTGGGCAGAGCCACATCATACATACAAAGCCTATCCAACTGGCATTTAAAACACACAAGTTCCCCCCAAAGAATCCTGGGAACTGTAGTTCCCCTTCATAGAGCTTCAATTCACAGCACCCTTAACAAACTACAACACAAACATATTGGGGCAAGGGATGTAGCTTGGTGCTTGCATGCCAAAAGTCCCAGATTCCATATTGGATGTCTGCAGGTAAGGCTGGGAGGACTGCTGCCTGAAACCCTGAAGAGCTGTTGCTGGTCTGTATCAACTGCATTGAGCCAGATGGGCCAGTGGTCAGACTCAGGTATCAGACGGCTTAAGGATCAAAGCTTCTCACAAGGAATCCAGGGATTTGTAGGTAGGCAAGGTAATACAGCTTCCTGTCCTCTTCTCACATAATAACTGTTCCCACAGGTCACTTCAGGAGTGGGATTAATAGTTAATCTGATTTAAGTCTGTGGTGTGGATCTGACCACAGACATTTCTGTGATGTATTCTGGCATGTAGTCAGTGTTATTACTTCATGCAAAAGGGAAAGATTTGTCCTCTCTTTGGAAACAAACAGGTTGCATGCTCTGCTGTGTTGGTGTTTTGCAATTTACATACACAATTTCGGGTCATGTGGTTTCCCCAGATGTGTTAAGCTAGAACCATCATTAGTAACCAGCTTGCGCCTCTGGCTCACCTGACGTCTTCCTTGCTATTTTTAGGGGATGACTCAGTCGCTCTGTATTACAGCCACTGAGAATCTCTGTAGACTAATAGCAAAAGCTTTATGCCAAGTGCTGCTGAAGCCAGCAGAATACTGGAGCATGTAGATAAAACCAATTGGCACTGTTGCTAGGAAGACACAGAGGCTTTGTTTGCCTTTCTTTTCCCAGAGAAAGAGCTCAAATAGGCAAAGGGAATATCAAACAGGAATAAAACCCTTATGATGAAGAGAATAAAGGCAGAGCCAGTGGCATTTCACTAGGGGCTTCTTAATACCGACATGACTGTTGTGCAAACAGACATGTATTTGAATGTCATTTTGCTTTCAGACAGGAAAAAAGTATAACATTCCAGATTTTTTGTTTGTTTTAAATTAGCTTTATTACACCCACCAGTTGGCAAATAATGCTGCCTTGCCCAACTTCTTCCACTGTCTTGTGGCACGTTCATTCCTGCTCTTTCTGTATGAGGCTCTGATTTCTCTGTCCTTTCACCTTTCTCTCTAATGTGGCTTGCCTAGAGCCAGTTCTTATGTAGCAGTGACTTCCCACACCAGTTCTGCCTCCTCTCCTGCGATCTCTTGTGTTCAGACATTTCACACTTAGTGGTGCCATGTGCTCCCAAGGGCCACCTGGTGCCCACTAAGTCCAGGCAGGGCCTTTAGCGTGGTGGCACCTGGACCTTTGGAATGCGCTTCCAATGAAACCAGTCAGGCACCTGCAGCATTTGTTTTTAGCTGCCTGCTTAAAATTTCTCTGTTCATCTGGGTTTTTACTGAAGGGTGATCTAGGAATTGTTGTAGAAAATGGATTTCAAGTTCTGATTTCTTGTAAAGAGTTACCTTCCCGCCACACATTTGCTGGGCTGGGTATGAAAGAGAACAAGAAATGTAGCAGTCATGGTTTCACGGTCATGGTATGAGAACAGATTAACACAATGCAGCGTGCTAGCTAGATTATCAGTGAGGTCCAAGGCAGGGCCATCTACTTATAGGAGAGATGGGAAGAAAGAGGTAGAGACCAATAAATGCTAATAAGCCAAAACATGGTTGAAGGGACATTGCATTTGTGCTAGGCCTGAACTAAAAATCACTGCCCACAATCCGGCACCTTATTTGGGGGTGGCCAATCCAGTGCCCGGTTTCAGGAACTGTGATCTCACTCTGAAATACTTTTGGGGGGCTGGCATGAGGAAGATTGCTTACCCAAAAGAATCCATATTACCATAATTACTGGAGAAACACTGCAAACATAACTCCGCTTAGCAAGGAAGCTGTATGTTTTGCTTATACTGGAGGCGGACCTGCGACTGCCGACTGCCCATTGCTGCTTTGCTGTATCGAAGCTGTAACCTGATACCTGCAGCTCCTAACTGCAAAGACTAATTGAATCAGTCCACAACCTCCCTGTTGACATGTAAAACGCTACCCTGACTGTTGCTATCTTCAGGTGGGATTCAATCACATACCTGCAAATTCAGGTTGTGCAATTAAAGTTGATTTGGAGCTCTTGCTCAACACCCCACTCACTCCACAGACTTTTTTTTTTTTTTTGCTGTAAGGAAAGTGACAGAAAAATCCACCGGAAAAGTGGGATAACAATTGGTTGATGCAATGTCTTCTTACACCCCCACAGACAAATCAGAATGATTCAAAGGGAAAAGGCCTGCCACTGCCGTATTAAGCCCACACCCCTCCCAGCAGGACAAAGCAATCTGTGCCTTCAGTACACCCATAGGCCTTTCATGACCCCTGCTCCTGGACAAACCACAGAGAAAGGTGTGCCGCCCTGGTGCATATACCAGCTAAGACTGGTGTAGAGGGGCTTCTTCTAAGACCTCCTGGACAGTAGTGTTGCTAGGGGGGCAGAGTACCCTGGGTGGCACTTACCTTGGGGTAGCCTGCCAGAGCCCAAGGTGATGTACTGAGAGGGACATAGTTCCGGCAGCGCCCCCTGCCCCAGCTCGCCGCGCCCCCAGCCTCCCCAGCCGCTTGCTCTGCCACTGCTCCTGGAGAGATTTGGAATGTGACAGGGAAATGCATTGAGAACTGAGATAAAGGAAAGATTAACGAGGAAGCATGTAAACGCCCTGCAAGCAAATCAGGATGAATGCTCATTGTCATATAAACCGCCCTGTAAGCAAATGAGAAAAGATGCTCCATCATGACCGGGCATAGCCTAAAAACGAAATAAGCTTTGCCCAAGCACATCATGATGAATGCTCAATGAACAGGTCCTTTGAAGGGGATGTAGAGCGACCAGTGGCAAGGGCAGCAGTTCCCATTCCATTCCAAGCATGCCCAGAAGCCGCTATTTTGCCACCAGGAATACAATGAGATGATAAAGATGGGATAAACTTCAGAGGGGGATTTGGTTTGATTCACAATTAATGGATCTTTTCTCAGCAAGGCAAGCGCCAGAGCTCAGCAGTAGAGCATCTCTTTTGCATACAGTAGGTCCCGGGTTCGTTCCATGACATCTCTAGGTAGGGCTGTGAAAGACCCTTGCCCCAAATCCTGGAGAGCTACTGCTGAGTACAGTGGTACCTCGGGTTACATACACTTCAGGTTACAGACTCCGCTAACCCAGAAATAGTGCTTCAGGTTAAGAACTTTGCTTCAGGATGAGAACAGAAATCGTGCTCCGGCGGCGCGGTGGCAGCGGGAGGCCCCATTAGCTAAAGTGGTGCTTCAGGTTAAGAACAGTTTCAGGTTGAGAACGGACCTCCAGAACGAATTAAATTCTTAACCCGAGGTACCACTGTAATTGAAAGACAGTACTGAACGCGGGTGGCGCTGTGGGTTAAACCATAGAGCCTAGGACTTGCCAATCAGAAGGTCAGCGGTTCGAATCCCCGCAATGGGTTGAGCTCCCGTTGCTTGGTCCCTGCTCCTGCCAACCTAGCAGTTTGAAAGCACATCAAAGTGCAAGTAGATAAATAGGTACCGCTCCTGCAGGAAGGTAAATGGCGTTTCTGTGTGCTGCTCTGGTTCACCAGAAGTGGCTTAGTCATGCTGGCCACATGACCTGGAAGCTGTACGCCGGCTCCCTCGGCCAATAAAGCGAGATGAGCGCCACAACCCCAGAGTCGGTCACGACTGGACCTAATGGTCAGGGGTCCCTTTACCTTTACTGAACTTGAGAAGCACCTCTAAACATAGAGACACTTACCTGAGAGTAAACATGCACAGTATTATGATGCATGAGGAGCAATTGTTTATACAGCAGCTATGATATAGTTAATAATAATAATTAATAGTAGCCTGCCCATCTGACTGAGTTGCCCCAGCCACTGTTTTGAGATGCAAAGAATAAAACAGATTTGATAAATGATTTGCATCAGCCACTAGATGGCACTAGCAAACCTGAATAAACTCAAGTGATACAATGCTGAATTGTGACTTCTTGTGAGATAAGTAACAGCAACTTGTTCCAGGTCATCCAGTGGGCTTCTGGGCCAGGTGGAGATTTGAATTAGGGTCTCCCTGGGCTAACACTACACCATACTTGGTTTGTACAGCCAGTTCACCTTGGGCACAGTGCAACATAGGCCCAAGTGAAAAGTGGCTGGTCACTAACCTTGGTAATAAGACTCATTAGCTGCTAACCATAGGTGTATTTTTCAGGCAATGTCTTACTCATGATGCTGATCAACTATAGTAAAGGTAAAGGTACCCCTGACCGTAGTGGACAGCAAATAAAGAGACCTGGTCTGAACCTGGATAATACACCCTCATTAGAGAAGATGTAATTTGTGTGGCTGGTTAGGTATACACTAAGTATTCAACTAAGTTTTACTTGGAGTAGTTGCATTTAAATTAATGAACCTAATTTAGTCATGTCCATTAATGTGAGTAAATCTTAGTTGAATAGCACTCTGTGCTTCAACGGAGCAAATTTATTCTGCGCTTGAGGCAAGCTCCTTCTGCAAAACAAGCATCTAATCCTGGCTTTAATCAGCTAATTAATTGAATCTGTTTAGGTGGAAAGGGAAATGTTTAGGATATTGCCTGAATAATTTAAACTGGATGCTTTGTAACTCAGAATGATGATGGTGGGGATAGATTGGAAAGGCAATAGAATTTGGTTTACCATACTGTATTTTCTTCTAGTTCTGCATGTTTCTTGCTCATCTTTCTTAATAATGATGGAAAAGGCTCTCAGTAGAATATAAATCATTGTGTCTCTGTGTTCACTAAAGCAATTTTGAATCTCTACCATAAGCTTTGTTCCCCTGGGCCATACTTCATGCCGCAGTGATCACGCTTGACTGAGATTAACTTCTTCTTTGTCTATATACCCTGTATCAATTTAAAATCCACATGAATCTGCTTTCCTTTTGAGTGTGGCTTGACTATTTAACATACATTTCAGGAAAATCCTACCATTATCTGAAAGGTATGAATGCCCCCTACTGGTAATTTTAATAATACAGCTGGATTGCAAACCTATACCCTGTCCATTGAATTCAAATGAACCCCAAATCTCAAGGCAAATTGGGACATCTTTGAGAGACTTGGGGCTTGACTAAGGTGAAGTGGGCTCTCTACAAATCAGGCCACACAAATCAAAATGCTTTGTGGCATGTTGGCAACCAATACATGAAAAATACTATAGACAAGCATCTGCTAAAAGTAAA